GGCATTGCCACGATCGCCTTACTTGAATGCCCAATGCCTTCGCCAATGTCCTTGAGAATCAGGACGGCGGGAGAAGTACGTTCCGATGTCGTCGTGGCAGTCGTCGCAGATCGAGTCAACTTGAGAGGTTCTGCTTCGCCTTTCAAGTTGACTTGGCGCACGAGTTTCGCGTGCTCTTTCCTTTGCTCGTCAACGGATGTACCTCGTGTAGCCATGGCAATGCGACCAGGTAGGACGAGTCCCTCAACTGCTGACCTCCCCTTCTGCTTCTGCTTGTGTCTCTCATAACGTCTGATATCACGCTTGGCTGTGTCGTGCATGGTGGCCAGCCCGTGGCAGGCTTCTCGGAAAGCCTCGATGATGACTCCGCCAGCACCAGTGATAGGCTCGCCAGGGCCTTGAAAATCAGTCCACTCGTGGTTCTTGACTAGTTCGAGGTCCGACCACTGAAGCTGTCTATTTTCCACCAGCAGCTCAGCAGCTAAGGCTGACAATCGAGTGTTTGTGTGTCTAGTTCTCCAGACTGCAACGTGATCGGGGAATATGCTACAGCGCAGAGAATTGGGCCCCTCTAGGTTCAACGCACGATGGAAAGAGTCCACCGCATTCTCTGCGCCATCTCCCTCCTCTTGAATGCTTTTGGCAATCTCCTGTGCTTTAGCTTTGGCGTCAGCTTCCAGACACTCTCGAATGCCTTTGGCGAATTTGTCGCTGTCGAGTTTCTTAAGGGGAAGGGCCTCTTTGGCACCTGCCCCAGCCCGTGCGACCATTTTGCTCCAAAATGGTTGATCTCCAAAGAAAGGGACAATCATTGTCGGCTTTCCGAATCGCAAGCCCACGGCGGTCGTTCCAGCACCACCATGGTGTACGACAGCGTCAACTTGAGGAAACAACCAGTCATGAGGCACATTGTCGACAAGGAAAATGCCATCGGTTTTATCCATCCCATCGCCCATGCCACCCCATCCTCGACTGACTACAGCACGGACGCCCGCTTTTTCAACGGCATCGAAGATCATCCTGGTGAATGCTTGTGGATCGTCTATACCTGCAATGGAACCGAACCCGATGTACACGATTGGCCGCTCGTCAGGAGTTTTGAGAAAGTCAACCAGGTCTGGGGGAGGCTTATAGGACTTTGCCAGATCCAGAAAGACGTACCCGGCGATATCGATCTCTGGGCCCCAGTCTTGCGGCTTAGGGACCAAGCTGGGCGACCAGAGGTAGGTCATTGGCACTTTGAGGCGTGACAGCTGACCAGGAGCCCACAAGGTTGAAACTGGCTCCAGACCCAGAGTTTGCACTCGAAATCTATTGACGAGATCGCCCAATCCCTGCCACACCATCAAATCGACCAGTGGATAGCTCATGAAATTTGTGTATCTCTGGTCGACGTTGGATGACTTGATATTTGCCATGGGATGTGGAAAGGCTTGGGTTGGCGAATAGGGAAAGGTGAAGACTAAATGCAAGGGAATGCTCAATCTTTCAGCACAGTGAAAATGAGCGAAAGAAGGTGGGTTGGCAATTATGGCATCGGCCACAAACGGCGTCTTGGAGCCCATCATCTTGAGGTTTGCAATGTCCTTTTCGTCGTCCGTCGCATTGATGCAGGCTCTCCAGAAACCCTGGAACATCTGGAACATGGATTCACGTCTTTTGCCGATCTCGCCGGATTTGACAGCCTCAATTGAGGGAATCAGCCCGGGGTTTTTGACCATGAATGCCATGAGCTCGGAAGGATCCTGCAGAGATTGATTAACCTGGGCCAATATTTCACGCAAGGATGTAGTAAGAGGCTGGCGAATGGTATTTTCTGTTGGAGAGGGGGACGTACACCGCCTATACTGAAAAACTCAAGACCGATCTCTTCCTCGACGAACTGTTTGAAAGTAGGGTGAGATGCAATCCTCACCCGATGATTGTACGTCGTCAATATCTTCCCGATCTTCAGAAAAGGTTGTATGTCACCTCGTGAACCGATCTAGCAGTCATTTTCATGAGGACATCAGCATATGTTCTAGCAAATGCGCTGAAAGGTAAAGTGGGATCAAGAGAGGTCTCCTCCCAGAAGCACACGACTGTATCGTTTGGCGAAGAAACGGCCTCTGAGACAAGCAATGAAACAACATATCCGGATTCGCGTACGAATCGCGACAAATTGACAGCAACCCAGAACGGACTGTGTAACTTACAACCATGATGACGATGTTGAGTCTGGGAACGATCAACTGGTCCTTGTCCCTGCGGAAATCAGCCTTGGACTTCTCTGCTGCGAGAGCGTCCTGCTCGTGGTGTGGTCCAAGGTGATGCTCGATTGTAGCCCCAAGCGCCTTTGCAAGATAACCTGTTTGAGCTGTCTCGTTGACGGATATATTTAATCTTCCGTCCCTGGCTACCCGGCCCTGAGACTGGAAGAACTCATTCCCAACCTTGAGATGGTCCGGTCTAGCTTGATATGTCCGCACTCTATTGAGTTGTGATTTGGACAGGGCGTGTCCGGATGGTTGTGTTTGCGACCTCTGCAGACGAGGTGGATTGTCGTCGTCCGATGAATCCAGTATACTTGAATCGCTTGAGGTCTCTTCGGAGGTAGGGTGTTCCCGGACAGGCTGATTTGGGATCGAGAAACGTTGCCGCGTAGGCTGAGGCAGGCGTGGAACACCAGGCGGAGCAATCTCAGTCTCGAACTTCCTCGAAGCAAGCTGCGGTCTCTCGATCTGACCATTTCGGTTGTCTGCGACACTGGTGTCGTCTTTTGCGGGCACACTATGTAGCGTTGCATCCGAAGTACCACGAGATGTCGATTGTCCTGCCGCCCGTGGTTCGGGATATGGAAACGATGTAGAAGGCGGGTCGGGCGTGGGACTCGTTTCGTAGTCAATAGCGGAAGACGCCAGAGGGGTCAAGAGTTGCGCCATGTTCAGCTGCTCGGAGCAGTTCTCCACGAGCGTCAGGGCTCCTTAGACATGGTGCTGTCGGAACAAGCTCAACCGCTCAACGTTCGGTGTTCGAAGCACCTTGAGCACTTTACACCGACGCCGACGCGTCGCAAGTGTCCCTCCCAGGCCCTCTAAGGTGCTTATGCTTTCGTTCTTGCAGGGGAGATTTGGCAATGGAGGAAGCGACGGCAGTAAAGAAGACAACCGGAAGAGGATACTGGACACTTGAACAAATCCTGGATGCGGTAGTAGTCTCTCGGATGTTGTGCGACAGCGACCTCAAGCCTGCGCAGTGGCCGACTTGCGTCATACCTAATAATACAGTGGCTGCAATGGGCACCGTTGTTGGTCCATGACGGGTTTAGGGGTGCCTCTGGCGTCCGCACAGGGCTGGGAGACTGGGTGCCAGGGAGGCCAACCGGGTTCCATCGTCTTGGCCTCCACTTGGGGCTCACACGAGCCGAAGCGCCCCGCCGTCATAAGGGCAGCGCAGGCGTGGGTGACAAGTCCTGTTCGTTCTACCCAGTCGAGCCAGTATATTGTGCCGTCCGTCCGCCAGACCATTGACTCATACTACCAGGTACTTATCGGGTGCACAGTACTGCCTTTTTGCTGGCGGCGACACTTCGAGTGCGAATACACGATTCCACTGAGGAAAGTCAACCAAGCCACCCGAAGCACAAGGGCAATCCGCGGCTGCTAGCCCCAGATTTGCTCGGCTCTAACTAAATCGTAACGAAGCAGAGCCCCAGCTGAGGATCTGTCGCTGGCAATCCGTCCAGGCACGGCAGGGCATCCGACCAACCAGAGGACCATCTCCGAAGTCTTCGTTTCGCCTATCACGGCCTCCCGCACACTTGGTGAATGCTCCCCAGCCCAGCTGAAGATGGCGTCGAGCAGAGCAGGCACGCTGCCCTCACCCAGCATCGGTACAGGAACAACAACCACGCACGTTATAAAGCCCTCCTCCATCGTTACCGACTGCCAGGATTCAGACTCGGCACTGTACGACTTTCCTGGTGGGGACCAATCACCTGTGCTTCACGGAAGATCAACTATTCAGCTGTCACTCAGATCCCGTCGGAGGGTGGGCGCATCGCCCAGAATACAAAAGACGCAAGAATCATTACAATCGAACCTCAAAAGCAGACCAGGGCCGGATTGTCCCAGCACACGACAGTGCATGCCGCGCGTCATGAACAGAAACGGCAATAAATGTCTTGCTATGGATGACAACATCGGTGATGCCTCGATTCGCGATTCTGCAAGCCCTGGATCTTGATGGCGTTACGAAGCGAAGTAGCATGCTCCGGGTTCGCAGCACACGATACGAGGTACATGATCTCAACCAAGTTTCTTGGGAGCACCTGGAGCCGCCTGTGTTGCTGGAGGTGGCCTATTACGCGGTACCTATTACTCTTCTACGGCAAGCGGTGATCCCCTGCCTGGCTCGCGGGCAAAGTCCGAGAAGTCGTCAGAAAGTACTCCGTACAAGCACAGTGACATGGATCTGTTGCGACAGAACTGGCTACCGCTAGCCGATTCTCACCCAGTGTGAAAGCCAAAAACCCGAGTCCACCGTCGCCCCGAGCTGTCAGTCCTTGTGCGACCAGGGCTGACCCGGCTAAGGTTGCTGGCCAAACCATCCTCTCCTGCCATTAAGATGATCGCTTTCCCAGTCGTCCTGCATCAAGCCCAGTCGCAGCACAGTCTAGTGCGCCAACCCATGCACCTCGTGATTGCCCGGATCCGGAAGCCTCAGCGTCACAGATTATCACAGGGCTGAAGGTTCGGTATTTAATCATCCTCCTCTAGCCATGTTGCATTTTCCCATGCCGCGGTTTGCAGGCGTCTCGGTTCGGCAGTGCGTTTCCACCCGCTCTGTCGTCTCCGCTGCCGTGGGTGTCTCGTTACTCACAGTCTGGTGGGATGGAAGGCCTAAGCTGATGCCCGGTTCTTCTGGTGATCAAGCGGCGCAATCGGATCCTGTAAGTCCTCGAGTCTATGCGGGCGTATACCGTCCAGCCTGTGCACTAGTGTCATCATCCTCAGGGCCCACTAATCATCGCCTCCTGCTGACGGTCTTGTCCTTGTCCTGGATGTCTGCTGCCAAGTACGCCGCACCTGGTGCAGCCTCTGCTCGATGCCTGCTTCAATCACGGCTCGGCCGGTCGTGGGAGGGAATAGGTTGGACTCGGTGCACAGGTTGTACATCAATCGGATCACGTCGAGCTTCTCTCGTTCCGGTACGGCGGTCCAGACGACGTTGACATCGGCCCATTTGGAGTTGGGACGGGCAGCGCAATACTCGCCGTGGACTCGTCGGGCAAAGTTCTTGAAGTTGTCGAATTGTCGAGTGCTGAGACCAAGCTTTTCCTGGACCTGAGCGGGAGAGTCGCGCAGTCTGATTGGCGTTGCGCTCATGGCGATCCGAGCCGGACGGACGACCCAGCGGTAAGGCGGAGGGGGATGTGGTCGACAATGGACAACGCAGAAGAGTTCTGCGTATTATGATGGAAGACCTGGCTGGACATTCGCTGGTTTTTGCAGCCTGACTCCAAGATGGACCCCGGAGAAAAGGACATTGCCGTCACTTGTCACTTTGATGACCCAGCGCTGCACTCACGCTCCTGCCCTGCTACCCTACTCTCCCACTACGCCTTTACGAGCTTTCTATGCCCAAACCTACCCCTCCAATTGGGCTCTGCCCCACCAACGACGTGCCAAGGAACCAGGTGTACTGTCAGAACAGTCCATAAGCGGTGCCCTAGCCGTTGATAGTCCACCCTATAAAAGAAAAGGCCACCGGATGAGGCGCCGGATGACCAGGATCTGTCCAAGCCTTGGGCAGCTCCCAGGCTAAAGGAAGCTAGGACGTCCAGCAGCCGGCAATTCGGCGTAGCCTTGGTTAGGGTTGGCTTGGATGGGGAAGCCCATGGGTTCTCCCCTTGTGCGGCCCCGGCTGGGCCGTTGAAGGTGTCCTGGGAAAAGTGCCGACAGCCAGCGGCCAATCGCTGGGAAGCTGGTCGCCCCTCCAGGCTTACTGCGAAACACTAGCCTAGGGTAACCCTTCGAGCCCCTCTGGACGAGCCCGTGTTTCATCTTGGACAGGCCAGCGCGTGCTCGGGCGTCTGATTCGAGGCTTGTGACAACCCGACACCGACTTCCTTCAGCAAGTGTCGCAGGTCGTCGGGGACACGCTCTGCAACAACATGAATCACTCACGCATCGTCTTCGTCCTGCTTTTCGACATGTCTGCTTTCTTTCCTGTTCACACTTTTCCCAGCTGCTGTGCACTTTACATTCTCCAGGCTCTCGCTGGCGAGGCCTCCTCCTCACGCCTTGATTACGACAATCTGCTGACCCGACACTGCTCTGTCGAGACTATTCTTGCGAGATCTAACCGCGTGTCAGCACTTTAGACCGACATTCGCAGCGAAGATGATCGGGTCCAAAACCCTGATCTTGACATCAACCTACCCGGCGGAGCTGTCCCTACGGCCGACAAGTCATGAACGACTCCGACGCCGGTTCATCACGATATTGCATGGAGCGAGCTGGCTAGCTAGTGTGATCGCCATCTCGCTCTTTGCCGCGGCCATCCCTTCATGGAACCAGAACTTCTTCCACAATACGGGCCCCAACCGCGGCGACTGGACCGACGGCATGCCACTGGGCCCGCTGACTTTCGCCATGCTCTACCACGCTCTTGTCTTGATTCGGGCTCAAATACAAAAAGCCCGGCGTTCGAACGTCAGCACCAGTCATGGCCCCTCGCTGAGCCAGCCATGGCTGGTCATCCACACTACGGTCCCATGTTTGGTTCTGCTGAGCCTGTTGCCGGCATTGCTCCTGGCGGCTTATGGGTCACTATTCCGGTTCTGGCAGCCGGCGGTACGCACGCAGTCCGGCATTCTCGTATGCAACATGCTCAACATATTTGCCCGGGAGTGCGAGCCGACCCTCTACTCCATTGGCAGCCTGCAAATCGCCGGGATTGCATTTGGGATACTGGTGTGGGTCCTTCAATTTGGCCTGCTGCTGGTGAGTCTCCGGAAATTGAGACGCGTCCGGCTGGCCAAGCAGCTGCAAAGGGAGAAGATGGCGCAGTATGCCCGGAGGGAAGAGAGATCGTCCCGCGCGAGCCGACGAGGCTACGGCAGTGCGAGGGGATCCACCGACCGCCATGGTGCAGGAGACCATGGCGCTTGGCACCAACATGCGCGCCCCGGCCGCTACCGGCGAAGTGGTTCAAGTTCTAGCTCGGACCCGAAGTCTCGATCTGGGTCGCAGTCAGGATCAAGAAGCAATTCGCTTGTGGGAGGAGTTAGTGAAGCACGCGTTGGTAGGGCAGAGGCCAGCCCCCCAGGCGGCCGACAGCATCAGAGTCCCCAGGAGGTGCCTATTTTCTTCATCCAAGCTCCCGAGGAGTCGCACGCGCCCCCGTCGAGGCGATCTGGATGACGGACGTGCTGACATCTCACCGGGTCGATGGGCAAATTTGCGCGAGAGGACCACCTGCCTTGTGCCTTCCAGGCTAGCTGACCGAGAAACTTCGAGGCTACGAGTATGAGCAAAGCATGGTCTCACAATGATGATTATACATAGAACAAGCTACGACATTTATGACCATGGCCAGCTTACAACACCACTGTCCTCCGTACGCGAGGCGTGATGCAGTCTGGCCAGCCACGGCCAGAGACTACCGCTCGTACGTTTCAGGTTTCCCAGCCCTCCGTGCCTTCTCATTGCACGCGTGACCTCGCACACTGGCACGCCTTGACAGGGTCTAAATCCTACAGCGTGCATCCCTGCACGCCAGCAGCCGGAACTTGATCGTCTCTCGTCCCGCAAGGTTCGGCCCGGCGTGCTTGGAAACGCTGGCGGCCTGCAGCAGACGTGGCGCGGTAAGCCGCTCCACCGATCACAGGGCCAACAAAGTCCTGCAAGGCCGTCAGCACCAGTCTGGGCAGTCAGGCCAGGCAGGTCAGCACTCCCCGTATCACTATACAAACCGAGTAAGGACGGACACTCTAGCAGGGCTGCGTAATCGCTTAGGGCCGGCGACATTGCAGGCACTTTTGTCCTGTGCTCAGTCGAGCAGCTCCACTCGCCGAGCCGAGTCGAATCGAGTACTGGGTAATTAGCGTGTCTTAGGTTCGAGCCAGCGGACGATTCCCAATCTCCCATCCCTCCTGTTCTCCCTTTCGTTCTCGGGAATCTATGGCAGTCTCTCGAAAAGAGTAGTCACCAGCACCACGACGAGCTAATGTACGTACTCGTACTGGATGATGCATATGACACCTGATAGAGGACAGTGGGCATCACACACGGTATCTGAGCTTGATCCAGATTCTGTACTCCGTACGGAGTACATCCTGTAGGATTCGTCGCCTTTCCGAGGCTTCACACGAGCCTCTTCGGTTTCGAGTTGGAGGTCGAGTCGAGGTCTTCTGCGCTGGTTTTCCCACAGAGGCAGACCGCTGAGCACACGTTATCAGTACGAGTATTAGCGTACCGTAACTACTGTATGCTGCATACGGTGTGCTGCACCTCTCCACACAATCAATGCACACGACCTGCATCTAGTAGGTGCCTCGACAATGCTCTGTTCTCCGTCCCCACCGTGAACACGCGACCACATGCTCCGTACACAGTACTAGGTAGAGTTCACAGTTGCGCAGTCCAACTCCCTTCCCGGCTCAAGCTCAAACCTTACAGTACCGCGTCGCCACTGGCTCGCCACCTGCATGAACGAGGCTGACGATACTGTCCAACCTATCTTGGTACCTCGGTAGCGACAAGCCTAGTCCACCGTACTGGGTACTGGGTACTGTGTCCAGTGGTGCTCGGATCGAGTGGTCTCGTGTGACTGAGCGATCCAAACTTTGCGGTCAGCTAATTATCACGCTCGAGGCAGGGTGGCGAGTCTCCAACCCGGCACCATGTCCTGCTCACTCGCATGTTTCAAGATTTCACGCCGGGAAGAAACGTTCCCGAGCGCTTGATTTCGAAATTGAGTTCTGTTCTGTCGGCGAGACAAATGAAAGTCCAGCAGGGAGATTACTGGAGATGTGTCTTTACTTGCTCAATCGCATATTTCCGGAGCACGAGTTTGTGCTCATCGATCATTATTCGTGCATTCACTCATCCCGCCACTGAGCATTGATGGGGGTGCGTTTGCTTGTGCCCAACCAGGCCGTGTGAACCAATGCGGGACAGTACCTCGTCCGTGGGGGGTGGAAACCCCTCGGCTCGGCTGCGTAGCGAGGCCGTTTCTTTGACTTTGATTTCACTTTACTTTCACTCTCATTCTCACTTTGACTTCACATCCACTTCAATCCACTTCACATCCACTTTCACCTTGGCCGTTGCATTTACTATACGGAGTACGTTGACGCCAGTGGTAAGAATGCCAGTTTGTGCAGAGTATGCAGATGCAGAGTATGCTCTGGGGTCCGCGTGTGTATCTGCTCGGAGCCACGAAGGCGATACGTCCACCGTCTTGTTGACTTTTCGCAATCGCTTTTCACTTTGAGCAGGCTGCATGCTGGATCTTCCATACCTACTTTCTGCTTCCACCTCCACCTCCACGTCCACTTCCACGTCCACTTCCGGCCCTCGTACTCGTTACGAAAGGAAGATGGTTCCGTGGCCCAGCCCGTGCACATGTCGAAGCGGCCAAAGGCACGTCCAGAGGACCAGCCAGTAACATGCAGCACCACAAGACAAGAAACAAGGATGGGGGCGCGTGGGCTGCATGCCATGCCATGACCGTTATAATCCTGAGTCAGTCGGTCCGTATCACGAACGCATTTCATCCAAAACTCTTCCAAGATTGTGGGGTTCACGATGGGACAGCTCGAGCCCGTCTCCTCTTCACAAGCTTGCTTACGGTGTGAATACTGTGGCACTCAAACATACAGGTGCTTCTCACGAACCACTCTGTCTGCAGAATGTCGTCCGCAAAACGCCACTACCAGGAACGGATCTTGTTCTTTGACGAACCATTCCGCGTTCCACAATCGGTGATCGACTCTATACACAGCACCAATTACGAAATACCTACTAGTATGATTCGGAGTAGTGTTCACTCCCCGCCGAGAGTCCATGTGTATGGTAAAATAGAACTGGGATCTCCACAGTGGTACTCCGTAGGTAGTCGTGGCCCAAGTTGGGGCCTACACAGTACTCGAAGAGAACAACGACCCCGTACACAGGACGACAGTAAGCACGTACTGTGTATACTGTGTATATTCTGTCTGTAGCCAGGAGAGGGGTCAACCGCCAAGACGGCAACGCTACATCCCTTCCCTCCCGATCCCGGACACGAGGACGGGTCAGGTAATACCTCGTACTGTACCTCGTACGTGCTTTTGATTATCGGGAAGGTTTGGGCTTTCTCATGCCCGCCCACGCCAACCAAGCTGTCTGGTATGCATCCAGTCAGTCGTACTGCATGTCTGATGTCCCGTGTCCATGTCTTGCCACGCGCGAGAGCGAGGGATCCCCTGTTCTGAAAGTGAAGTGAGGTGAAGTGAAGTGAAGTGAGACTTCCACATGAGCAGGACCACGCACTACGTACAGTACGGCCCAAGTACGACAGATGAATGTGCAGAGTACAGAGTACCCAGTCCAGTACCAGGCTTGACTCGAAACTCGTGACTCGAAAGTCGAAAGTCGAATCCACAATCACACTCATAGCTTCAGTGCACGCGAGTACAGTACAATTCACACCCGCGTTTCCACACCGCAAGCGGCTTCCACATAGGATACACAGCAAGGGCACGTGCGCAGCAACGTAGTACCTAAGCCGCACAAGGTTCAGGATTATCCACGTCCAAGAAGTCCAAGAAACCACGCAAAGCGTAAATAAAGTCGGTGTGGTGGAAATGATGAATAAACTTTACTGACTCGGGGTGGATGGACGCCTTAAAAGTTAGTATACGCAAAATGGAAGGTGGAAGGTGAATTGAAGCTTACAGGAAAGAAAATCAAAATCAATTCAATTCCCCGCCTTTTGGGTGCCTGACATGATGTGACGACTTGCGAAACGTCTCGAATCGTCAAGGGGCACTCACACTCACACTCACACTCACACTCACACTCACACTCACACTCACACTCACACTCACACCAACGCGCCATCGCACCATCGCTGGACATACTATGTATTGACTGTGGATTGTGCAACCTACGCTCGTACGAGGTAGGACCGACCCAGAACTCGGACGGGAACCAGGTGACACACACAGACGGGCGTTCTTGAAACGCTGGAACCACTAATTACCTCGAACGTAGTACGTAGTACATGGTATATGGTACATAGTACAGCGTACATAGCACTCGTACACGATGCAGCGACGAACAGTAGGTACTCGCACGTATCTCGGGGGTGATTTTCGTATTTCGCATTCCTGATACTCGAACCCACTTCTACAGGGTATGTACGGAGTACACAGTACTATACTGCAGTTGCCACCGCCTTTCATGGCGGAAGCGGAGACGAGACAGAGACCCAATAAACCTGTGGCTCCGCAGTCTCGTCTGTTTCTCGTCTCCTCTCGCCTCGCCCGGCTGGGCTACTGTACCTACTACCTCGTAGCGTGGTTGTAGTATACTATTGTGGGTCTGGGACATGACATGTGGGTGAGGCGGCGGTGAGGCGAAGTGTGTCGGAAATTGTTTTCCTTCTCCTTCTCCTACTATGGACGTGCGGTACGAGTACGCGCTATGTACTCCGTACTCCGTACAGTATGACCTTCGACGAACCGAGGATGCGAGTCAGGATTGCTAGCCATCGAGTCGGGCTCGGGCTCTACCCAGTACAGATACTCGATGTAGATCAAAAAGCATGGTCTATTCGTCTGTCTACGGTCATAGTTCTCATGGTCATTGAAAGCTAAGCTATGTGGTGGTTTCTCTACTATCCGTGCGAATGAATCCATATTCCATATTCCATGCTACCTGTCCCCTGTGTTTTTGTGTTGACGGCCTCGGCGCCATCAACTTGTTGGCCCCCCTGGGCGGATTCCCTTCAGCCCAATCCTGACTGCTTCGTAAAGGCGAAGCACCTTCCCACCGGATGACCCTTTGGGTCGATGCAAATTGTGGCAATGAAAGAAACGGTGCTCAGCTGTGCCCCTGGACACAGCAGGCCATTTCCTTTTGTTCGTGATCGTGAAGTGCGATTGCCATTCCCGTGATTCCACCCTGTCGTGCAGCCCATGTATCCATTCCCTTGGCGGACTCGAGCTCACTATCCAGCAAACAATGACTGTGGCAACCAAATGTTTTACCTCTTCGTAGCGCCTTCCGCGGAGATTCCCTAAGCGAACGTGGCTGGTTTGTGGAACTCCGCAATTGCAACAACATCAAGACAGGTGGAAAGCACCCTGACCCTCCCGGATTGCCACAAACAATCTTTCCTTGAGCACATCCTGCGACGTGTAGTCCGGAAGCTTGAGGTAGTTGACGCAAGTCATGACACTCGGCAGATAGTCGTCCGATGTGTAAGGAGGCTCGCTGGGTTTGCATACGACGGTGAACATGGGCGTCAGACTCTTGAACCCGCCAATTGGAAGCTTCGGGCTGCCTGTGACAAACTGGAGGAAATCGCGACGCTGAGAAAGACTGAGTTCCGACATGGTTTGCAGTAGGTTCTTGACACTCTTGCTGTCCATATTGAAGCCGTGATCGGCTTTGACCGAGTCCATCAACGTCTCGATACTCCAGTCCTCTTGCGTGCGGCCAAACAGCATGACCAGTTCGTCGGGCGTAAAGGCTCTCAGGGACGAGTAGGAGAACACTTGAGAAAACCCGGTCTGGAATGCTTCAATCTGGGGCCGCACGCCGCTGCCAAGGCTCAAGTCGAGCACTCGATCAATGTATTGCTGAACGTTGTCCACGTTGACCGTCACGTTCGATCCGTCGGGAATCAGCTCAATCTCAGGATAGCCCGGAAGGGTGAAGTCAAGAGCGAGATCCTCGACTTTGGCACCATGGATGTTCAGGTTCTGAATTGCTTGTGCTTTCTCTTCCTCCGACATGGACGAGTCGAGTTCGATCTTCGCCTTCACTTTGACGATCTGCTGGAGCTGAGAGAGAGAGTTGGCAAGATCCTGGTCGATGGTACGCAACAACCCAATAGAAGGAACAGCATTTGTGATGCCGCCGATCCTGAAGAAGGTCGGGCTAAAGGTGATATCAATGATGCGAGAATCGAGCATCGAGCGAGCCACGAACTTTCCAAGCGTCTTGAACAACAACGCGAGCTTCTTGCCCGCTTCTTTGCCGCTCTCTTCCGGACTCGTGGGGATTGGAAAGAGACCGTTCTTTCCAAAGGCGAATTGGTCCTTGTCTGCAGAATCGTTTTCGCGCCACATCTTCAGTTTCTTCTTGGAGAATTCTTTGGACACGCTCGAATAGAATTCGAGAGTCGGGCCCAAACCCGTCCCGACCTCTTCAAAGTACTCAACCTCGAGCACACTTGGTGACGCGCCATACATGTCCATGACCTTCATGGCACTCTCCAGGATACGGTGACGTGAAATGCGCACCTTCTGCCGTTGGGGTCTACCCAGCATGGGTCTGTCATCTCTCCGCCGATCACGGCGATCATCATTCTCGGATTGATTGTTCTGCCATCGGACCATCGAGCGCGAGTATCCGAAAGAGGTCGATTGCAGGAACAAGTGTCGGGTCTCAAAGGGGAACAGGAACGGGAACGACCGAGCAAGGTCCTCACTCCAGTCTGGCAAGCAGTTACTAGCTACAATCAGCGGTTCCTCCAGTTGACGGTTCATCTTGGCGGTCAATTTGGTGTTGATGAATGATGCGAGAGGCTCGGCATAAAGCTTCAGCCCTGGCTGTTCAGTGATCTCTCGTATCTCGTCCAGATTCGCATTCAAGTCGTGCAAGATGCCCAGTAGAGTCAGGATGCGGGACGTGATAGGGTGACCTTCGAGCGACGCTGGAAGCGCATTCTGAGATCCTCGCTTCTCTGCCGCGCCAAAAGGAGGTAAGCTCGAAGGCGAAGGTGGAGGACCTCGGACTTTTCTGAACTTGACTGTATGGACGCCTGACCAGACACTGCGTAAAGAGAGATCCTGCGGCTGATCACGGTTGTGGTGAACGGCGCGGTAGATGGTCGTATTGTTCGGGATGATTTTTCCATCAATACTGAATTCGATGTGCCAGTCTTGAGGCACAGCTGCAAGCGCTTGGGCGTATGAGGGACGACCCGCCGCAGTGACTGGCGAGGGTCCAGGAGACTGTCCTGAAGATGGTGGTCGAGCATTTGGGGGAATGGGCGTCCCTGGCTGAGGGGTTGCAACTCTGGTTCCATCCTCTTTTCGAGCCGTCACCTTGCCAGTAGACCCAATCTCCATGTTGACAGCGCCGGGTTCGGGCATTTCTTCATCCGACATATCTTCCTCGAGCCCATCCACGAATGCGTCCAGGGCTCCAACCCCTTCAGGGTCGTTGCCCTCATCGTCCTCAAGCACCTTTTCGTCTGCACACTCGAGCTGGTGCTGCGATTCTTCGGAACTGGGCTCTGGTGGTGGTGCTGATGGCTGATCTGAAGATGAAGCTTGATCGCGACGATTTGAGCGCTTCCGCTCAGTCTTCTCAGCCGACTTCTTCTCGGCAGGAGCATGACGCTCTTGAGACCGTCGTTTCATTTGAGACGGAGGGCGTGATTCTGCCTTCCCTGGCGTAGCCGGAGACCCAAGGTCTTGGCCTAGCGGAGAAAGAAGGCCTGATTCAGCAGCACCAGACAAGTGCGCAAGACGGGCATTGGCGATATGTTGCAACATATCCCGACGGCGTTGCGCCGATGATGGTGGACGCTCGGACAGGGTGATTCGAGGCCGAAGGTAGTCATCAAGCGCTTTGAAGGTCGCGATGGCGTGAATCGAAACTATCATGTCGCGGTAGGTCAAAGGGATGTCACTGTCGGAGTCTGCTGTCAGCTTCAGGCGGATCTGACGCGAGAGCATAGAAGTAGAGCTGCTGCGACTGCTCTCCGAAGCATTGTTGTTGACGGTTAGGACCTCAAAGTGTTCCGCGCGGCTAAGCAAATCCTGTAACTTCTGTATGAGGACGCTGAACGGTGTTACTGCAGACGCCGCCGATGTCGTCTTGATATTGCCTCGATAGGTTGTTCCCATGAAGGCGGAGACCAGGTTCGCTCTGGCGACTCCCATGTTGGACGAAGGTCCGTCAGACAAGACTTGCACCAGAACACGGATGATGCCTGAGTCTAACAACTCTGAACTCGTTATGCTCTCCAGAGCGTCTTCATCAAAGTAACTGGCAAGGCGTGAAAAGAGCTCGTTGCCAGCCCCGTTGGGGTTGGGATCACGGTAAAAGACCTCAATGTCGGTGGCAAGCTTGTGCAGATCGGTTCGAATATCGGCTGCCTTCTCCTTCATCTCTTTGCCCTTCGCTGTGTCATACTTGGTCAAGAAATTCTTCGCTCGCATGATGACCAAGTCAGAAACTCCAGCGATGGCAAGGGGCGACGGAATATCTTCATCATCAGAGGAGTCTGAACTTTGAGAACCGTCCATATCATCATGGTGATGTCGAGCAGCAAGGTCTTCGTCGTCTCTCTCGTCATCATTATCCTCATTCTCTGGATCGCCATATTCATCATCCTCGCCGTCGTCATTGTGTTCTCCGTCGTCGTCATCCTCGTGTTGATTGCTACCCAGCTTCGCCTGGACATCGGCACTTCCTGCGCCGGGATTGGCATCATCAGCATCAGTGCTTTTGGCTGGCTTTGTGTCCGTTGCGAGGGGTCGGTCAGCGAGCTTCTTAATCTCACCAATGACGCCTTCACGATGGAACTGATATTGATAGATGTCCTCGAGTCTCTCAAAAAGCAGCTCTGAAGCCTGCAGGGCGAAAACCACGAGGCTTGGATGATCTTCTTGGGACAGGATTGATGCAAGAAATGAGGCATATGGCACTGGTCGTAGTGCCTCCTCAACGACCGTTGTCTCCAAGTTGGACAGAATTTTGAGCTGAGCAATGAGGACTTTCTGGCGGACACTCAGGTTGACAGTGCTTGAATAAGCGTCGGTCAAGGTGGGCAGGAGGATGGTCGCAAAGCGGCGCGTTTCTTGTTTGCAGTCAGCCAGAACTTCAAGTCTCTTCTCTGTTTTAGACTGCTGGCCGGAAGCTTGATCGTCTTCATCCGACATGTAGTCATCCATATCGTCGTAGACTTCGGAGCCTACCTCGCTGGAGAGCTTCGGGCGTGGTAGAAGTTCGCAAATAACATTCAAAGTCTCGTATACCTGCTCTCTCGGTCTGTGGATCAGAGCTTGCATAATGACCACACTGTCAATCTTGGAGGCATCGTCGTCAGTCTCGCTCGGAGGGGACACGCCGGTAAGAATCTGGTACAAGGTGTCCACGACGTTCATTTTGAGTAGATCTCCTGAAAGCCGAGGGCTTGCTCGCGCCACTATTGCGAGCACGCGCAGAAATTCCGTGTGAATGTTCGCCCCAATGAGGTTGGTGGTGCCTGGTAGCAGAAGTCCCAGGATGGCGCGCAGCAGAGGGGGGTCAACCAACTGCTCCAGCTTGTCCGAGCTATGCTTGAAACTATCGATGACTCGGGTGACGCATAGACAGCCTTGTTCGACGACTTTTTGATCGTGGCTCGACAGGACATTGAGCAGGATCGGCATGACGTCTCGAATGACCGGGAAGGAATCGTGAGGGATGTTACGACAGCAGTTTGCCGCGGTGGTGACGGCGGTTCGCTGTGTGCCGGTGGCAAAGAAGTCAAGGAATTGAAGACATGCAGTCAAACCTCCCTCGCGGACGATTGATGCCGGGAAGTCGATTGAGACTTTAGACAACGTGCTCAAGGCCTGCTCGGCGACGTCGATGTACTGAATATCAAGCAGCTTTTGGCAAAGTACTGGTACAGCCCCTCCGTAGACCACATTGGCCACGGAGCCCCGTAAAGCCTCCATCAGATTGGCAATACACCGGCAAGCCAGAAGCATCATCTCAGGGTTCTCCTCGCCGGTGATGGGATTCGGCTGCATCAAGGCCACGAGTTCTTTGACATAAGGATCCGGTGAAAATTGACCCGAGAGATTATCTTCATTCGAGACCAACAGGAGGTTCGAGAGCTCTTCGAGAGCCACCATCTGCATGGTTGGATTGTCCGATTGCCGGAGATTGTTCAGGATATCTCGGAGTCTCGAAGACATGCCGCTCATCATTCCACTCAAGGCTCTGAGGGTGTTTGATAGCCCTGACGGAGGGCCGCGGCCAGTGCCGAAAAGGGCTGCGGAAAAGGGATCTGGGCCATCATCGTCATCCATGCCGCTGTGATCGTCGCCGTCGTTACTGTCACTGTTCGAGCGATCAGGGGGAGGAGAAGTGTCTTTCTCTTCTTTGGCGGGCTTCTCGTTCTCGTCTTCTTCGTCCCTCATCTGAACATCCTGGTCTTTCTTGCTCAAACGTTTCCTCTGGCGACGCGGCTGAGGAGTCTGCGATGGTGCTGTTACTTCTGTCGAGGCAATCAGCGGACTTGAAACATCGCTTTGAGACTGTAAACTACCTTGTGTCTTGTTACCTCTGCTTGACTGGCGTCGGGAGCCTGATTTTGCTGCCAGTGGCTTCTCGGACTCTTCGTGGTACTTGGACGATGAACTGGTACAATGAGCTGATGTTATCCGTATCTCGCACTCTCTCAATACATACGCATTATTAGACATTGCCGGTTCTTTCTGGGCGCTCCGTCTTCGAGTCGATCGAGCCGCAGGTGGCGCAGCTGTTGGCTCGTTCTGCGGCGACTCAGCTAATTTCTGTCTCTTTCCGCCGCGGGTCGATGGAGGGCTCTTCTCTTCCGGATCGTCGGTAGGGTTCGAGGCACGACGGCCTGGAGCCTTTCGCTTTCTCGAGGTTACGGCAGGAGGATCGGGTGGAGAAGCCGATGTCGATGGGTGCGAGGGAGCAAGAGGCGCTGAAGTGGTCGAGACGCCAGACTCTGCAGCGAGCCTCGCAGAGGAACGAGTGACTCTGCGGGACATGAGCAATGGTTCTCATCAGGGAATGCGGACGATGTGATAATATCAGAGGTAGGAAATGAGGGGAAGAGGATGGAGTGGTGGCACTAGAGTGTGTGCAGTTCAACCTGACGTTTCCTTCAGGCAGTGTTTGGGCCCAAGGCGACAAGCAAGGCGGAGAAAAGACTTTGAGCCAAGCAAAGGCAGAGTTGAGAGGCAGGCAATGCAGGTGAATGAACGGAAAAGGCAGCAGTACCTGGATGTCTGCGAAGACGGTGAATCATGCGGTTGCGAGGAAGTCGCGGTGGTGGTTGCAGAGGCCGGTCGGTGACTAGAGGCAAGAGTCGCAGCACGCTCGCTGATGAGATTTAAATGTGAATTGCGTGCAGGTTGCGGATGTGCCATGTTAACCCGCCATCTGCAGCGGGGAGTGTCTAGAAGTGATCAGATCGGAAATGAATGTACAGATGCCAGATGGGTGAAATCAGATACGTCGTCGAGACGTCTTGTCATGGTAGTAACAGAGGATGAGTTTGGGGCGCCATCCATCGGACGAATGCTCGACGACGTCGAACCCGCAGCCGCAGCCGTTGGCCCAAGAGTGGAACGCCATGCCTAGCTAGGTAAGGGGATTTCGGGTCTCCCTAAGTACCTAATCACGGGCGCGTCAGAGTATTTAAGGCACCGAAATCCCCCTCTTCACACATGAGCAGCCGCCCCGAGTGACTGGAGCCTCTCCAACCGGCCCTGACTGCGAGGTCGCGGGCGGACGATTCTTTCCACCCTTGTTTGTGCCAAAGAACAGTCGCGACACTCTCCGCAGGATAAATTCTCTCCAGCATCCAGGTTGTGATGGGCTTTCCTTGAACCTGGTAGACACAGCAGCAAAAGTATATCTAGAAATGTAGGAAGCAAGTGTTGTGCAGTCTGCGGTAACTCACCACGTGAATGAGACCGCGAAGTCCTTGATGTCCTGGCACCGGTTGCAAGAGACATGCATATGCAATGCAGCACCTCGACAACATGCGAACAGTTGTTGGCGCACCTTGATGTGTAAGCTGCAGCAACGAGCCTCGCCTCGCCTCGGCTGTGCCAGACATGACTGCCCGCTGTGCAATGCAAGACCGGTAGAGAGCCTGTCCTGCGGCTGCAGCGTCGATGACGACAAATCTGAGAATCAAAGGTGTCACAATTGCCCTTGGGCCCCGTGTTATCATAGACCAAGGCGAATGGAGAGCCGCAGGGCGGCCACGATTTGCGGTTTTCTTTCAATGACCGATAAGCAAAGGTGGATTTTATCACCGTTGATTCTGGCACGAGAAACTGCCGTCTGAAGAGTCGGCGAGCAGATCGTCCCTACACCGGACGCAGTACGCAATGCAACAATGAGGTGTCTGCAGCTTTAAAGCCGGGACTCCTGCTGCTCTCGCTGACTAGGTACTGTAAATAATTCCATTCCACTTCCAATCCCATTCTCATCGCTCCATCTCCATCTCCTCGTCCGGAGTATCACGGTCTCGATCTTCCTGTTTTTCTTCTTTCCCCACTCGACAAATCCAGCCGTTGCCTTTTCCGGGCTGGCGACGAAGCGAAATCCCGGTCTATCCAGAATTACTCACCCTCCCCGGCGCTTTGAGGCTTCCAGACAACTGCGGCCGACCATCGCCTGTCGGAGATCGAGCGTGACTTTCCAGTTCTCCAACCCGCCGTGAAAGCCAGCTGAAGCCAGGCCTGCCTCGTGTCGGCTTTTTCTCCTCCACTCCGCACAGCTGCACGGAAATACCTGCCTCTCCCCCGAACTCTCTCAGCGTGGGCCATGAAGCCCTGATGCTGGATCGTTCCTACAATTTCCTCCCTTCGTCCACCTCAGTCAGATCCTGTCTCCGGCACAGGACTTTCGCGACCAGAGCCAGTCTTCGTCACCGGCAAGGCGCCATTGCCCCGCCTTACGCCTTGTCCACTTCCAGTCATAATACTCCCCGTGACAAATCACCGTTATCCTCGGCCATCCTTCTGCCTGCCTCTCACTCCTCCCCCGTTGTGAAGAAGGTCAACTGCACCCTGACGCAGACCAGATCGACTGTTCTTCAAGCAATCACCGGTGACGGCGACACGATGGACGAATACCACTTTCCAGAGTCTCGCCTCAAGAAGAAGATGGACGACCCGGAGAAGACGCCTCTGTTGCTGATAGCTTGCGGCTCTTTCTCTCCGATCACCTTCCTGCACCTTCGCATGTTCGTCATGGCCGCAGACTACGCCAAACACAATACCGACTATGAAATGGTGGGCGGCTACCTGTCGCCGGTATCGGACGCATACAAGAAGCAAGGCTTAGCCCCAGCAGAACACAGGTATAACCCTCACCTTCCACGGCGAGACACTAGGCTAACGCATTCGTCACAGAGTCGCAATGTGCCAACTGGCAATCGATAAAGCCTCCAACTGGCTAATGGTGGACTCCTGGGAAGCAGAGAAGAAGGACTACACAGCCACCGCCAAGGTGCTGGACCATTTCGACCATGAGATCAACGTGGTCCGGAAGGGCATCGACTGTGGCAACGGCACACGCAAGCAGGTCAAGATATCTCTGCTTGCCGGAGCGGACTTGATCCAAACCATGTCAACTCCGGGTGTGTGGAGCGAGAAAGATCTCGACCACATTCTAGGGAGGTACGGCACCTTTATCATTGAGCGATCCGGCACCGATATCGACGAAGCCCTGGCAAGCTTACAGAACTACCGCGAGAATATTCACGTGATCCAGCAACTCATCCAGAATGACGTCAGCAGCACGAAGATAAGGCTGTTTCTGCGAAGAGGCATGAGCGTGCAGTACTTGATCCCGGCCCCCGTTGTGGAGTACATCGAGCAGAATCGCCTCTATAGAGACGACGCGCGCTCGGCCAGCAACGCCTCCATACACCCACCGGATAGTGACAAGGGCAAAGCCAAGGAAGCATCATCGGCGGAGCCATCATGAAACCCGGACGCCCACCAGATCCAACATTGTGTCTGGCACTCGCGTGGCCCAGCTCGCTTCCCGCACCAGCATTCGTCCCAGGCTTCATGCAGCAACCTACCTCTGATGCCCGCCCGCGTTGCATTCAGCATTGGATAAATTTCGAGAGAAGCACCCTGCAGAAAAACAATGAATACAACCGTCGGAGTTCAGTGTGGGGGTGGTTTCATACGTCGCGTCAGCGCAGCATGGGTACTAGCCCTGTCACGAGCCTGATGCACACGTCGACATGTCATCCAGCGTTGGAGTTGCTAGCGATGTTTGCGAAACGAGACAATGTGTATATCCAAGAGATGAAAAGAAAAGGTTCTGGCGCCGCTGTTCCACGAAGCGCCGATTGGGTAGACGCGAGCACGACAGAAAAACTCGCGAAGGATATTGTGCGTAGACAGAAACAGCACAGGCTATAAAGTCGCTACCGAAGAAAGCATACCTTCTCTGGTCCTGAGGAGAGCTTCATCTCACCAAGAGGCAGCGCGGGGCCCGTATAGAGCCCCAGAAAAGCAGACGGCGGCTAGATTCGAATATACAGACTCCACGGCATGAGGCATGTCTGCCGTGTCATCTTCCTGGTTGTTCCGTGCTGTTCTACGGAGTACGTTCAAGGTTGCTCTACTGTAACGTTTCGAAGCCTGCGAACACCTACAGTAATGAGTTCGATATCCGGGTCATGACGTGACGTGCGTGAGCTACAGTCCCTACAGTGGTGAGGCTGGTCAATCCGCAAGTGACATCAGTGACGCTGCCCCAGGCAATCCGAGCATCATCGATGGTGTCGTGTGTGTCAATGACTTCCTCGGGACGGGTGGGAAGCAAGAGGCGCGCCTCTTTTCATGCCTCAGACTTAAGCTTGTTCACAGTCGTGCATTGATACAGGACCTGCTGTCCCTCAGAATTGGAAAATACTCTACTGGTGTCTCGTGGAGGTATGGAGTACGATATATATACGTATGTGTATCTATACACACTGTGTCCCATAGATCTATTCCATGTTTGTACTCTGTACTCTGGAGTCATGTGTTGAAAGTGAGACTACGGACCGACTACTGTAAGGAGTGTCCGGGCCAGTAGATTCGCGTATACAAAGTACTATATATTGACTGGATACCTACGAAAAGAGAAGACTCTGCGAGTCCTGCGAGTTCATGAGACGAAGAATATACAACGAAGGTATCTGGGGCAAAAAACACGGCCCCCTTTGTTCCTTTCTTTTGCCACACGTCCAATCCACCTACTTAACCTACCTACCCGATTGTCCGCCTGCGCGTCCTAAGAGATCTGAGGTTGAGGTTGAGGTTGAGGTCGAGGTCGAGGTCGAGGTTGACAGGACAGCTTCTGTGTAGCCTGATCTAGCCTCACGCATCGGTCCTCGCTGCGGCACTCTTCCCCTGCCCATGGCTTGCGTCTTGTCTTTCCCCCTTCCCAGCGGACATTCGTGCTCTCCGACCCTCGTACGTCGCCAGGTCGATCCCCGTCGCCGCTTCGATTTGCCCCCTCCTGCGTCTCTTTTAACTCCAGCTCGCTCCCGCGGCCAATCCGTTGTCCGTGCCCACCCGGCCGGCCGCCTGGTTTCCGCCTACACCGGGCCTATCTCGCGCCCAGTCATTCAACTCATCCCTGCCTTTCCCCGTATACTCCATCACGTCCTCGTCGCTTGGGCCCTCGCCTCGCTTGGCCGCCTGGTAGGACGCGTACTTCTGCCCGAGCCAGGATCCCTTGCGCCCGGACTGGGGATCGTGGACGTCCGGGTTCTGGTGGTCGAAGTCATTGTCGTTGTTGGGGTGATGTACATACAATGGGTCGCGATCATGGCTTCGGTCCTGGTCAAGATCATGCGTGCGGTCCGAGTCACGATAGCCAGCTTCTGGACGGGCGCGGTCATCGTTGTTCCGGTCCGAGTCACGCTGACCAGTCCCTTGGCGGGCGTGGTGATCTTGATCCGTAGGGTTGGCAGGGTTGTTTGCCCTGGCGAATGCGTCTTTGGCGTCGCGGGACGTCGGATCGTTCGGATCCTGGTAGCCGCGAGGATCCATACCCGCTGGCCGCTGCGGGTTGGAATAAGAGTTGGGATTGTCATTGTCCCAATCGCCCCCGTCGAGGGTTTGATATGGTTTCAATGCCGTGTCGGGATCGCCTTGCCCGGCGTTTGAGCCAACTCCAGCGTTCTCATGAGGAAACCCTGCTGATGAACCAGGATCCAAGTCCGGTCGATCCGACGCCAGCTCATTGTTCGGATACTGCTGCTGCTGCTGCTGCTGTTCGTATTCGTAGCCGGCGCCTTGCTGTTCAGCCGAAAAGTCACGCGGCTCTTCTCCGACTGGAGCTGGCGTTTCGTGTGGTGCATATTCCGTCATGCGCCGCGGGTGGCCGTCTTGCTCATAATCGATATCTGAAAAATTGGTTCTCACCTTTCCCATCGGTGGGACCGCTGATGCTGTCGTTGTGGTCTTGACCGTTTGGCTGTTGAGGTCGGGAATATCGTCCCCTTTGAGACGCGAAGAGCCACAGCCCATTGTTGGCTGCCGAAGCTTTCAGAGCAAGGTGGATATTATTGAGCGTGTTTGCTACTTCGACTTGCGACGTGGTCGCCCGTCGTGCAATACGATTGAAGTCTGTGAATGTTTGGTGGTGGGAGGTGGTATCTCCGGCTCACAGCTCTCCGTCTTGATGTCGTGGTTGATCCGAGAGGCAATACGGAGGCTACGAATCGACTCGACCCCAAGGTAATGAGAGCGACGACGACGCGGTATAAGTCGCCCCAGAGAAATCCCTACCAGGCCGGACAGAACTACGTAGTTGAGCACTGTGAGCAAAGTTCCAAGAATAGGTCAGAGGTGAGAATCTCCCGTCAAACGCCGAAGCGGCATAGCCACCCATTTAACCATCTAATAGCTTCCTTAGCAGCAGTAGCTTCGGGGTCAGACGAGCACAACGTGAGCTGACGTCCGGGCGGTTTCCTGCCACTGGATCGACGGTCGGCGCCACCAAACACTGGGCAGCTTGCGACATTCTGGAGGTGGAGTTGTGGGGTTATGCCCTGGAAGTAACATTTCGCTTTAGCCGAGCTCTTGTGTGTTGCGATGCAAGGGCACAATTGCCTTGGATTGGTCTTGATGACGTTAATAACCGGCTCTCGCTTCGATTGGGGCGCAGCAGAGGTTTGTTGCGTGCCTGAGCGGCAACTACGATTTGGAGATGGGCAAGATATTCATATAGCACATTTAATATATAATGGCAGGCTGCGGGCTTCCTCCTTCACATTTCATTGCGACACAGTGAGAAGGCAAGCGCCCGAAGGAGCCTCATCAGCGGATGGGGAGGGTCTATTCCCGCTCATGATCCAATGTTCCCTATGGTGCATTTTGTTGTACAGACCATTGCCTGAGTGGCGACGTGTGTTCGAAGGCGTGGATGTTGAGGTAAACGCTTGCTTTTATCACTTGCAGGCGCTAGACCCCCGTCAGTGTTGAACAACAATGAGACGCGTCGAACGTGGCCCAGGAGTTTCCAACAGTATCGCAGATCGACAATTCGACGGGCATGAACCGAGTGCCCCATGGTGCCCCATGGTGGCCTCGATCGGTGTGGCAGAGACAACGTCTCTGCACCTTCCGGGTGCAGGTGAGCCAGACAGTTTGACACTGCTGTGCTACAAGTAGAGGTGGAGGGCGGTACACGTCCGCTGCCAGACTTCCTCGCCTGGATGGTGGGATCAAGCGGTCTCAGCGGAGCGAGACGACTTGCCATGGGGCAGATCATAGTGGCTTCACTCCTCGATGTATGCTTGCGATGCCTCCTGTCAAGTTCTCGTAGCCTTGACCCGGGGCAATGAAGCCAGCATTTTCAATCATAGCTTTGAATTCTTCTTGCGTGGGGAACCGTTCGATGCTCTCCACGAGATATTGGTAGCTGTCCCGGTCTCCAGCGACCAGTTGCCCTATCAAAGGAATGGCACCAAAGCTCCACCTCTTGTAGACGGCATTAAATAACGAGCTGTTGACGTGGCTGAACTCGAGACATGCAAACACTCCGCCTGGCTTGAGGATCCTGAATGCCTCGCGGAGAGCCACGTCCTTGTTGGTGAAGTTGCGGATGCCAAATGCGACAGTGTAGAGATCAACCGAGTTCGACGCAATCCCGGGCATGTGTTCAGCATTTCCTTGCACGAAAGATAGTCTTCCTGATTTCCAGTACGGAGTTTCCTGGGCCCTCTTTTGCCCTTCGGCCAACATATCCGCATTGATGTCCGCGATGGTGACTTTCGTTTTGAGATCGAGGTTCACGTTCGTCGCGTGGTCAAGCATACGGAACGCAATATCGCCCGTTCCGCCAGCTACGTCAAGAATGCTCCAGCCTGTCTCGCTGTCCCGGCTGCCCGGGTTGAGGCTGCGGACGAAGTAATCTTTCCAGAGCCGGTGGATTCCCAGGGACATTAGATCGTTCATGGTATCGTAGGAGGAGGCAACTGAGGAGAAGACGGCGCCAACTAGCAGAATAAGTGGTGGGACAAGCGTCTCGGAGAGCAACGCCTACCTCTGGCTTCCTTCTGTGTTTCCGATATTGTCTCAAAACCAAAGTGAGTTGTCCGCTCATCTTGACCGGGGAGCTGTTGTGGCCGGACATTGCTTGTTGTCAACAGTCGTCGCGATGACGGCAGCCGCGACGTTCGACCCGACAGGCTCGCAAGCCGTCGAGCAGGGAGACGCAGCATGACTGCGATGCCGGCTTTCTCTCCCAGAAGTTCAACAGCTGGTCGACAGTTTTCTTCGACGCGACACCCGGAAGAGGTTTAGCCTGTCGAGAGCAGCCATGCAGCCAATAGCGGCGACTCTAGCGGGGCCCCATCCAGCTCTGTCGACCGTGGATAACCGAAGCCGTTTGCTTAGGGTCACGTACTCCCATCCCTGCTTTCTCTTCCTCGTCCATCTTACTACACTGCTTCCACGCGCCCTGTTTGTCTTTTTGCTGCTTGGGCGGCTTGTCTGATTTGGCCGGGTCATCATGAAATATCGGGCTGTTCTAAGACCGTTGGCAGCAGGCTATAGATACAGGTCTGGGGTGCTGGTACGGGGGCACAGCATACGATGGGCGAGCGATACGTATTCCTCAGGGCCTGCACAAAAAGCAGGGTCGGATTCGTAAGTATCCGGTTGAGTCTGATTCCCGCGCGTTCTCGCCCGCTGAATCTCTTTAGCGTTCATTTTCCAGGAGCCCTGAACAGCAAATTTACCTCGAAGATGAGGTTTCAGAATCCGGCCGAGGAGACGGCTATGCCGACATATCGGATTATGGATGCCGATGGCAACATTGTCGATAATACTAGAGACCCGCAATCAGCCTCAGATGCAGAGATCACCCAATGGTATCGGAACATGCTCACTGTTAGCATCATGGATCTGATCATGTTCGATGCGCAACGCCAAGGACGAACCAGCTTTTATATGGTATCGGCTGGTGAGGAAGGCATAGCCGTGGGTTCTGCCTCTGCCTTAACGCCCGACGACGTGTGCTTTCTACAGTATCGCGAGCAAGGTGTCCTCGTGCAGAGGGGCTTTACGCTGAAGGAAATGATGAGTCAGCTATTTGCGAACAAGGATGACCACGGAAAAGGGCGCAATATGCCCGTGCATTATGGCAGCGGCAAGCTCAATGTGCATACGGTCTCGAGTCCCCTAGCGACCCAGATTCCGCAAGCATCAGGAGCCGCATACGCCTTGAAGATGCAACGGCTCATCAATCCGAACGTCCCTCCTAGGATTGTGGCATGCTATTTTGGAGAGGGAGCAGCGAGTGAGGGCGATTTCCACGCAGCATTAAACATTGCCGCAACGAAATCGTGTCCGGTGGTGTTCGTGTGCCGCAACAATGGATTTGCGATTTCGACGTCGAGCATTGAGCAGTATAAGGGAGACGGCATCGCCAGTCGTGGATTGGGGTATGGCATTGATACCATTCGGGTTGATGGCAACGACATCTTCGCAGTGAGAGAGGTCATGCTAGAAGCGAGGAAACGCGCCCTCGAGGGCGACTGCAAACCGATCCTTGTGGAAGCCATGAGCTATCGAGTCAGTCATCACAGCACCAGCGACGACAGCTTCGCATATCGAGCCAAGAGGGAAGTTGAAGAGTGGAAACGAAGGGACAACCCCATCACTCGATTGCGCAAGTGGATGGAAAAGAAGGGTATCTGGGACGAAGACAAGGAGAAGGAAGCAAGAGCGTCAATCCGCAAACAAGTGCTACAAGAGTTCTCGGCAGCAGAGAAGGTCAAGAAGCCACCCCTGCGGGCAATGTTTGAAGACGTTTATGAGGAGATAACACCCGAGGTCCAAGAACAGATGAAGGAGCTCAAGCGGCTTATTGAGAAGTATCCGAAGGAGTACAGCAGCGTGTCGCAATATGAAGGAGGGATCAAGACGCTGGAATGATGGACTGACGCGGACTCGGCGATATGACAAACAAGGCACCGAAAACCACAACCTCCCAAATAATGTAGGTGTCGTGCCCGGGGCGAGTACTCCGTGCCCTGCATTCCATACATCAAAGGCTGGACCCATGAAGTCGGGCCACGTTGCTGATAGAACGGTGTTCTTGCATGAGTAAATGCATGACCAGGGTGATGAGACCCTTGGAGACCTCCTTTAGGAGAGCGCCACGGTGGCTTGACGGTTGCCAAGCCGGAAGTCGCGGGGCGTGCAGGATTAGCGCCGAACCAGCCACCGTGGCACCCGACGAGCCTGATTCTGAACCTGATCGCCAGGGTCTTTGTGACGAGGCTGACAGTCCGTCGTTGTTCAGCCTCCCCATTTCTGTCCAATCCTCTCTCGCAGGTCACCTTTCCCTGTGAAAAGAAGCTGCTTTTCGAGATAGCGAGCCAATGAGAGGATTCATCACCGCCTCGACCAAGAGACATTCTCGTTCTTCACCCTGTCGGCATCATGAAACCCGCTGCTTCGTTTGTGCGAGCTGACGTCGCGTGGTTTGGCGACTTGCCAGCCTCTTCAGAGACAAGTCACTTTTCTACCTATGACCACGTTATTTTTCTGCCGCATCGCTCACTGTCTTTGTCTTTTGTCTGTTCAGCACATATCCGCGCTTGGGACTCTACTGTGTTACTGCCATGCTGCAATCTTGAGTTTTGCCAGTCTTCTTCAGCATCTTGAGCGGCTCGTGCTTCCTGCATTGTTCTGGCGTTGAGTCTTTCATCTTGTACACTATGCACACTTCAGTGGCGAGCTCAGTGCTCGCCGCATTGGCCCTCTCCTCCCTGCTAGTACCGACAGTTGCACAGACATATTCGTCCTGCAATCCTTTGCAACAAAGTGAGTTCTCCGGCGCCAGGTTCCCTTCGACATGGCTGACTTCTCCCCAGGTGGATGCCCCGCGGACCCTGCTCTCGGCAGAAGCGTCGATGTCGAGTTCGCCGCCGGTGCCTCGGACGAGTTCACGGCTTCGGGCGCAGTCAGCTACACCTCCGATGGCGCAGCCTTTACAATCTCTCAGCGCGGCGACGCTCCTACCCTGTCCTCGAATTGGTATATCATGTTCGGACATGTCGATTTCGTGGTCAAAGCTGCTCCAGGAACAGGAATAGTCAGTGCCGCTATCTTGCAGTCTGACTGCCTGGATGAGATAGACTGGGAATGGCTGGGAGGCGACAATAGTCAGGCCCAAAGCAACTACTTCGGAAAGGGCATCACCACAACGGGATACAACCGAGGAGCATATCACGGGGCACCCAACAACCATGACGAGTTCCACACCTACAGCATTGACTGGACCGCCGATCAGATTGTCTGGTCCATTGATGGCCAGACGGTTCGCGCGATGACCCAGTCACAAGCTGAAGCCGGCCAGTATCCTCAGACGCCGATGTACGTGAAACTTGGAGCCTGGGCAGGTGGTGACCCATCCAACCCCGAGGGCACGATCCAATGGGCTGGAGGTGTCACCGACTACTCCGCTGGGCCCTTCACCATGTATGTGAAGTCGATTCATGTCACGGACTACTCGACCGGCTCCCAGTACTCCTACTCCGGTACCAGCGGCACGTGGCAGTCCATCAGCTCCAACGGCGGTCAAATCAATGGTCAAGGAAACGGTGTCCCAGTCTCGTCTGGTTCAGTACCTGCAGTCACTTCATCGGTCCCCAACAGTGCTCCTCTCGCCTTCGGCAATGGTGATGACGGCTCATCCGCAACTGCAACTCGAACCGGCTGGCCGTGGTCGGGAACGGCGACAGCGACAGTAGCGAGCGTGGTAAGCTCTTCAACTTCTGGGCTGACAAGTTAGTGGCATTCCTCTTGTTTCAGCCAAACGTGGTGATTGTTGACTGACTATCTTCCAGTCCGGCTCCAGTTTCCCATCCCCATCGCCGTCCTCATTGGCGGTCTTGTCCTCGGCGTCGGTTTCGGCCTCGGCTTCCCTTGATGTCGTTACGTCCTACGACTCGCAAGGATCTCCAACGCTCGTTACCATCTATCCCGCCACCTCGACCACTCCAACTTGCTATGACGACCACGGGTTTCCCACCGCTTGCGCCACAGTGATTGTTCCGTTATCGAACGAGTCAGGATCGACGCAATCCTCGGCACAGACGATTTTGACCAGCTCTGGATCACCGAATCCAGGAACAGTCGCATCTTCCAGCTCCGACGCAGGTCCATCAGGGAATCCGAGCATTATCTCAGCCTCTTCCGGAGCTACACCGGGATCCACCGCAGCGACCATCTCAGAAGATCTCTCAACTGACGCCCAGTCAACAGCAGCAGCCGCCAGCACAGCCACAGCAACGACGATAACATCTCCTGATGTCTCATCTCCTTCCAGCGTTAATTCACTGTCCACCGACTCAAGTTCTCAGACAGCAGCCACTGCCACAGCCGAACTCACTTCCAATGCCCCCCCTAGCCCAACTTCCCAACCAGAAGCCACATCTTCGACGTCTCCTTCATCCACCACCGAGGTCGCTCAATCTGATAGCAGCACCAGCCCGAGCACCCCATCTCAGACGGTCATCACATCCAACGGATCTATCCTGACGGTCATCCTCACCTCCTCCACATCCCTCGCCAGCAACTCGCTCAGTCCCACGGAGTCGGGACTCTCGACGACCTCGTCCACCACACGACCCAGCACGACGTTCTCAACGTCGAGTCAAATACCCAGTAGATCGTCTACTGCTTCTTCCTCGTCTTCATCATCATCATCATCGTCTTCTGCCACCACTACCGCCCCGTCAGAGACGCCTCCCGCGCCGAACAATGCAGCTCGGCCAACAAGTTGCCTCGCAAGAGGAGTGATCTCGATGGTGATGATGGGGACACTCCTCTTGCTTTAGGGAATCGATGGCATCGGTGGCGTTTGGAGTCCGACAAGGAAACGATTGTGATATTGTGACATTATGATGATACCCCGATAGAAAATGGTAGAATACCTACCACACGACATGATGCGGCAGGATACGCAGGATACGAGAGCACAACATAGGATGGGATGGGATGGGATGAGATATTCCGTACTCCGTAGATAGAACTCCGTCCCAAGACGACGTGAATTCAGTAATAACACTAATAACGTTGATTGCACCACTCTCTTCATATCAAGCCCTGACCTGCTTCCTCCCTAATCTGTCCGTGGGCATCTAAGCTTGCCTCCTTGCATATGGAGGCCGGAGTCTAGAGTACAGTGCGTGCAGTCACGCACACCAAGGACACTAAACATATGTGCTGTCTTTGACGATAAGCCCTCAAGCTGGACTAGACGCTGGGCAGGCTGAACTCGATGGGAGCATGGGGGCTGCTGTGGCGGAGAGAACCGTAGCTATTCTCCTCTTACCAGAGACTGGTATCCATGTTGGTGAACAATCGCTGATCCGTACGGGTTTGAAGGAGGCTCATCCCCGTCCAGCCACTCTGTAACAAGGCGTTGTCAATGCCCAGATCCCTCTCTTGCAATACGAGTCCGTGTCGACTGCAGATCTGTGACGAGTATCACAGGGTAATGTTGGCAGACTTACAACAAATCTGCCTGCGGCGTCTCCCAATTTGCAAGCAATATCCATGGCCACCACGAGAGCGTATACTCCCTGTACTCTGGGGGTATTCAGGTTGTGTCAGTCGCCTGTTTGTGGCAAGGGCGGCTCGCACAGCATCGCCCGGGATCTTATCTCTCCTCCCATATCGACTGCGGTCTTCCGGCTACCTAATCCCTTCACTGCCTCACCTCTCCCTTCCACACGTGACACACCATGGTAACTCGACTTCACAGCGGCGTCTCAACCAATCAGCAACCCCGGCCTGAAAATGAACACACATATATATTGTCGTGCAAAATGTTCCCCACATTCGAATGGCAAAGCAATGATGTTAGCAGTAAGTCTTGTCCGCAGTCTCCATCAATCCACTCCTCACGGAGTTCATCTGACAGAGCTAGAAGTGGGAGCCTCGCATCACTGTGACAGTGTTTGCAGTAAGTCTTGTCCACAGTCTTCATCATCTCCCCCTGGAGGGGTCATCGCTTGAAGCTGCAAGTGGGAGTATCGCACTGTTGCTGTCCGGGAGAATGGACAAAAAGACCTTCTGCGAGGAGGGGTTTTCTCATACATGAGTTTTTTGGCATTTTGTGTGGTCGGCTCCTTGTTGAGCCTTGTCGAACGAATGCCCATCACCCTTACTCGGATACCTGGTAAAGGGAAGATTTCTAAGCTCATTGCTGCATCGGAAAATGGGCAGTTGTACTTTGTTCGATGCGTCACGTCGACCTGCAGATCCGAAAGGAGAAACCTTTTCTACACAAGTAAGAGTATGCCATGCCAGTCTCAGAGTGTGAAACCGCCGTTCTCAAAATTCTGCTGCCGAAGTACGATATCAGTGCTGAATATGAACATAACAGTGATGGTGATGGGCCCCCAAAAGACGTCGAGAACCAAGCACTCAAGCCAAGACGCCACCAACTCCACGTGGGATATTTGTCAGCGTGCCTGGTTTGTAAGATACACAGGGCACCAGATAATGAGATATGGCCTACGACAACTTGCAGGTGGCGTCGAAGTTTTCTAGAAAGGCTCGGCTTCCGGGATCAGTCGGTGCATCGACAGCACCAAGCATGAGCTAGAGCAGCTATCATAGTACCACAGTACGAGTCGCCGTACTCGGTATAGATTTGTCCTCATTGTGCTTCAAGTCGTTGGATGGCGATCAGAGACCCATTCGATTATGTATCGCCCTCTGCTGATAGTGTGCTGTCCACCAGATGACTCGTTACGTATGCGCGCTGTGTGACCGCCAGATGCAGGAAGAAACCACCACGTCTTATCTTGACCAGAGCAATAACCCACCGCACATATCCGTAGCTGGAGGAGAAATAGAAGTAGGACCTCGGAGGAGCCGTGCTGCCTGACCACACATTCTCGGCATCGCCTTGCGTAAAAAGTCAAGCTTCGGTCAAAGGCTCGGATTTCACGCCCCCCTCAGCACGAGTTCACCGTACGTACTGTACTGTGTGGTACGTCACACATCCGTGGCTCATTGCGCTCGGATATCCGTCCAGCGCCACTCCGGTTGGGCTTCTCAGGAAAAACACTGCAACCATCCCACTCACGACCCAGTACGGTGAACTATGAGCAGGGTCTGGTCGAACATACAAACTCCCACTCCCCCTGCCACTGCCACTGCCACTGTCTCTTCCCGCTCTGGCTCTGCCTTTGCATCCTGTCCGCCCTTGTCGCCCGTTCCCGTCCGCCATGGCGTCCGCTGCTGCGCCGGTCGACGTTTCTCAGACCCATCCTTACACCTGCAATTCCTGCGCGGTGGCCTTCCGTAACAGCGATGCCCAACGAACACACATGCGAAGCGACTGGCACAGATACAACCTGAAACGCAAGGTGGCCGAGTTACCCCCTGTCTCCTCTGAAGACTACAATGACAAGGTGCTGGCTGCCCAGGCGACCAACAACGCGGCGGCGGCGCAGGCGGCCTTTGCAACAGTGTGTGCCACCTGTCAGAAGACCTACTACAGCGAAAATGCCTACCAGAACCACCTGGCGAGCAAGTCGCACCGAACAAGAGAAGCAGCGTCCAGCAGAGGCTCGGCACGGGACACCAATTCGGTCGTCGGCTCGATCGCAGACTCCGAATCCAGAGACCCAGTCGCCGAAGCAGAATTTGAGAAAGTGGTGGCGGGAATGAAGGACACCTCGATTCAAGAAGTCCCTGCAATCACGCGGAGACCGTCGGCCCCTGGTCCGGACACAGAGCCGCGAGCAGACCATCCAATGTCCCCAGAGAAACCCGAGCTCCCCTCAATACCCATCTCACGATGCCTCTTCTGTAACTACGACTCGCCGAACCTCAAACTCAGCGTTATGCATATGGCCAAGATTCACGGTCTGTTCATCCCCGAGCAGGAGTTCTTGGTGGATATGGAGGGACTCATCAGGTACATGCAAGCCAAGGTCCATCAGAATTTCGAATGTCTGTACTGCCACAAACTGAGAGGCAACGCAGACGGCGTTCAGACACACATGCGGGATAAGAGCCATTGCAAGATTGCGTTTGAGACAGAAGAGGAAATGGTCGAGGTGGGACAATTCTACGACTTCTCGAGCACGTACTCGGATGCTGAAGATTCCGACACGGACATGGACGGAGTCCAGCCGCAGCAGAACGGCGGTGTGAAACTGCAGGACGGTGAAGCAGCGGAGGATGACGGCTGGGAGACCGATTCGTCCTTTTCCTCGCTCGATACGAATGATCTCGCCTCGGTACCAAACGATGACCGAACCTTGTCGTATCAACGACTCCCTCTGCACAAACATCACTCTAATACAGATCCGAGACCGCATCGAACCGCAGATGGCTGGCACTCGCACGCTCACCACCACAACAATGCAGTCTTCTACGATGAGCACGAAATGCACCTCCCCAGTGGACGAGTCGCCGGGCACAGAAGCCTGAGGAAGTACTACCGACAAAATCTGCACAACTACCCGACCGCTGCCGAACGGATGGAGAGGGCGCAAAGACTGATCGAAGAAGGCAGTTCAGAGGATGCTGAAATGGAGGACATGGATCTCCCAGCCACGCCGCCTCGGAACAGTCAGTTGATGAGACGCGGCGAGGCGGGTATGCTCGGTGCAACCGCTCAGCAGAGACGTGATGTTCAGTCCCAGGAGATCAGAGCCAGACAAAAGGAGAGACGTGCGCAGAATCGGTATCAAGCCAAGCTGGAGAAGCAAGCGAATAGCCAGAAACACTTCAGGGTAAGTCTCGAATGGAAATTGAACGGACCTCGGGTGGCAAGCATGCTGACTTCTTTTCAGGACCCGCTACTACAGTGATCCGACGAATTTATACGACGGACAGCTTGAGGCACACCCTACCATGGCACCCCATTGTCTCACTCGAGATGCACATATCATTCTTTCAGCATAGCATGCCAGGGGGGCTGGGGAAAGAAAAAGATACAAAGCGGTTGCATGATTACACGTTGATAATGATACGACGAGATACATCAGCCCAGAATACCAGGTATTTCTGACGAACGGTCCAGTGGCTGGGGTTGTCCAGTGAAGTTTGCTGAGTCGCGTATGAGTCGGTCTACCAGCGTGATAGCAGTGGGTACCAGCTCACGGAGCATCATAGGATCGCGGATTCGTGCAGATACAAGCTCAAGAAGTCTGTAGTCAAAGTATCCTTGATCTGCCACAGTGAGAGACTCCCAGGTGGGATGTCCGTATGCAGCAAGGGCAGCCTCACAGCCTGCCACCCTGCACAGACTGTGTCCATGATGCGCAGTATTCTTTCCAGAGGTACCTGGTACGGCGGATCAAATCTTCAACTTTTGTAAGAAAACTCTTGGCTCGGATCCCTGAATGTCGAAAGCTACTCTAAAAGCTTCCCCGTAGCTCGTAAGGAATATTCACAATCCCATCGAATACTCAGCCTGTTACGAACCCGAAAATAACAGTGTCTCGTCGCATCCTCCACCCCGACACGACATCAGTCAATCACTCGTTCGGTCGCCGCCATCGGATCTTACCCTTTCCCCAGCCGACGGCAAACCAGCCATCCATCCGTCTCATCGACCTGCTCGCTACCTAGCTAGCTACCTACCTACGTGGCAACCCATCGACCAAGCTACATACCTATACCAATACCTACCCAAGCTACCCCCCTCAGCATAGTATAGCATAACATAGTCTAGGCTAGCTACTCTCCCCGGAGCAAGCAAGGAGCCAATGGCCAAGAAACCAAAATCCCGCACGATCGCCGTGCGCCTCCTCTCCATGGCCATGACGGGCTATTACCGCACGATGGTGCGGCCTCGCGCGTCCCGCCCGCTGAGCATGTTGAAGTACGACCCCGTGGTGAAGAGACAGGTGCTATTCCTGGAGCAGAAGAGGGGAGGCAAGTAAAGCGGAATGCAAGATAGTGATTAGGACCACGAGGGCAGGGCGGGGCAAAACACGGCAGCACACGCGCCATGCATGCATGCATACGAGCTCATTGAGGATCGGATGGATGGGCAGACAATGCGCGCACGCACGCCATGGACGAGATGGGACGAGCGTAGTCTGTCTTGCCTTCCCATGCCATGACTCGTCCCTCGTACTTTGCCGCCGAAAATTGCTGGTCGCGAAGAGGATAAGCGCAGGTAGGCAGGCGCAGGTGCAAGGCTTGCTACTGTACCAGAGAAATGCACCACGGAAGGCAGAACGATCTGAGGGACCCGTGGATGCGGACGCGTGCGCGGACGCAGGAAGACGAGATCGTCTGCCTGACTGTCGCACTCACCTTCCGTTCAACTGCGCGATGAGATGACAACGGCCGATCTGACGCAGCACGACTCAACCCAGCCCAACCACACAAGCGAAGCCAAGCAATCCAATGTATTTATCACCGACCAACCCTGCTTTGAAATTCCCAAATTTCCCAATCCTGAATCCATACTGCACAAATAACCACAATCTCAACTCCCAGACTCGCAGGGTCTCAAACCTCCCGGTCCAGACACCTTGAGAGTCATGATTTTTGGGACCGATTCCCAGCTCGACTCAAAGTACCTCTCTCGTCTACCGTGTACAGCCAGTACACACCCGTCACACCAGCATGACATCGATACATTCTTACACGGGGAGTCACTTGAAGAGAGCGTGGATGTGATGGTGTGTGTGTTGTGGTTGAGTGAGTGAGAGTGTGAGGCGTCTTGCATGGGCCATGTGGATTGCGCGGGCGCTGGCACTGGCGCTGGCACTGGCTTCAAAGGAAGACAGAGACAGACTGAGATACAGACATGGAGACAGACACACATTCAAACAGAAGGCGAGTGGTGTCAACTTCCAGTGAAAGGGACTCTGAAGACAGACACAGCGTCAAGACCACCTGAGGTCAACCACTTCACAATATTCTGCTTTGAAGACTCTGTTCAGTGCGTGAGTCGGAATTGATAGCTCGTGTGTGTGTGGAGGCGAAGGTCTTCTCTTTAGACTTCTTCTCTCTAGACTGGTGCAGTCCTCGCATCGGGACTTGAATGGCTTGACTTGAACATCCCATGCTTGTACCGACAAGAGCCACAGTTTTCAGGGACGTGTGCAATCTTGTGCAGGCCGTCTTGATGGTACAAACAAGCTTGTGTGCTCTGGCATTCGTCATTCGACATTGAAGATACACGCTCATCAACATATGGCACTATTTGGATATGTCTATGTCCGTCACCAATTTTTTTTCTTTCACCCTGGCATTTTTCTCTCTCCCTCACATTCCTTTCCCCATACCATGATTTTCTCCCTGTACTCTTCCCCGGTAGATACAATCTGATTCCCTGCTTGCATGTGCGCATACCATAAAATGCTCCATCCCATCAATATCCATACTTGCTTCCCATATCGCTTGGCAGTCCTGCAACCGACATATTCACAAGCCTGGCCTTCGGATATCTTGTTTTCTCTGGGCCACATCTTTCAATAGTCCGCTGTAGTGCCTACACATATTCATCCTTGAAGCTGAGTCCTAAGATTGAAGCCTGACCCAGGCCGACACCATGCCTCTTTGCCATCCCCATCAGCGACGTCACGAGTCATCACCACCTCATTCAAGCCCATTGAAGCGTCTGTGGAACTTGTCCGCTCGAGACCCCTTGCGTGGTGGCTTCTGGGATCCGAAGATCTTTCCGGGCGCCGGTGCATACGTTCCCACGATTGTGTTGCGGTTCGCGTAGCGACCTAAGCCCCGGCTGACAGTCGGTTCCGCAGGCAACGTAGTAAACGTGGGCGCCGTCGACCTAGGCGCATTCAACGTGGGCGCATTCAGCGTGGACACATTCAACGTGGACACATTCAACATGGGCACATTCAATGTGTGCGCATTCGATATGGGCGCATTCGACGTGGGCGCATCCAACGGTGGCACAACCCGGATAGGATGACGAGGTTGTGGCATCGTGATTTCAAGGTTGGCCGTCCCACGCTTGAGCCGCCGAGTGTTTTCCTGGACCTCATTCTTCTCGACTTCTGGCTCGAGTCGACGCTTGACGGCGGGATTCGACCGGTGCTGCTCCCTCCCGAACGTAGGTTGGAAAGGGCGGTTGAGCACGTCCTCGATACTTCGCTTCGGTGTAACAGGAGGCCATCGACCTCGTACGATGTTTCTCAGTCTCTCCAGGCCGGCCGCTTGTTCTGGGGAGAGGTATCTCCACACGTCAGCACCGTTCGGAGCTGTGCCGGTAGCGACATTGTCTGCAGCACCAGCATCCACTTGACCGACTTGATCGAGGAGCATTTGCTCACCCTGCGATGAGTATGAGCTCGAAGGCACTCGTACGAGGGATCCCTGGCCATCTGCGGCTCTTCTCACGCGCTCCACTACCAAAGGATGTCCCTGTCCACGATTGTGTAGCTCTGTGCAAGCGAGGCGTGGTTGGATGTCGGCTTCGAGAGCGTCGTCTTCATATGCGTCTGGAAGTGAGTTGAGTGCCCAATCGCCATCCTGTACTTGCCGGTCTGCAAATAGAAGCCGGCCTCCTGCGCCGACTGGGACAGACTCCGGGACTCCCGATTGGGTCTCAGAGACCGTTGCTGTGCCAGCGGACAAGGCCAATGGTCGGGTCACTCCATCACGGCTCAAATCCAAACGAGAACGTCCAAGTTGACTGTCTGGGAGCAGCCTCGTTGTTGCTGAGCGGTGCCCACCCTGGCTCTGCGCTTCGGCCTGTTTAGCTCTCAGGTCGAGTTTGGCATTGGAGAGAGCGCCTTCCAGGTTGCGTATCTGCTGTTGTATGGCAGCTAGTTCTCCTTCTGTTCGTTCTCGGTCGTCTCTGGGTCTCTCAACCTCGCTGGTCCACTTTTTCGATGAGGCCAGTTGTTTCCGCAGCTCCGCGAGCTCGTCGTCCTTTGCCTTGATGGAATCCTTCAGTGGTCCAATCTGGGAACACTTCTTGTTCTTCTCATCGAGATCTGACTTGAGAGAAGCAAGGTTCTCCTCAAGAGACGTATTGATGTTCTGCAACTCGTCGACTTTGGAGGTTGTCTGCTGTAGGTTCATCCGCACTTCTGTCAACGCCGAGTTCTCCTTTCGAAGCTCTGTCAGTTGACTCTCGACGGCTGCTTTCTCTTTAGCAAGCCGTTCATTCTTTTGAGCGTGTGCACGTGAAGCTTTCAGAGTGGACTCCAGTTCAGTGATCTTTGAGTGACTTTGCTGTTGACTCCGCTCCAGTGCGGGAATAACTGCGTTCTTCTTCGCAAGTTCCTTCAAGCGGTTGAGGAGGGCTGCTTTCTCTGCGGCCAGTTTGTCCTTGTCTTGAGCATCTCGTTGAGACGCAGCAAAAGCAAGTTCTAGTTCAGTCTTCTTCTGCGCCAGCTCGTTCTGAAGATCAGGAACCACCGACGCCTCGGCTTCCCGTTCCTGTTTGCATTTCTCCAGCTCTGCGCGTACCTCTTGACATTTGAGCGTCCACTCATTGACATTGGTGGTAAGGTCACTGACTGTCTTCTGAGCGGCTTCTCTCTCGGAAAATAGAGCTTTCTCAAGGTTGTCAGCCATCCCTTGCAGACAAGAACTCTCCTTTTCCGCACTGGTTTTCGCGTCTTGGAGTAGTTTGATGATCAGTTCCATCTGCTCAGCCTTCTGCTCCAGGCGGACGAGCGCTGATGCAACTTCATTGAGCTGACCAGTATGAGGGGGGATAGCTGAGAGCAGCTTGTCTGAATGTGCAGCAACGTCTATCTGAAGACTGTTCGTCAGATGTGCGACTGTTGCTTGCAGGTCCTCAGAGATTGACTTCTCAACCATAGCGAATGATGTCTTGGCTGTCTCGATGGTGTCTTTCAGTGAGAGCAGGTCTGATCTCTTGCAAACAGCGGTGTCGAGAAGCGACACGATGTGACCGAGAGCCTCGAGCATTCGACCTTTCTCCAGACTATCTTCCATGCTGCCGTCACGGAGGATTTGGAGACTGTCAGACAGGCCTTTCAGGGCATGTCTGAGCTCCTGCTGTTCACCATACATTCGGACATTTTGCTTGTCTCTCTCAAGCTCCAGGTGGACAATATGCTGCTCCAATCTGTCGCAGCGCCGTCGTTCCGCGCTCAGATTCTCTTCGTGACTTCTGGAACGGCCGTCCATGTCATTGATGCTTGCGGAACGCTCTTTTGCCATGATCCGCACCTCGCCGATTGCGTTGCGGACACTTGCCAACTGCTCAGCGGCTTTGATAGAAGCGGCACCGGTGTTCTGGAGCTGTGCGAGGAGCTCGTCTCTGTCTTTTGGCAAACCGGAGATAGCGTTCTCAAAGTTGGATGCTTTGCCTTGAAGCTCTTCGCAGTCTTTGTTCGTCTCCATTGCCCACTGCTTGAGCTTGGAATACCTCTCCTTGAAATTCTCCAAGTGTTGATTCAGGAGGTCATATCCTTCAATGCATTCGTTGCGGGCATCTACAGCTTGCCGTAACTCTGTACCTGACTGCAGCATTTCATGGCGGAGATTTCTGTTCTCGAGCTCCAGACGCTCCGATCTGGTGCGAGCTTCTTTGCTCTCGCGTGTTTTGGACATCAGAAGAAAGAGGAGGTCCTCTTCACACGGACCGTCCTTGGCAGCTCCTGCATTGTTCTGTCCATGGGCCTGCAGATTCTCGCCTGGACGCGGCTGACGTCTTCTTGCCACCTTGGAGACTCTAGCGTCGTGGATCGGTGCCGTGCCTGCGGTCGTACGGGAGTGGTTGATAGGGTGGGTCCTCGCATTTGCCGTGACCGAGGGAGACGTCCCATGACCAACGTCGTCCACATTGCCAGCGATGGACCACTGCTCTGGTAACTCTGGCTGGCGAGCATGGGTGCTGTCTGCAGGGCCTGGTTGATCATCTTGGTCGGCTGGTCTTGTTCCACGTCGTGCAAAGTATGGAAAAGCATGCTGATTGTCGGCATTGCAGTCTTCTGCAGCGACGTTTCCAGCTCGCTGAGTGACCTGCCCCTGTTCCTGGGAGATGAGCTTCCCAGACTCTTGCTGCCTATCCGCAGGCCTGGCACCGAACCCAGCAGAGTTATGCTGCAGTGTCAAGGTATGACCATCTGTGTTCTCCACCTTGTTCTTTGCGTCTGCGGTTAAAAGCTGTCCGCTGGTGATGTTCACTTCCTCGAAGCGTCTGGTTTCAGGAGAACTGGGTAAGAGGTTAGTGTCATTGAGCTCTCTGGGCGACGTGGTCTCAAGCATACCTGTTCGAAGCAGGATGATCTGCCAAATCGTGATAGCTGCTTCCTGCTTCCTTTGTGACTGCCGGGCTCTCCAATGGGGGAGGTTCATTGAGCCCATCCGGCTTGGAGAATAGATTAGACACTGAGTGGGAGAGGAGTTTGTCAGGACTCAGAAAGTCGTCCTCCATGGAAATGGGCTGCAGGGGACGGGATGACACCACTCCTCGTGGGGCTTGTGAAGTCTTTTCATATTCCTTGAGGTACGATGGAGTCTGTTTGGTGTTTGCAGTCTCGCCATCGAGAAGGTCGTCCTCCTGAGTTGGACAATCTTCATTGATTGCAAATGAAGGCTGTCCAGGTCTTGTCCTATGTAGGGTGTTGGACGGGTTTAGTGGCTTCATGCTGTCAAGACCCCCATGCAACAGAGCATGAGACGCCAGGCCGTCAGACGTAGGACAAGGAGGAGGCGAAAGCAGACAAGGAGAAGGCAAAAGCCAGACAAGAAGAGGCAAAAGCAGACTGGTGCAAACAAGTAATCAAGGGCAAAAAGGCAACTCTCAGGCTCCTGGATCCACGAACACCAGGGTTTTGGTACCAGTGTGGCGATTGAGGGCACTGGAAGAGAAGGAAATGGAAAAACGAACTGAGGATATGACAAGGCGGGGACGAGGAAAGTCCGAGGGCGCACCTACACTGGACATTCATCGGAAGTGTACCTGCTAGTTTCCGCTTTGGCACGCGTACGCGTCCCGAATTGAGCTGCTGAGGGCGGTCGACGGTAGCAAGTGAAGGACCGGTCGGCGTATCCGAGCCAGAGAGGCGCACCTTCGTATTTTGTGTCATACGTCCTCTGTCTTCTGTGACCCAACAGACCTGCTCAATGATACTTGTCCAGATCAGGGGTATCTGCGATTCTGTAGACAAGCTTCTTCGACGAGACCTTCTTGTCATGCAGCGCCTGCACACCCTTTTCGACCGCCAGCAGCCCATCGGGTTGCACTTCATAGGGGTGTGGGACAAACCTACCCTCATCAAGGAGGAGGGTCATGTACCTAGGTGAGAGAGTCCGTCAACATCTGGATAGCACCACTGACAGGGGGGTTTACGTACCTGTAGAAGACATAGGCAAAGTCCCGGTGAACCTTCGCTTCCTCCTCGTTGCACCATCTATGCGACTCCCCATATGCCGATGAAACAAAGACGCGGCCGAACTCGATACCCTGGGGCCACTCGGGTACCACAGGCTCAGGAGGATCCACCATGACAATCTTTCCAGGCTCAGAGCCTTTCTTGTCCAGAAGGTCAAGGACGTGTTTCCAGCTGTCGTGCTCAGAGATGGCGTCGAAGGCGTGGTGTAGTTTGACACCTTCGTCATCCAGGATCCTCTGGACGTCGGCCACAACGTTCTTCTTGCGGTAATCCACGATATAATCGGCGGCGTTTATGGATCTGACGAAATCGGCACCTCCGCCTGCGATCGTGATGATGGGGCCAAGGCCGCTCAGTTTGGCGAACTTGAGGGCGAACGTCCCAACAGCCGAAGACCCTCCATATATCAACAATGGCACTCGCTTGCCCTTACTCACCGGATTCCAGGGTGCCGGCAGACCCAGGTGTTGGTAGAGTGCCAAAGCAGCCGTCATGCTCGCAAGCGGAAGGGTGGCTCCGGACTCGAAAGAGATATTGGGAGGCAGAAAAAATGTTGTCGAAGCGGGCGCGATGGCATATTCAGCATAGGATCCAGACGGGGCAAACATTCGATGGAAGGCAGCAACTCTGTCGCCCGGCTTGAACTCGTGGACCTTCTTCCCGACTTTGTGGACCATGCCGGCGATGTCGTCGCCTTGGTTAGTCTTCACTGGTTTGGTCAACTGAGAGCGAGTCAGATGAAATTGCTAGGCTCACCTGGCCGTGCGCTTGCCTTCCAGTCCTTCGGATTCGAGTCTGTTGCAACCACCTTGATCAACACTTCATTCTCAGCGGGCTCCCTGTTGTCTGCTCAGCACAACCCTGGAAAGCGGGAGACGGCAGGAAACGCACGGAATAGGGGCGTTGCGAGCCTCGGACGAGATGACCCCGTCCTTGCGTTGGACACCAATTTCCAGCATCGTGCAGTGTGCTTGTGATGGCTGTGGTCCAGAGAAGTGCGAAACACAGGATCTGTCTGTCTATTTAACTTGCTGAGGACAGATTTGTGTGCCTTTCTGCTCCGCTCTGGCAGTGTTTTGGATCACCTCGATCTCAGAACAATCCTTCCAAATCGGGCGAATGCTGGGCTTGGTATAGTGGGTGTATATCAGAATCCACAAGAGTTCCGCGACCCATGGCGCACGCTTTGTCAGCGCCAGACACCGGCTTTCCATCGGGATCCGTCCAAAGGGAGTCAGAAGGACGCCCAGTCGTTTCTAGATATTGGTGATGACACCTGTTTGGTCAAGACCCTTGCAGTCGGAACAATAGCAGGGTCGGCCACTGACCGGCGACAAGGACAAAGTCTCGCCTGGCCGAGATTCTCATTAGTCCTACGACTTGCTTAGTAGTCGCCATCGGCATGTAGAGACAAGGGCAGTCCCGCTTGTCAAGACTGACGTGTGATTTTCAAGACTTGCAGCGACTGACCGTTCTTAGTGAGACCTGAAATAAAGGGGCAGTCATTGTGCTTTCCATGGCAGACTCTGGACTGTATGAGCACGACGAGGACAGTTACCTGGGTAACAGTGCAAAAATTAGTGGACACCTTGCCGCTTCAATGTAGCGATTCAGCATGTGTCGCCAAACCAGTATCGATAACGAGACAGCAAAGTTGTCTCTCGCCTCTTTAGAAATTTCCGCTGTTGGTTTAGGCCTTTTATTGTGGGGACACTAGGCTTGCATTTCTTCGCGATAGCACAGTACACAACATGTACTCAATACGGTATCTTACAAAACGGGGTACCATTCATAACACTAGACCCCTTGGCGATGTTGGGCTAACCCTCGGGTAACCTGCCCAGTCCCACGAGTCCCTGTCGCCTCACACATGACGAAAGATGTGAAGTCCCACACTCGCTGGCTTCCAACAAGGCTCAATGAATCTTCGTTGCTCCAAGACCATCGGTGCATATGGTAAAGTACGAGTAGAGTGTGTTAGAAGCACCGAATTACTGGTGCCACCGAGCTGCGGCAGAAGTCACGTGCTGGTGAGTGACTTGCTTAGTCACCCATTGGAAAGAGTCGCGCCGTGAGAGGGTTGCAACAATAGCCACAATGGCCACAATTGCGTGATGAATTAATTATCTGCGCCATGGCCATCGATCCCGCAAATCAGGTACTCGAAGTGATAGCTGGGACGTAAGCGGACTCAAACCCCGTGCAACAGACGGAGTTGGGAGAAGGAAGAGAGATGGTCCGTTGGAAATCTGAGTAATGCGGACCAGAAGATCCCAGCTGGCGGCAGCGAAGAACGGATTTTGGAGAGGACATCATGAAATGCGGCCATGTCAAGACGAAGAAAGTCCTCAAATGGAAACCTGACTGACAAGCGTTCGCCAGCAAGACACGGCAGCGTCCCTGGCTGAGGAGGACTGAAAAGCGTCTTTGATCTACTATGCATATCGATGGCTAGACCGTAGACAGCAGGCCTAGAGGCGGAAAGGTACTGTACCTTTCGTAGTAATGGATTCTTGGGTAATTGAGACATTCTGCGAGATCTAGTCCAGAGTACTCTGTAAGGCTTAGAGAGTCCCTTCGTAGGTCTTAGTCTTGGTCCTCACGCCTGCCAGGTGGCTGGACTGGAGATACTCCCGGTAGCATTTGCGGCTGAAGTGGGTTCCTAGGCTTGAGAGTCAAGGCTACGGACTGGAGGGATCTACTGAGTACTCGCCCTCACTCATGAAATGTCCGACGTATATTTCCGCGCGTACAACGTCCAGAGTACAGTGTACCATACACAGCCTCAATGTAGGGGTATAACCTGAGGAACCACGATGTTTCATCCCGATCCATTCATTCCCATCGGCGTCAATCTTCGTCGACCATCATCCATGTCATCGTACAGGCTGTACCATCCCCAGCGAGCTTTCTCCGGTGCCGAACACTATCGCCCAAACACCTTCTTCCACATGGGCGTCTTCGGACTATCCATCTCAAACGCACTCGACGGGATGCTCACACTGGGCGGTCTCGGCCTCCTCTTGTCCTTCTTGGTGATCCTTTCCCCGTCAGCCTCGTCCTTTTTCGACTCGATCTTCACTGCCGAATCAGGGAGGCCCTTCTCCACATCCCGGTCACTGCTTGAAGAAGACGAGTCGGCCAGCGCTGCTCGCTCTTTCTGTTTCTTCTCCTTCGCCCCAGCGGCGGGCAACGACCGCGAGAGTTCGTCGTTGGCCTTCTTCAACGCCACTTCGTTACGCTGTCTCTTCTCGACGGGCGAGAAGGTCATTTTCTTGGGTGTCATGGGTGTGGTGACGGCCTTGACGGCGCTGCTGACTTTGCGCGCCGAGCGTCGAATGGTCTCTTTCATCGTCCATTGCCGCTTCTTCGCCAAGAAGAAAAGAGTGGTCATGGTCACTGCAAATTCAAGCCGCCGGGTTAGTTCCCATAACCATGTATACAGAAGATGGGGGAAAGGGAGGGACCCACCACCCAGAATCACCACAACGCTTACTACCACGGCGATGGCGATCGTGGCTCCACGGCTCAGGTTGACCGAGCCGGTATCCGGACCCGCAGCTCCCGCATTTTCAGAGATGCCCGGGCCAGCGCCAATGTCACCTGGTTCCACGCCTTGTGCGCCGCCGCCGTCGCCGGACTGTGCCAGAACTTGTGAGGATCCCAATAAGTCAATACATAAGAGAAGCGCGAGGCATTGTACTAAGGGTTGAGAATGCGGTGACTGCATTGTGAGAGGGACGGATGGTGGGAACGACGCCAAGCTCGACGTTACTCGGCTGCTCCACGATCAGAACGATGGCGTCGACGTGATTCAGCTGCTCGCTCCTCAATCCGGACTATAGCGTCGATATTCCTTGGGCAGCTAGCTCAACCAGACCACACCCCTTCCGATTCGCCGTTGTTCAGATCCTCGACACTCAATGACGCTTCGACAGAAAGGATAATTAGTCACAGACAAATCACCCAGCGAGGAGGAACCGTGGCGTGCGTCCGTGACAGCAGTGAGTGCCGACGAACCAAAAAATTGACCGTCTGGAGAGAGAGGAGACAAAAGATTTGCAGAAGCAGAGAGCAGAAAGCAGAAGCAGAGGAGGCCCAGTCTTTCAACAAAGCGTCGCAACTCACGCACGCTCGCCTTATTATGTAGGTCTTTATGTGTCCGAATCCCCCAGAGGCGCCTAACAGTACGAGGGCAGTGTGCTGATTTTCACTTTTACTTTCGCAGGCGCCAACATCACCCTGCATCGCGGCGCAGCTGCCCAGCTGCACAGGTCCCCGGTCTCCAGCAACTGCACTGCCTCTGTGAACCCGTCGGCCACGGCGGTCGACCGTGAGCGGTGCGTAGGAGCGGTGATGACTGCCATTGGAGGTGTGCTGGGCGATGTGAAACAGGTGAAGGAAACGTGAAACACGAGCAGAATCTTCGCATTACGCGCCGAGGAGGTTCGCTAAGAGCAGACTCCATCCAATCATTTCATTAGCGTGGCCTTAGTGAAGCTTGGCTCCCACAGGAAAAATGTGGACATGGAACTGCATCACGTGACAGACAGCGCACACGGCAAACAAGAGCCCACTGGCCTCCTCGCAATGAGCCTCAACACCCGGGGTCTATGCACGGCGACGACCGCACCTGGGTAACATATCCTTTCTCATTACGTCGTAGCTCTATCGCGTTAATGCTGCCTCGTCCATACCTCGTATGTGGTACATTCTTGGTTCCAATTTACACCAATCTGCATCGTTCAAGATTTCTCGCACACCAATGAGCGCACCCAATGATCAGTCCTGCTCCTCTCACAAAGTCTCCCAGCCACCGGCGTTGACCTCGCTCTCCAGCTTCCGGGCTATCGTGCTCCACACGCTGCCGTTGGTCATCAACCAAGTGTCCCTTAAGAGTTTGTCGTACCTCTTCTGGTTCAAGATCAGCTGGTGCTTGGACCTCAGCCCCGAATCAGTCTCGCCATGCTTCGTCAAATACGGCGCCGAGAAGAAAGATCCGTGACTCAGGATGGAAGAGGTCGGCGCCAGCGGAAGCCGTCGAAGTTCTTCGCGATCGTTGTTACCCGGCTTGGGGTCTTTCGCGACATGGAGCAGTGCCACGTGACATTTACGGATAAACAGGAACATGCCGATCGGGCTCGAACACTTTTCCACGTGAGCATTGCACCCCCCTCGCATGTCGTCCGTCAGGCAGCAGACCGTCTGAGAGCAGAATATTTCGCCACAGAATAGACAAAGCGCAGGGTCGGATACATCTTTCCCAGTGGTCGGACATTTTCGCCGCTGGGATTCTTCCATCAAGACATCAAAGTATCGGGGAAGCCCAATCAGCTCAAAGGGGGCTGGGTGCAGTAGCTTGACCCCTAAGGGCCGCAGAGGGAAGTCGAATTGCGTCAGCGTCGACGCGTTTCTTATCTCATATCGGATACAGTCCAACAACCAAATTGTGGCCCGGTCTTTCAGTGTGGTAGATGTCGAGTATTCACCAAAGCTGTTGAGGATGTCACCGATGCCAGGAAGCTGTAAAAGGTGACAAAGCCGCTCGAGCTCTGACAAGCCGGCTTCCGTCCCGGCAGTAGTGGGGAAATCGACACCGTGCGCAACATGAAAGTAGATGGCGGCCTTTCGCAGGAAAGCCAACCCATACACCTTGCATAGTTTGAACAGTGTCCCTGCTGTGGTTGGGGACATGGCTTGCAGGAACTTCCGAACACGTTCCTTCTCGTCAATCTCCTGGACTTGATCGTTAATCCAGGAGACGATGCTTTCAACGCCGCGAAGCTGGTCTGGGTCTGGGTTCGAGGGCGTCGCATGCCGGATATGTCCTCCCGCCAGCTTCTGGCTAGCCGTCATAAAAGCTTCCGAATCGAACAGGAACGCCAGGGTGACTCGCAGGAGTTCTATAGTGAGAGCTAATTGTAAGACGTGGCGAGGCTCAAGATGTCGGATTGGGCCCAACACCATTGTAGCCTGAACCAGAAACTGGAAGGGGTCCAGGGACAGCAGAGGGGGTACTGTAGCAGAACCAGCCGACGACGCAATATTCCCGGTCCTACCGGCCAATTGGCGCTCAATCTGGTCGCACAGCTCTCTGTACTGGCTCTCGACCGAGCCACGAACGGTGAAGGCACCTGTCGCGGCATACGCTCTCAAGGTCGACGACGTTATCTGCAGATGGCTGAGGGTTTGCTGAGGTATACTTGTCAGTAAAGACGTGCCATATTCTGCTTCACGGCCTCTATGTCCGATCTCGACAGCAGCGATTGTGTTTGCCAAGGTGTTGACAAGAAGCTGGAAATAATTGACGTTCCAATCTTCTCGAGGTACCGAACCCTGACTGGTCCTAGAGACAATCCCGAGAGTCTCGCGAAGACGCCCGTAGATGCTGGCGAGTTCAGCAAAAGATGCCAGTTCCGGTCGCTCCGCCCAGGCTTGACTCGTTGGGCTGATCGAGAGATCACCTGCTTGCCAACTAGCTATGGCAGGAGTCAAGGAGCTGTTGGAGAACGTGGCCAGGGTCTGTGAGTGCACCCTCGACGCTTGCGTATCGAAGGAGACGTCTTGGCTTGCCGTTGGCGCTTCGACTGAAGATAGGTCGTTGTCTAGGAAGAAGTCAAACTCTTTGGATACATTCAGCGACCCCGGATAAGATTGCTCTGAGTGCTTCCAGATGATCGGCAGAAAGCTGTTTGCCAGGGCTTTGCAAAGCGGGCAGACAAATTCTTTCAGGGCTATCCGTTCAGGGTGGTTTCTGGCAACCTGCTGCAGGTGTCTCCGTGTAATGGACTGATAGTAGTTTTCGAAACAGCTGAAATGCATGATATGCCCACAGCTCGTCGAAACCGGACCTCTCATGGTGTGGCCCTTCGGCCAACCTTTACCCAGGCCTTGGAAATCGACTCTCACCTCATGCCCGTCAGATGTCATCCGCTTCACTTGTTCGTGGTTGGAACCCGACACCCCAAACGGCCGGATATGCTCAATCGAGCGATCAAGGCTTTCCGGAACTGCAAAGAGCTCACCGACAAAATCTTCCTCATCCGTCGGCGTCTCTCGGAGGACATAGGCATCACTAATCATAGCGAACGTGCCATACAGCCGGGAATCCGACGTGTCCTCACGGCATTGTATGCATAGTCCGGAAGGATACTTCCAGTGGCGGGTCTCAGTCGATCTCGGTAGTTCTTCCTCGGGGGAATCAAGGTCGTCGTCCCCCCAGTCGATTACGCCCTGTTTGTCCATGAAGCTCTGTTGTTGCTGTTGGAACTGAGCCATGACTCTTGCTTTTCGCTCCATTGCCTGTTTCTTTTTGGCTTCCAATTCGCTCTCAAAATTAGCTGGGGACGCAGTGTCGAATCTGCCCGATGGGAAATCCAGATGTTGAGTAGCAGCAGTGAACTGATGCGGCAGCTTCTGGTTGAAGAGTCGTAGCATGTGTCTGATTTTGCTGCGGCACGAACTGAATTCCTCCATCATCCAGATCTTGGATAGAAGTGCAATGATGGTCGAGGGCGGGCCATCGTGAGACTCCAGCTGCAGGGTGATGGCGTGGCGAATGAAGGATGGACTATCAATGCTGGGTTCTGCCTGATCCTCGAATGTTGCTATGAGCGCCAGCTGGAGGAGAATATGGAAGAATGCCTCCACTCGTGTTGCTGACACCCCTTGCTTGTGCTTGTGGCCGTTCGCAACATAGAGCAACGTTTTATGGATGACGTCGGCGAACACAATGGTGTTGACAACCGCACAAAGGTTGACGTAGGCCTCGCATGGGATGGGGTGCAGCTTGGGTTCCATTACAATGTCGTCTGGCGATTTGTTCAACTTCTTGCTCATCCAGTTCTTGTAGATATTCTCCGCCTCGTCTCTTTGGTTCTTGCTGAAGTGCGAGTTGTAGGGGTCCAACTCTTGCAGATACTCTTCCTTGAGCTCAAACAACCCGGAGTCGTGGAGTCCTTCTGGTGGCCTGTATTTGGTCATCTCCTCAAGCACAACTTGCAGGTGCTCGTGATCTTGCGCACGCTCTGTCAGGCGAGAGTACAGGTCTGAATATGACAGTGGCTTGAAGCACAGAGTGTGAGCTATGTCTTTCCGCAGTGTCAGCAACTGCGACTCCGGATTGTCCTTGTCCGTGATTAGGGCATCTCGATCGGAAAGCAAATTGATCAAAAGGTACACAAAATCCTCGGCAAGGTCCAGCATCTGATTATCGTCACAGATCTCGAGGGAGACGAAACCGTTGTGCATCCAGGTTGAAAGACCAAAACGATCGACCATAGAAACCAACACCCGGCTTGGGTCGCAGGCCACCAGGGCCGTCTGCAGAAGGAAGAGGTCTCGATGGTGCCCAACGTCCCGATGCGCAACGCTCTTGTACTGCACCATCTGATGGCGGAGACTCATCCCATTCCGTACCCAAAGATTGGCCCTCATCTGCGCCAACCAAGCGCCAACCCGGAGTGGGAAGTCGAACATTGCGAGGAGTGCATCGTCGACCGAGTTGAGCGCAGCTTTGATTGTGCTATCACGGGGTGCTAGTGGTGAATCGTGGAGGTGGGACAAGAACGTCTGCGCTGCTTCCCGAAGCGCCGTTATGGACTGTTTGAAGTCCTTCCCTCCCTCTAACAACCAGGACAGTGTGTAATGAAGCGGATGATGAAAGCTCAGAGGACCTTTGTGGACAACAAATTCAACAACACTGAAATCGAAAGGTGCCACAGTATGAAAACGAACAGCCTCTTTGATCTCTGCTTGGTCAAATCGCCGCCTCTCAAGACCGACAGAGTTGATGATAGCTATACCTGCAGCGTGGGATATTGCATCCCAAGTCGCGCGCAACGCCGCAGGGCTGCTGTGCTTGGACAGATGATACGCCTCGGCGAACTGTCGACATAATTTGTTGATGTCGCGAGTCAATAACGACGCGCTAATCCATGCATCTGTTTCATACTCGACATGTTCCCCAACCGCTCTCACATTCGGACAGATACCTTGCGATAGCTTTGCAAGATCGAGGAACTGAAACAAATACTGCGGCTCGTTGCGGGCTTTGGCCTGCACGTACGGGGACGCCAGGAAGTAACGGAGGTCGGAGAAGAAGTGATACAGCCGCCGGTTGGCAACAGAACCTGCATCGAAGCCTAGAGTAGCTCCAGGATCGAGATCTTTGGGCAGGCCGACCTGTCTGGTAGTCAAAAATGTGTAGAGAATAGCCATCAGGTTGGTGAGGAAGTTCCCCCGCTCTATCACCTCTTCAGTGATAGATGGCGTCGTCAGAAGCTGCAGCGACAAGTTGATGATGGAATGGTCCGGTTCTCGATCCGCTACCAGATAGAGCTGCGCAAGCGTTGTGTACAGGCCGGAAAATCTCAAGCCCAGGATTCGCTTGAACTGAGGGATGTTGACCAGCGTGCTGATGAACAGATCCCGAATGCTCGTCCGTGCCAGTTTCCACAAGCGGAGGTCGAACAAAATCATTGAGTCTACGCGTATATTCTTCGTGAGATCTTCGTAAATGGGAAGAGCCGTGTTCTGCGCAGACTGAGGCGGAGACAACCTCCAGTGGTTGGGCGGTGTAGATTCACGCCGTGTCGTGCGAACACCGGCGGCGGGCGTCCTCGGGATGTTAAGGTAGTTGAGGTTGCTGTCAGGACCAGCTGGAGAGGCATCAGCACCGATAGCTACCGTGTTTCCAGGATCTCCCATGTCTTGAGGCACCGGTGGCGGTGGAGGCGACGGTCCGTCCATGTCCATCCGCTCGACAACGTCCAAAAAGTCCGCGTCTCCGTCGGTGTCCATCTCTTCAGCATCGTCTGTGACATCGGGATCCGGAGTCTGTTCTGGGACTGCGTTTTCAGGGTCTGCCTCCTCGAAAACTGTTGCTCTAAGGATGAAATCGTTCATTTCGCGGTCTGCATCTGCATCGCCAATATCGTCGTCGTCATCATCGTCGTCATCGTCGTCCACTTCACCGGGATCATTATCATCACTGGCTCCATCGTCGTCTAGGATCTCCACTTGCAACGCTCTCTGCATTGCAAAATGAATTGGATCGAAGTGTCTGAGCCTTGACCTTCTGCGGTACTCCTGGTCATCCTCATCGCCGTGATCATCTAAGTCCTCTCTTCCCACTTTGGCGTTCCAGGCTTCGCTCCCAACCCGCCAGATGTGGAGCATCTCCTCGCACACGATACGGCGCAAGATATGACTGTCACCGGCAATACTGCAGCTAGCAATATCGGCCAGCCATTCGATGATGGTACCGCACATCTGTTCCCGAAAAGTGTCCCTGGAGGATCGTATAGTGACGGTGATCTTGATCTCCTCGATGATCTTGGCCATGCGAGTGAGCTCCTTGAGGTCGCGAGAGTACCTGATGATACTTCTTCCGAGGTCATTGGCCTCTTCAGCTTTACGCAGACCAAACGCTTCGCGCTCTCGACATGCTCTCGCCACTTGCGATTGCACCTCGCGGACTGTGTGCTTCTCGTCGTTCCAGATGATCAGGCAATATTCGGGATTCGTCTCCATCTCGTCTCCTGACACGTAGTGCTCTGCAGAGAGCCGACTTCTCGATTCATCTTGAGCCACCGACTCCACTGTCTTTGGCAATCGTAGGTTCTCGGGCGAGCATGATATGACGTCGCAAAAGTAATCGAGCGCCTTGCTGATGGTGGTGCGGATCGACTCTTGTAAGTCGGTTGGCAAGGGGGAAATATGCTCATCCGTGGTGGTCCAGTCATCACTGGCTGTATGAATGGCGCACTTGACAGGTCTCTTCCAGGCCTCGTCGTCTCCGCAGTCACAACAGCCGCTGTTCCCTGCACTGACGTTGATGCTGTACTGATGACCCTCGTGGTCGCTGGCGACAAAGCACCGAGCGCAGAGCACGGCGGTATTGTCATCGGTGCACGTGCTGCAGTGGTAGTTGGCCTCGCCTGGCTTGAAGATATGTCCACATGGATGACCCCGGGCAGCTGCAGAGTATTCGGCATTCTCTTGAACTCCCTGCGCGTCTTGCAGCTTGTATGAGGCAGGAAAGCCGTCCGGGAACAGGTCGAGCAAGTAGTCTGGTCGGTCGTTGGTGAGGGATCGGAACAGTGTCTCTAGGAGGCCCTGCTGCGCAGCGACACCGTACCGATGGCCGTGCCGCCACGGGTGGTCGCATAATGCCTGCGAGAGTCGAAGGTCGAGGCCGGGGGTCGGTGCGCTCATGGTCACAGTATCGAATTGCTTGCAATCCGCATTTGGACTTTGTGTGGCAGTAATACGTGCCTTCTTTTCGTTATGGGCCGCGCTGCGAAGAACCGAAGGCGGGTGATAGTCGAGATGTCGCCTCCTGCGATCGTCTGTTTTGTAGCGGTGCTCTGCCTCCTCTTCCACTGAGATTGTCCACGCTCAAATCAGGAGATCCGGGGGTTGGGTGAACATTCGGAGAGGATAGCAGTTGAGTCCTCGAGGAATATCACGCCTCGCAAGTACGACGGACCTGAGGCGAAATCCACGAAGGTGGGATGCAGCCTGATGCCGCTTTGGCGCCCGGCCGTCTTCTCAGATGGTCGGCTACCATCTGATTTTCGCGAGTGCTCGGGCACGGGTCATCTTCTACATTCAGAGGTGTCTATTCGAATGCTGGAGCCCTTTGTACTCCCTTTGCCATTGCTCTTCTAACCTGCTCAGCTCCGGGGTGGTCCCTTCTATGAGACCACGAAGGAATCCGCACTGAGGTCGTTGCAGAAAAGTGACTTCGGCACAGAAAGCCTGGAAGCGCCTTGTAGCTCAAGTGTTCGACATGTCAAGTCCTTCTAGTAACAGGTCCATGCCGGACACAGACTCATTTTGTATCGAGGTCACCTCGCCCTCAGCACGGTTCCTTTGCAATAGCGACAGACCTCTCGTCTTGGATTTGGCTTTTATTGTCGTCCTTCATAGTTATGTACAGAGCCACTCTCGAGTTCGCACCCTCCATTTTCAAGCTTCATCCATCGTCTTGGACGGAGAAGGGAACTCCATACTCCAAATGCGATGCCCGAGCCGCTACTCTTCTTCCTCTTCCTTCTGCATATATCTGTGTTTGATGTCCTTCCATTGTCGCTGCATTGGCGGGTCAGCTGCTGTTCGCAGAGAACAGAGTATACAGGTCAGGCAGCACATACGCCCTTATTCCAGTTGTCCCATAAAGCGTTGGTTGCTCCTTCAAATCCCCTACGGCCTAGATCAGCTTCAGAATCCCGCGGGTGGGCTGGGCCGAGCTCACAGTTCAAATGTGAAAGCGCCAAGGAAGATAACGGTCAGGTAGGTAGCGTTCTTTCGCATTAAACCACTGCGAGAGGTGAGCAAAGGCGTGGAAGAGAGGGTTGGCATGTCCATACTTGAAGAGGCCCCGAGAGATTTGGTCCTGATCTCAGTCAATACCAAGAGCACTTTGAAAGCGCGCGGGCCACGTTACTCACGGTAATCGGCATCTTGGACAAGTCTGGGACGTCGCTGGACTTGATGTTGTCGTGCAGGTAGAGAGCCACGAAGTTCTTCAGTCAGTCGAAATCGATTGGACGAAATGAGCAGCTCTCGAACAGCTCAAAAGGCAGGCTGCGGGTGTCATTTGCGGAATTTCCCGACGCCGCTTAAAGAGCGATCGGATATGGTCACGTGTTACATCCAACCTGGCTCTGAAGAAACCGAGTAATTATACAGAATATCGTTCACTTCTTAATCAAAAGCAGCGCAGGCAGAAATGTTTCATATGTCTCTAAACCTCAGCTGAGGGGCACACAATAACGACTCCGGCAACTCCATACACCCTGGGCGCATCCCACAGTAAGAGGCGCATTGAAGAACAACGCCAAGATTTCTCTGGTGATGTCCCTTAGAGCGGCGTACCCAAAATGATATGCCTCCTCCCCAGATCGATGAACCTAGCACATCTGACCCTGCTCCTGAAGTCGACTACTGTTCACTCTACAGCTTTTGGCACGTCTTGGGGCGTGAATAGACACGAAGCCATCTTTGGGAATCTGACCCATGGTCCCGCCCTGGTGGACTTCCACTGCATCTATGCACGTCATCAGTGATATATCCCTGGGGCCGGTGTGCGCGCCTATATAGTCCATCATGGCCGTGTCTCTCAGACAATTGGAAGTCTGCCATAAAACTCCCTTCATCTGCTGTGAAGGCAATCACGGGTGAGAGATCCGTGTCGCTCTCTTACCGCTGTCGGGGGCATAGAGTTGAACCACGACGCGACCCCGAGTGGCGCACCATGCTCCCTTCAGAGCATTCTCATGACCGACGTGGAGGATTGCGATCGCTTTGGAGATCTCGACGACCCTCGTCGATGCCCTTTCAACTCACGGCTGGACCTTCACCACTCTCAACACGCATAGACGTCTCAAGTGTTCAAGGGCGTCCAAGTTCCTAGCCTCCCGCCAGGGCCGGCGGCTTTAGACGCGTTCAGTGGCCTCAGACTTCAAGTCCTGATTGCTGGTGCCAGTGTTGGTGCCGCTTTGTGTTTGTCACTTCGGGCCAGCTTATTGACACTTCCGCCAGCAATGTGCCAAGGAACGAGTAGATCCCGTAGACGAAAATTGTCTCAACCACTCACGCTCGTAGACCGGACAGGCTCATGTACAGACTCGGCCCCCTGCCCAGGTACAAGTGCCTCGGGCCCATCATACCCCAACTTACTCAGATCCCGGCGCAATTCCATCTCCTTCCCAATCTTCATGATCTGATCGTGGGACAACTTCTCGCCCGCCGCTTTTTTCTCCTTGAGGTCCTGTACCGCTCGCAGTTTCTTCAGCTGGTTGCGGATCTTCTTCTGTTGCTCGGCGTCCAAATCCGCGTCCGGGGTTGCAGAGGCACCGTGTCCTGCCTCGACGAGTCCGTCCGGTCTCGAGAGGTCCGCCGCCTTCATCGCCGATGTGAGCTCCTCCTCCTCTTCCTGGTTCCCAGCCGCTCCGGCCTCTTCGGCGGCCTTTCGCCGCGCCGCTTCCCTGCGTTTTGCATTCTTGCTCTTGCTGGGCTGCTCATCGGTTTCCGCGCCGGGGACCCCAACGGTGCCTGCAGTTCTGTTCTTCCACGCCTCGGCGCTCCGGTTCTTGTACGTCTCAATGTCCTCGGGAGGGCGATACCCAGGCCGTACTCGGATTTCTTTCCTGGTGGAACCGTCGGCGCGGCGGGACGACGGGATGTACGAGGCCCCGTCGGCGCTGGTCTGGATGCCGGACTTGGTGGAGTGAGGTGGTCCCGGGACAGGCATTATGGAAATCCACGCCTGTGGCTCGCGGGTTCTGCTTCTGCTTCGAAACGGTCAGCCTCGCACGAAGGACGGCCTCTCCTGGACCGGACTGGGCTTGGAACGGCTCGACGGCCACTGTAGGGTCGAGACGACGCCTGGCCTAGCCTGGCGTGGCTGGCACACAGCCGGGGCGACCGAAATCAGGCTTCACAGCGGTGGTGGACAAGGCGTCTTGACAGGTTGGGGTCCCGTGAGCGTCTTGGGTCCGCGTGGGCTGATGGATGGAGATGAAGTTGGTGGGCGACTCGGGGCATCGTCGGCAATTCAAATGAAGCGTAGCAGGCCATTTGCGCAGGCGTGGCATTGCTACATAGGGGCCACAGCCTCGTGGGCTCGAAGTTACGCTCATCAAGTCACCGGAACTTGAGCACGCTGGGTTTCGTGTCATACTGCAAGTGTGCTAGGTGCCGGTGTCTACGTCGTGTTGATCCCCATGCGATCACTATCCTTCCCGCTTCTGCGCAGATTCCCATGTTGGCTGCAAATCATGATGCGCTGCATGACGGGATGATGGTTGCCTCAGTCATGCGCATCAGAAAGCAAAACCAAGGCTCAGTCAAGTGGTTCCACGTCAGAGTGCTGCGCAGGAAATTGATATTCCGTTTCTATCAGCAATTCTACCATTTGCAGGACCAGTACATACACAAAGTGAATGGGTTTGGGCCGCGAAGCACGACTGAAGTGGACTAGTCCTGACTAGTCGTGCTAGTGTTCTAAGTACTCGTATTATTGTGCGGGGATTCGAGGCAAGTTTGCCGAGGGCAGCATCATCACTCTGTGATGCTCCCCACAGCAGGTCGGTGCAGGTCTGATCGCTCTGTTGGATCTGTTGGACCTCTTTCCTTTCTCCCTGCTTCCCCTACATATGTGCCACTCGGTCTCTACTCCCTGGAGATGCCCGTGGCTGGCTGTAATGCCTTGTACAGACTTACAGTAAACCGCGCATTCCAGCCTCGAGTCCGACCTGCGATCCTTCGCACCTTGACAACCACCAGCCAACATGGCTACAACAGGGCGCCCCAGGACGGCTCTCCCTTTGACCTGGGCGTTTCCCCCGTCCCTCCTCCAAACCCGCACGCGAGGGAGATTGCGGTCCTGGGCGGAGGGTTGACGGGACTAGCCACCGCATACCACCTCAGCCGCGAAATTCCCAAAGCTAAGATTACCATCTATGAAAAGAACGCCAGGCTTGGAGGATGGATTGACTCGGAAACGGTCAAAGTCGACAACGGCGAGGCGCTCTTCGAATGGGGTCCCCGAACAATAAGATGCGCCCCGGGAATCGTGTCCTCGTCCATGCTCGAGATGGTATGGGTCCCATTGACACACTTCTCGAGCACATATCGCTAAATGCAAATTCCTACTAGGTTTGTGACTTGGACCTTACAAATGACCTTGTCGCCATATCCAAGGAGTCTGCCGCTGCCCGTAATCGATACCTCTACTATCCAGACCGTCTCGTCAAAATGCCCACGCCGCTGAAGGGTGCCTCATTCTCCGACTTTCTTGAAAGTGTGCACACCGTCCTGACAGAGCCACTCTTCGACGGGTTTTGGAATATCTTCAAGGAACCGTGGGCGAGTCTGCGGGACGAGGACGTGAAGGACGAACCGCTAGGCGACTTTATATCTCGAAGGTTCGGCAAAGCGGTCACGGATAACATAGCCTCTGCATTCTATCATGGGGTCTACGCGGGCGACATATACCAGTTGAGTGCCAGAACTTTGGCCACAATGCTCTGGCATCTCGAATCCAGGAACCGCGACGAAAAATCCAGCATCTTGTTGGAAGTCTTGGCTGATAGGCTGAATCGTCGTGGCATCGCTCGAGCTGATATTGTCCGCCACCAGCAGCGGTTCGCTGCTGCTCTGAACTCGCCAGATGCTTACCTGAGGCGCGTGCCTAATCCGGAAATCTTTGACGGCCTAAGTGTTTATACATTCAAGCATGGACTGGCCCAACTAACGGCCGCGCTGGAACAGCGCCTCCGTCAAACCAAGAATATCACTATTCTCGAGTCATCCGCAGTGGAAGAAGTGACTGTCGAGAAAGGCCAGGATCGACTCCGTGTATGGTCCAAGTCCTCTGCAACGGCCTCACCGGTCATGTATGACTACGTGGTCTCAACCCTGAGTCCTCAGTGCATGCAGCAGTTCTTCTTGTCTGATAACACTAGAAATGCGGCTGCAAAGGTGGACGAGAAGGTCAACGCCGCTTGTCAACACAGCAACAAATCCGTCAATGTAATGGTCATCAACCTCTACTACAGTAACCCAAACCTTCTCTCGATCAGAGGGTTTGGTTACCTCATTCCACGCTCAGTACCGGTCGAACAGAATCCCGAGCGTGCTTTGGGTGTCCTGTTTGGCTCCGAGACATCGGGGCGGTTTGATTCAGTGCACCGTCGGTCAGCTCCTCCCTTCTACTTCCAAAGGGAATGGGACAAGGAGAGGGGCCAGCCTGTGATTGTTCCGCAGGGACCTTATGATGGTCCGGACGTCGTTCAACAAGACACCGCAACGGGCACCAAGCTAACCGTCATGATGGGTGGGCATTGGTGGAGTGAATGGGCTGCCAGCGATCTACCCACGGAGAAGCAAGCCATCGAGATGGCCCAGACATTACTGAAACGACACTTGAACATCAACGAGCAGCCTGCGGTTGCGAAAGCTCGGCTCAATCGCAACTGCATTCCACAACCTCCAGTGGGATATGCCCAGGACATGGCCACCATCCATGATGCATTGCTGTCTACATATAATGGACGATTCAAGGTTCTAGGGCCCTGGTGGCAAGGTCTCCCAGGCATGAACGACTGTGTTCGTGTGGCACGTGAAACTGCCTGGGCGATCCGCGACCAGAAGGATGACCTTACTGGACTGCAAAATTACATGCGCGAATCGTGGGTCGTGACGCACCTACCGACAAGGCAGGCCACGATCGAGTATACCAAGTAAGATGGACTGCTCTGGACCGGTGCTGTGTGGACGGCGTTTGTATCGTGTAGAATAGAGAGTCGGCACGGAGAGCATGTACCAATACACAGACAAAGGACAGATAGAAAATGGAGTTCGTTTGCCGCAAAAGCCAATCAGTCCTCGATCTTGTATATCTTGTCCTGCCAGCAAAGTAGTTACGGCAGAACCTTGTCGCCGCAACCGTGCTGCATACTGTAATTGAGTGCCATGTACTGTACAACTCGCGCCCGTCAGATGAGAGATGCGTCTCGCTCGGTCTGTCGGCTACAACGAGGTCAGTTGACGCTCTCCCGAGGCGACCGTACTGTGACAGAAGCGCAAGGGCGCAAGGGCGCAAGGGCGCACTTTGACGGACAGTGGAGCTCCTTGTCATCGTTGATACTATGTTGTTTGACATGATCTAGATTTCGAACTCAAGTCTTATGATGCTCTGAGCGAACCTGAAGTTGCGCCCATTTCATAACAATACACGGGGCTAGCACAGGCACGAGCACATACAGACACGACGAGAAGCACCCACCACCCGACCTCCTACCGACATACGAGCGTCGATCAAGAAATACAAATGTCATGCACGCATCACAATCAGATCCACCTCCAGAATACTAGTAATCCCGCCCATCGGAATAAATAACGCCTGTCGTCGAAAACTTCGGATCTATAGGAGAGAATTCTACATCTCGATTATTCTCAAGTCCTACTGTAGGATATCTTCTGGTTTTAGACGGCCGAGTTCATCCTTTTGTTTCCCTCTCCTGTCCCTCGACTCGCTCGGAGTAGACACTAAAACCCCGAACTCGTCCGTCAGCCTCTGATGGCGCGGGAGAAGAGTGCTTGAGTGCTGGTTTGGCTGGTGAGATCGATCGTGGCGGAGGTTCGTTGTTTTCCGACCAACCAGCAAGGTCTGAAGGTACCTAGTCTATCTGAGAACCTTGTTGATCTCGACGGGCTCAGAGCTCCACTACTTGCACCAGCAAATCACGACGACGCCGGGTTTCAGCCTTCAGCAACCAAGTACCTCTGAAGGAATAAGTAAAAAAGAGAGGGAGGGGAGAAGAGAGAAACCCATCCTGACCTAATTAATTACACCCTGATTCACTGTCCTGCCTACCTACCTACCTGCCGACGCCGCAGAGGGGTAAGATTACAGAGCATTCGAAACCATGGGCGGTATTGGAGCCAATTGACGGTCCTTTGGGTAGGGAGACCGTTCAACGCACTGTCGACAATAAGAAGGAAGCAGAAGGTGGAAGATGGAAAGAAGAAAGTGAATTTCAAGTTCCCATTGCTACCAATATGAGAGATCGCACCCGTACACTCACTCGTGCGCTCATCCTTCGCAGACCGGATCAATGCTCGACGCGGCCGTCAAAGATAGACTGTGTTCACGGTACAGATACTGAGTACCGTACAGGGCCAGTTGAGCAGCTGCCACGTCGCATTTGGCATTCCATATTCCGCTTTTCGCTTTTCGCTTTTCGCAAACCACACATCGCTTCACCCAGCAGTCGACCTCACGCATCCGTTCCGATTGCAAAGGCAACTAATTCCTGCCGCCTCATTGCTCTAATTACCGCTGGCGGGCCGCCCTTTGGTGGGAATGACTCGCATCAGTGTTACACAGAACTACAGTCTCGCGGCCGTGGCCTGTGTTTCGATTCTCGAGTTGTCAGTACAGGGAAAGCGAAGATGAGATCGATATTCTTCCGGTTATGAGGCGTGGCGTAGCAAGGAACAGGGCGAAAAACGAGGACGAGACCGAGACCGAGACCGACCGACGAATCTACCAAACCTAGACAGTAAGACAGTACTGTACTGTACTGTGGTAGACAGGCATCAGATTGCGAACGGACGCCTCTATCGTACACGTCCACCATCTCGACTCTTATAGCACGACTCTACACAGGTCCTCGGAGCCGAATGTGAAAGGGTGGTGCCTGTGTAGCGTGTATGACCATGTGATGAGGATGATGCATAAGATTCTCTGTATACCGTACTCGATCAAAGCACGCATATTCATCAACGGACCAGCGAGCAGCAATGGGCGAAAGCACTAAACTACTGTGGTAGTGACTAGGTATATGGCAACTAATCTTGTGTAAAGTCAGCTTTATAACAGGGTATAATATAATCATTGTAGCTTATCTCCGAGCTCCCGAAATTATTCTACTTCAGTCGTCTCAGAGACACACACTCAGAATTGAATGCAAGCAAGCACGCGATGCCAGAAAAGGTGTTATGGAAACATGTTTCTATGGAAGCATATTTTGACATGGCACAGCCACAAATGAGAAAAACGCAACCACTCAAGGCAACGTTTATGCTATCCAGAACCAGATCCTCTCAACCAGGTTCCTTGGTTTGCGCTCGGGCCAAACAATGGCATCCAGGGCAGCCTTTCCAGTGTACAGATCGGCCTCGCTGGATTTGCGGAAATGTGTGCGCTTGAGAATTCTCCAGAACAGGTACAAGCCAAAGTAGATGGGTATTCCAATATAATCCGTGATGAAGGCCTGGTAATCGAAGCCTCCAGCAATGGAATCAAATCCGTTGAGGAAGATGATCAGGCCAAAGAAGATGGTCGCTGCATAACCGAGGTACGGCTGGAAGGGCGACTTGAAGGGCAGAGTGTTGCGGTCGATGCCTTGAGCCTTGCACGCGTGATAGAAGCGGATATAAGCGATGGTGATGCTAACCCAGGTGAACAGGGTGGAAATTGTGGTCAAGTTCTGAAACCACGTGAAGACCGTGTTCGAGCCAGATGAGCAGGACATATATGTCAGGAGCGAGATTGACCAGGTTATCAACACGCACCAGATGGGCACGCCGGTCTTCGAGCACTTGAGCAGGAATCGAGGTGCTTGTCGGTTCTGCGCAATGGCGTATAGGTAGCGAGAACCAGTGTACAGGAAAGCGTTGGCAGAGGAGGAGGCCGAGGTCAAGATGACAGCGTTGATGATGGAAGGAAGAGCATCAATACCGGCACGGCTGATAGCAATGACCCAGGGAGATTGAGCGGCACCGGGCGCATCGTTCGCTTGGGCACTGATCAAGTGCTCGTCGTTGTAAGGAACGAGAACACCGATGGCCAATGAGCCCAAAACATAAAAGAAGAGGATACGCCAGAACACACGGCGGACGGCCTTGGGGATGTTCCGGCGTGGGTCTTCGGCTTCACCAGCTGCGACAGCCACCATTTCGACACCGCCATATGAGAAAGCGGCGTTGACGAGGGTCGACCAGAGACCAAGGAACCGGCCAGTGTCACCACCGGCGATATATGCCTTCATGGCACCAGGGTTGTTCCAGTACTGGAAACCGAGACGGTGCTGTCCTGGAACACCACCGACGTCGATGATGAGGGCGAGAATGAGGAGGCCGACAATGGTGACCATCTTGATGGACGCGAAGATGAATTCAGCTTCACCGTAGATGGCGACGGCGAAGATATTCAGCCCTAGGACGAGCACAATGACGATGGAAATCCATGCTGCCACGTTGATATCTTGCGCACCGTGCCAGAACTGGATGACGGAAGCTGCGGCTGAGACTTCGACACAGAGTGTGATGGCACACGAGTACCAGTTGTTCCAGCCGACGGCAAACCCCATCGCATCATCCACATAACGAGCGCAAAACTGTGGGATGGCACCGGGAAGGGGCAGCCATGTCGCCATCTCCCCGAGACACATCATCATGCCGTAGACGGCCAGACCGGTGAAGGTGTAGCCGAGCAGGACGGACAGAGGACCGGCTTGGAGGAAGGCTCGGCCGATGCCCAAGAAGAGACCAGTCCCGATGCTACCCCCGAGGGCGATGAACTGGATATGGCGGGATTTGAGACCTCGAGAGACGTAACCATATTGCTCGGCGGTGGCGATGTCGCCAAAAACATCGGCTGCCTCGTTGACCTTAGAGCCTCGTCGAGCCTGGAGAAGGAAAGACTGTCAGCAGAGATCAGATCTCAGCAGAATCGGACTCACCTCGATCTTGTTTACATCGTTCAAGTCGACGGGAGCGTACTCTGGCGACTCTGAGCCAGAAGATATGTGATAGTCTGGCGATTTCTCCATCTCGCGGTTTGGTGCAAACTGCAAGAGGATATCTGCTTTGACCAGTGACGAGGGCTCGACAATCTTAATGGGCGGTCAGGAACGAGCGACGACGCCTGGGAACGAGCTGGGAGGAAACATGAAACAATTCTTGCTGGGCCAGGGCGACGGAAGTGGTATATGTAGGACGACAAGTGCGCATGGCCATCGCGGCCGCGGCGGGCACACACCCTTGTCTGCGATGGACGAGCGCATCGCTTTCGTCAACAGTCTGGTGTGATCGCTTGAGCCGAAGCCATGAGATCCGAAATGTCGAGATTGCAGTCCGGCGAGCAGAGTGCGACCCTGTGCCTCCGCTGTAGCAAAGTGAATCGGCGAAGACGATGGTGGAAACGGCTAGCGCTTGAGCGTAGGATGATGGCGCGATGACCAACAAACAATGTCATGGGGAAGCCTCGCATGATCTCGACGGTGGTTGGTGAGCCACTGGAACAAGCAAGCAGGGTCGAGGTCGGTCAAGCGTTCTAGAGGGTGTCGAGGGAGTTGGAAATCCCCGGTCAATGGAGTGATGCAGGGATTGGGGTGGAGCTCGAGCGTAGGATCTCCTTTAAGTGAGATACGAGCAGGGCAACGAGAGGCCAGTGAGCTTGTCAGAAAGACATCAATCAGGGAGAAAGCAAGAGGAGTTGACAATTTGGGATGGGTATGTGCAGTGGCGAGTGATAGCGCAGAGCAGCAGTCGCTGTTCGGCGAACACGCATGAGTGGCGCACGAGTGGGGGATTTTGAGTGTCGGCGAGCTAGCGGCTCAAGAGGATCAAATCAGCAGTAAGGCGTGCAGACAGCCGTTGCACCGTATCATTGCACGCCACTATCGCATGTTGGCGCTGCAGGGAATTGACATGCGTCAGGTAAACCTTAGCAGACCATGAAGGGCCGGTGAGAGAGAGATGAGAGAAGGGAGAGTGAGAAGGGAGATAGAGAAAGAAGAGAATCGTGCTAACCACGCTTGGTCGTGATGGCTGCGGCACTGGTGGAGCGCGGGGTAAATAGCACCCAGTCACGCGAATCCGCAGTGCTAATCGGCAGGCTCGTAGGGCAGGAACGGGAGGTGGCCGTGGCTGGACGGCAGGCGCCAACTCAAGCATTGCCCAAGCATCTCAAGCATCCTCAAGCTCGACCAACCCAGCAGCAAACAAGCGCAAAGAGATGTCAGCTGTACCATACCCTGAGCGCCACATCTTTGCCTTCACATCTCTGCGAAGAGTTACCTAACTACGTCACTTCTCACCATGTTGAGGCTGACTTGGTGTGCATCTCCGGAGAAGACAGTATTGTTGCGGAGTAGTTGTCTACATTTTACTATTTCTCGAATGAGGATAAAGGACGATCCGTGTTTGGGCCCCGAATGCATTGTCATTGCTCCGCGTACTGTGGCATGGTGAGTCCTGAGGGACGACTGTGTCGTGTGTGCACATTCGGGGTTGCGTGTGGTGCAAGGCGGCCTTTGCGGCCGGAAGGCTGTTCTGTGTAGTACTGTGCCTATCTAAGCTGCGCGAGTACTCCGTAATGGGTACAAGACAGCGGCCCTAGGTACCTAATGTTAGCCGCCTCGGCTGGCCCCGAACTCTGCATCTCTTACGATTACTGTTACTCGTGCGCAGACATCACCCCTCTTCCTCGACGTGGTAGCAGGCCTCGCACCACCTCTGCTCGTCTCACGGTTCCTGATCCTCGCCTAGGCTTTGCCACTAATGCGGCAGACCGGGGCTCCTTTTTGACTTTGCTCTCCCCGATCTTCATTTGGTGGTCAAGAGTGAGCACTCCCTGAACAAGAGCAACGATTGGTTTCTAAGTCAGATTTATTACCCGAAACTCGACGTGAGCGCCACCCTCAAACGCGATATATTTCAGGAAGGCGCATAATTTGGGTAGCATTCCAGAACCTTTGCTTTGCTACTTAGTTACTGTACTGTCCCCGAGCGGCCGCGCTGGGACAAGAATAGTACTGCACTGTACAACTCCCAAGGCTGAACTCCGCTTTGCCCATGGATCTCACCACCTCATCTCTACCCAACCTTTGCTTGTTTCCGTCGGGGTACGAACGACGATACCACACGATGGGCGCACTCTCTTTCCATCACCTATGTACCTGCCTCGGGCTACTTATGACTGCACTACGACTCGTCTGGTCTGAGCTTCGATCGGTCGTCACAGTCGACGTTTTACTGACTGCCGCAGCCTAACTCGAGCGGCAACGACACCGAGGCTCGTCCGTCATCGCTATCGTCAGCGCCATATAGAAGTTTGAGCCTCGTGTCGACAAGCCCAAAACGCCCGCCGTCATCTCATGATATCTCTCATCGAGCTCTCTATTGAGAAGAGCAACTCTTGTCTGTGACGGCATACGCGTCTCTAACCCCGCCTACGTTGACTGAGAGACCCTAAGTTGTGGAGGACGCATGGTCTTATGATTGTCGCCCGTCACTTGCTCCTGGAATCGGTCGACTTCAGAACCGCGACCTGGCCAGATCGACAGCTTCATTGATCAGCCAAGTATCAATATCTCGATACTTCGTGCACCTTCTGCTCAATCGAGTGCTGCTCGATATCGCGAGTATCTGCAACGTTTGTTGGTCCTTGCAATTATGATGCCTTAGAGATATATTCGAGCCGACTGGTTTGTCATGAGGAGATTCCGGACCCGACGACTTTTCCGAGGTTTGAGAGAGAAACACAGCGTATGAAGCTTTAATTGCTCGGCCCTCCTGAGCGACAGCCCATGATGACGTGGTTCGGCACGGGAATCACGGCCCCTTGAACTCCATGCCGTGGTGAAGTATAGTTCTATCGTCCTTTCAACTCCCTGACCAACGTGCCAAAATGCTCCTTTTGGTCCCCCGCCAATTTTCCCTTTGTATCGCTAATGATCGTCAACACCAGACTGTAGTTGTTGTACAGGAACTTCGCTCTTTTGCTTGCATCACCTGCTGCCTTGGCTAGTTTGCCCATCAGCGTCTCGTACTCTGTCCTCAGCCGGGCCAGACTATTAGAGACGGGCTCGTCATCGCCTGCCTCGGCACTGAGCAGCAAAATGCCCTGCAGGAGTTGCCCGAAGCGTTGTGTGATCGCGTGAGGCGCGACTGATGCCCTCGACGTATCGGATGATCCTCCGCCGACCAAGGAGAACGCCGCTGCAGCGCCACGAGGCCCACTGCTGGGGATGGAGACTTTCCTCAACGACTCGCAATGAGCGTCCATGACCATCTGGAATCTCGGCCACAGAAGGATGTTGGTATAATTGATGTACGAATCCGCCACAGGGACCTTGCGTCGCTGCGCTTCAAATGCGAAGTGCTGATTCAAACGCACGCAGAGAAGGAGTCCCAGGCAGTCATTGGTGTTCTCGACCAGGGACCTCGTCAGATTGTGGCCCATTGTGAAGGTTGCCTCGAAAATTTCCGTCACGCGCCGCGATATCTGATGGTACGTGTTCGTTGCAAAGAGTTCCGTAACGACAGAGTACTCGGCCGACACGTTGTCGATGAGAGCTCGGTTGAAATTCCGAAACGGGATTTCGAGATAATGCGCGGATTTGCTGTCTTCGGCGAGGTAGGCCGGGATGGCAGTGGTGTCGGTCTTGGATTTGACGATCTCTTCTCGACGGCCGAGATTGAAGGCATCGTGTTGATGGGGCGCCGATTTAGATGCGCCGAGGACGTTTCGGCGGGCTGGAGCGGGATCCGAGCCAAGCAGGTCGTGGAGGTCAAAGGCGTGGATCTGGAGGGATGAGAGTGCCTGTTGGTAGCGGGAGAAGTGGCTGCTGTAGTACCATCGCATTGTGTTGACATATGCCTGGCCAATCTCTTCAGCCAGGACGGGATGGTTTCGAGCCAGAAAGGCGTAGAGGTCCTTGTATCTGAGGAACGTTTGCTGTTGGATGACTTGGGCATTGATATTTGGCGACCGGAGTGCTTTGATCTGAGCCACAATGTAGTCTCGGATTCGTTCAAGCGCTTTGACTTTGAGGTCCTCAAGAAGAGGTTTCAGGTCTTGCAAAGCCTTGACCTGTTCTGAATTCTTCTCTTTCGCGTCAATGATGAGTGACCTCGCCTCAACTTCGTTGATGGCCTTGACGAATGTCTCATCGATGACCCCTTCGGCGATGGACCGCACGGTGAGCGGAGAGAGGCTCACCTCCTCAACCGCAGGACCCAACAGCTTTTCGACGTTGCGGCGGTTGTCGAGTTTCGCATTCAGTTGAATAGAGCGGGCTTGTAGCTCTTCGATTTCTGCCGACACCTGGCCGAGTTCCGCTTTGAAATTGGTCAGGTACGTCTCAACGTTTCTCAAGACTTGATCGCATTCCAAGACCGAATTATGAAAATCTTGGTATTTCTGTCTATTCTCTCTAGCCGAGGGCTCCAGTGTATAGCCGGTCGTGGGTGGCCCGTATGGTATTTCTCGATTGGCAAATTCTTGAAGACTCAAGGCCCCAAAATCAATGTCCTTGGCCAGCCGCCCGTCTTGAAACTTGGGTGTTGCATCTTGTCCTTCTTCAGCGCCTGGCTTTCCAAGTAACTCTCTCAGCACGTTGACAGGGTCTGGCACTTCTGGAGGCGGCCTTTGTTCGAACCGTAGAGCTGACCCGTTCGTTTGCCTGGGCGGAGATGTAAGAGAGGCAGTAGAGGTGTTCGCACTGAGGTCTAGAGACGTGGAAGATCTATTGGCAGACAGACCGAGGCCAGACAGCGTACGTTGCGACGGCGCAAGCTGGGAGTTCTTACGCGGCGCAGGAGAGTATGGTCTGGACGGAGTGAGAGACTCTCGCGAAGCGCCGGGTGTGGCAGCACCAGCAGTTAAGCGGTCCAGCCACATGCTGAGTATTCAATTGTAAGATAGGCCTCAATGACATTGCTACCAAAGACATGTACGGACTTGTAGCCCGTTCGCACTCGTGTCCACGAGGCCACCAAGGCGCTCTATCCTCGTATTCCTCCGACGGAGTACATTTCCCAACGAAAACATCCACCGTACATGCCAAGGCCAGCACAAGGGAGGTTTGCCGGGCCGACGCTATCGATTGGCAGTGGCGGCACTCCGCATCCCACTCTGCAACCAACATCTGCAACTCATATTTTCCCAGGGCCTGGTCTGCGTTTTCCCTCTTGACCATCGCTCTTTTCCCGAGACTTTGTCGCACACCGATTTATACCGGCTCTTTCATCTCTGATTTCTCTCTATCCTCCTTAGCGGCATCTTCTCATCCATCCACCATGGCGGACAACGACGCGCAGGTAGGCAGTTTCATGATGAACCCCGCTTCGATGCGCTGGACTGGCTCTGGCTCCGGCTCCGCCAGTCGTTGCAAACCAAGAGCCTCATCCTCTGTTCTGACTGACATGCTTTCGCATCCAGCATGAACACACCTTCGAGTCCGCCGACGCTGGTGCTTCGGCCACCTACCCTATGCAATGTTCCGCCTTGAGAAAGAACGGCTTCGTTGTCATCAAAGGTCGCCCATGCAAGATCGTCGATATGTCCACCTCCAAGACTGGCAAGCACGGTCATGCCAAGGTCCATCTGGTCGCTCTCGATATCTTCACTGGCAAGAAGTTGGAAGATCTGTCCCCTTCCACCCACAACATGGATGTTCCCAACGTGACCCGCCGTGAATACCAGCTGGTAAGACCTCCGTTCGAGTGTGAATGGAGGATACAGAGTGCTAACGGAGAGTGGTAGCTCGATATTACCGATGACGGTTTCTTGTCCCTCATGTCCGATGATGGTTCCACCAAGGATGATGTCAAGATGCCTGAGGGCGAAGTTGGTGACAAGATTGAGAAACTCTTCCGTACCGACGAGAAGGATACCAGTGAGTTTTGATTCTCAAATTTCGGCTTCAGCACATCCTTACAGGCTTTCAGATGTCATCGTCTTGACCGCCATGGGTGAGGAAGCTGCCATCGACGCCAAGGAAGCTCCGAAATAAAGGATGTCCGAGCCAGACTGCACACCTGCAGCCTCCTATTCACGACTGTTGTTCTTATGGGTCACGAAAACCATGTCACGTTTCAGAGGTGGTGTCGGGACTGGTCGCACAATCGAGATATCTAACAGGCAGACTCGATTTTGCCTAGAGCTAGTTTGGGCAGTAACTCTGTGGTCTGCCTTGAAAAGCGATCTTCTCATTCCATGAAAGATTTGCATGCTGGTGCATTTTGAAAAGTGGTAGCTAGACGAACAACCCAGGAATTTCCAGACCCCACCCGATCATTTGCGTGCTTGTAAAGTAATTAGTTATCTGGGATTGGTATTTCAGCCTTGTTTGTCAAACTACAAATGGCCGACCGCTGATTGGTGTTACGCCATTTCATGCCTCGTGTCAAACATCAATTTTTGTTTCCAGTTACGTATTGAGAACCGTGGGAATCGTACCTTCGGCTGTCTTGAGCCTATCTTTGTGAGCTCTCCCCCCGGAAGGAAAGTTTCACAATACGCTTCCCAAGAGCATCGTCGCGCCATGCTAGCAAAGCCATCCCGATCGCAGACAATCCGCCAATATGGACGGAGACGAGTGCGCCACTTGTGGCTCGACAGACTTCCATGACGAAGACGGGAGGATTTTCTGTCACAACGGGCATGATCAAGGCCACGGTCTAACCACCGCAGAGGATGACGCCGATTTCGGCAGGCAGGGGACCATCGTGAGGAAGAAAGTGGACAAGGAGAAGCAGAAGGCGTCGAGGGGTGAGTCGGCCTCGATGGCTCGGACGCCCTCCACAGGAGCCATAGATCAGCCATCTGGCATGCTCACCAGCTTTTCTAGTGCTTCGAGGAACCAAAGCGTTCCAACTCTTTCTCCAGTCCTGGCAGTTTATCTTGTGGAAGCAATGTCACGCCCTTGTTCACCAGAAAGGCCTCCCGGCGGAACTATGGGTAAGTCAATCGTCAAGAGCTACATCGCTCTCCTCGCTGTTGACAGCCAGCTGACGCCAGCAGAGTGTGGTGCGGGACATGTGGACGTTATGGGTCTCGAGACTAGAGCATCGGCTGCTGCAAGATCCCACGACTGCTGCTGTCGATGAGCTTACAGACACGAACGCCGACAAGGCCGGTACTACCGCAAGCTCTGGCGATGAAAGCGATATGGACCCCGGCACTTCCGTGCAGAAGCAGCTACAGAAGAACGAGGAGAAGGAGAGGGACTTGGCGCATGACTATCCAAAGCTCATCGACACCATTGCCCTGGCATATATGGGAATCATCATGCTCAGAAGGCCCGTCGGACAGGCCACATTTTTAAGGTGAGCACAACCCAAACTCTCACGGCGCGCCCAAAGGTCCACTCCCAGCGAGGCGTTCGATGGTCCAGGAGAAAACAGCTGGGGCGAAAAGGGCTACCGTCAACCTGCTCACAGAAGGAGGCTTTCGAGGAAACTTGAGCTGTTGTTCCTAGACTGGTAGTGATGTGCGCTTGCAGACTACCGGAACCACTTCCGGATGTGCTGTTCACTGACGAGAGGCTCAACTAGATGGATCCTCGAAGAAGACATCCCGTTCATCCGCGCAATCCGGCACGTACCCCAGGAGATGAAGGACCGCCTTCCGGGCGAGTACCATCAGTCTCTGGACACGACAATGCGGCTCCCTGGGCCAGATGACCTACAGAAGGCAATCTACCACCGAGCGAGATGGTTTAACATCTCGTTCGGCATGGTCTTGCCATCGATCAACCAGAATCTTTTGCTCCTGTACTACGTGCGCCGTCTAGCTCTCCCGTTGGAGGTGTACACTACGGTGCGCCGCTTGAACACAATTACCAGATATGAGTTCACCTATCCTGACATGACGAAACCGCTCGAGACCACACGACGTCAGCCAACCACGTACCCTGAAAGCCAGTTGATGTCGCTCGTCGTCGTTGCCACGAAGCTCCTTTTCCCGTTCGACGCAGAAACCGTCAAGCGTTACCCGAAAGACGCCAACGACTTCAACACTCTGCGCATAGACTGGCCGTCCTGGCTTGAAGCTAAAACTGGGTTCGACAAGGATATCGCCACTGCACGGGACATGAATGGCCTGAAACCCGGATCCGAGATCCTCGTCACGGATAGCGATATCCTCGGCATGACGGACGACCAACTCGACCACTTCATGAGCTGGTATCAAAGGACGTGGATCAAGAACAGTGCGCCATCCCAACATACGCAGGTCCAGGATGGTGGCAGCGGCAGCATGGACAGGGAGATCCTCGAGATGTTTCCTCTTCCCGACGTCCCGGAACGGAGGGGAAGCCGTGAACAGAACGAGAGACTCCAGGCCGCGGAGGACGCGCGGCTCACCGACCGCATCAAGCAGGTTCAACGCTCTCTGGGTTCTCGACGGGCTATCTCGGAGGAAGACGAACTCGAGCAAGGTCTCGACGTCATGCGCCCAGGTGCACGGTACCCTCGCTTTGCGAAGGTTGAGGATCTTGACGGCGCAGCAGAGAGTATGGTCGCGATCGGTCATGTGGCCAGGACTTTCCATGAGGAAGCCGCACAGACGGCTTGTTTGAGCTTGAAGGCCCTCGTGGCGGCGGTTAATCGTACGGAGGAGAAGATTGAGCTATGGCTCGTAGCTAAAAGACGGGAGGACATCTTTGGCGATGATGGGTCCGACAGCAGCGATATCGATGAGGACATCGCAGCCGTTCCGGGGACCAGTCCTCCCGGGAAATTGGCCAAGGAATTCAATGGGCTGGGACTCGGGCTGTCGCCACATGTCGAGGACGATGCTGAGAATGTTGATGTGCAAATGCTCCCGGAATGAAACAGGCTCTGGTTGCTTGGGTGAGCTTGGGACGTACTGCCTTGTCAATCATTGCTCATGATTCATTGTGCCTAATCTCAGTTTGGCACCAGCCAGTCCTGAGACTGTACACGTTGGTCCCTGTACATAACGTGCTCTGTCCTGGCTTCCGCTGTACTAGGCCCCATTATACACGAAAGTATGTCCTCGCTGCGTCCAGTTTCCCTTCACTTCACCCTCTCGACCTCCCCTCCTTTGTCGCTCCATTCCACCCAACTGCCAGGAAACTCCCCAACTGTGCCACCAAAGCCAGCCTGACTGGCCAGTCTCGCCGCGGCTCTGCTCCTCACGCCTGCCTTACAGTAGAAAATCACCTCGTCCTCCTTCCCTGGCTTCTCAAATCCGAATCGCTCTTCAAACTCGTCTGCGGGAAGGAAGAAGCCGTCCGCGGCAGATGTGATTGGGAGGTTCTTGGAGTTGGGGATTTTGCCGGTGGCCTGGAGCTCGGACGGTTCGCGGACGTCGATGAGGATGCGGTTCGGGGAGGGAGCGGAGGATAGGGACTGCACGTCATCAAAGGTATAGAGTCGGGATTGTTGTGCAGAACTCGAGAAGGAAGAACTCTCGTCCTTGTGGGCTGACCATGATGTTGTGAAGTGTCGCTTTGGTTGACGCAGGGGCATTTGGGTTCGAGCTGTGTGCGAGGTATGGGAGGCCGGCACGGGCACAGGTATCGAGAGACAGCGCGACTGCCCGGATCGGAGTGTCTGGGAGGAATGACGGGTCGTTGTCGAGGACGACAGACGCCGGGAGTAATGAGCGAAAGAATTGGCGGCTCGCTTTGATGCCATGCCGTAGTCTTGGAGGAGGTTGAGCTGTGAAGACTTCTGCTCGACGCGCAACAAATAACTAGACCATACTCAGAATATACAGTACTTTGAATGTACACTCCCAGCTTCGACGACGGGTCCCAAGAAGGCCCCACCTTTGCAAGGCACCTCGGCAAATGACGTTGAAGGACGGAAATGATACCCGACATAGGGTGGCGCATTCGACCAGCTTGGCATGCATCGGTGCGCAATGAGGTGAGCGTCAGTTGTCGTGGCAGATCCTGCAAGACCGATCATCCTCTGATGCCCATGCGCTCCTGGCTCTCATGCTTCTGCTGGACCTCAAATCAACCATCGGCCACAAGTTAGACAGAAATGTCGAGCCGTCACATGTGTTGGGATCTCGTTGCTACACAGCCTGACAGCCGACACGTGCAGATGCATTCCGGATTGCGAGGGCTGGGTTTGGTTCCGGCCAGAGCAAGACTAACGTAGAGTGAGTAGTCCAGAAGTATTTTCCGACGGTTCCGCAGCCCTTGTTCTCGACTTCACGTTGCACCCGGTGCCTGCAGCGCTTGTCGACAGCTGCCGACTGCTCCCGTCAGTCGACGAGTGATCCTGGGTTGGGAGTAAGGTCAGAGCCCTTCCCATCTGCTAGCGATATCCTGAATAGAGCTGAAAGGGAGGCCATCACCTATAAACAAGATACACGGCTACCTACATTACACACAGACAAGCGGTGATTGTACATCTTTGATCCGTCCCCTGTCATGAATTCTGTTGACCGAAAACTGACACCCACAAGATCTCAGAAAAATGACTCCCAGGATTCCCTGGACATTGTCTTCCCCTTCAAGCAGTATGTATGACAGAGATCCTCGGCGCAACTCCCTAAGGGATATGAGGAGGAACACTCGTCGTCTTGGCAGTCGTAGTCGTACAATGTGCGGCATTTGCGGCATCGATCTATTGGCTTAAAGGCGACGGGGTACGTCGATTTCACTTCCCTCGATTTCACATCTTCCAATGCCAGTACGAAAGCCCGGGCCGCCTCCTTGCGACGATCAAATGGTGTGGGATTCTCGGCTTTCCATCTTCCTTCCATCTGAGCTCTGAGGGCTTTTGTCGAGACGTTTTGCGTGGAGCCGGTTAAAGATGGCTTTCAACTCGGGACATCCGGTGTAGCTCGGCTGATTCGCTGCGCATACAGGGCCTCTCGGGTGACCGACACAGAAGAAAAGGACGTGAGGAACCCCGGCGGCTTTGCGTCCCCGACCAGGCAAAAGTTGCAGCTCACCCAGCCTTACCGCCAAACCATTCAGAAAATCCTTGACATTGCCTATAACTCAGTGGTTAGTACCATGGATTTACCGAGTGGGGGGATCACTGACCTAGCTCTCGCAGTGGGTAAGTTGACGTCCTGTAGTAGAGCTCAATTAGCAGTCCTAACTCAGATGCCATTGGAATGTCTTCATTCTCAGCATAGTCTCCCGAGAGGTTTTGTAAGTTGTCGTGCCATCCACTCAATATTTTGTTCAACTCATCTAAGGCGTCGCGGTCGATGCCGTCCCTCAGGATCAGGGTGTCTCTGAAAGTTTGGTGGACTTTGTGACTAAAGCGTAGTCGACCTCGGAACCGTCTGAAAACTTCCCATCCCTGGATAATGGGGATTTCTTCACAGAGTTTGCTGGCACACTCGGTGATACTATTTAGGTTGCTAGCAGTTGCGACAGCAATCTCCACTTTCTCCAGGGCATTCTGCTCGGTCGCTTCGGCCTGGTACTTGGCCACTTTGGATCTACTTTCTGACATGGAACCCTCAATATAGTGGCCGTTTCGACGCGCAGTACGGAGATCTGGGTTAGCCATGGTAACGAATGAGCAGGCTGGAATATCACCATCATGCAGTTAGGAAGCAATGGCGGGCCTTTTGAGTATTTCGAAACCCCTTGAGGCTACATTGCTACCAGGGCAAACAGTCAAGCAAATGAAATTCCTTTCTCCGCCACGTCTTTGAGAGCATGAGGCAGGTCTCGAAGGAACAATCGATGTCAGGAAAGCACAGCAACACTGAACAGAGACCTGGCGGAGTTGTAGTGCACATCAGGGACCGACACTCTAGGCAAAGATGGCGATTATCTGGGTCTTCCGTCCGGACTCTCTGGCAGGGGCAGAAGCAGCCCGAGTGAGACATCTGCTGAGGCATTGTAGGACAAAGATGACGCGGAGACAGTGATTGTCAACGGTCTCGGACCTGAACTTGGCGGCCGAGGCTGAGCCCCTGAATCGGTCAATTCCCACAGTCCAACAGGAGAACACGACACCTACGAACAAAGGCAACCGGAGGCGGGGCCGCCTGACAGTTGCGAGACATTGAAGGGGAGCCTGAAATGTCTGATGCCGATTTGGAAAGGCTGTAGAGAGCATTGTCTTCCAGGAGTCTTTCTGCTGGTCGCCGGGTTACGCCGCCGCCGATCTTCGAGCTGTCTCTGACTGAAAATATATGCAGGCTACTACGAGAACCGCAGCAAGCGCTGCGCTCCGTCGCAGAGTGAATCGAGACCATGCATCAGGGGATTAGCATCTCGCATTTTCCGAGGCTTATCGGTACTAACGGAGGTCAGAGCTGCTCGCGGTCGAGCTAGTGATCAGATACACTTCCTCCACTTCGTCGGATCAACGGCGGGAGCTACGGTATCCTGCTAGCATAGCATTGGTAGCTTTCCAAACGCTTCGAGTTTTGATGGCAGAATGGATATGTCCATGCGCGTTGCTGACAAACAAGGCGATTGGATTCACTAACATACCAACGGCTTGTCTTCACATTTGCACCAGGTTCAACCTCGTGAGCTTGTGCTCCATGCGCCATCTCAACGTTGTGACCATGGTATGTGCCATTAGTCCAGCAACTGGTATCGACAATCCAGCAACTGGGAAGGTGGCGTGCACATTCCACATCAATCAATAATGATCAACATTCCGTGGCGAAATGCCCCAGACGTGCAAATTATAGATAGCCGCCGGACCGACTCGGTCGGACTGCATCTTTGTTTGTCACACACATCCTGGACACGATCATCGATACAATTTGTTTCGGTGCTCATCAATACCATATTGAGTGACCTCGCAAAATCCTCGCGACCTGCCCGCGTCCTGGCCGCGCCGAGACCATGGATGAAGCAGAGAAGGAGGAGTTCAGGGTATGGCAGGAAAACTCATGTGGTACGTCGACGTCCTACTGTACGGCATGCGACTTTCCAGCTAACGGAACGACAGGACACAGCTCTGCGTTCAGGGAGAATGCCTGGCCCCGAGCGAAATCAGATCGGTATATTCGATGGGGAGGTCGGGCCCTTGAACCAGGCAGCGATGCTTACAGGTGCGACACACTCGCCTTAATGTTGCTGTTGTTGCCCGGCGATCGTGATGATGACTTACGTCCCTTGGTTTCGACAGAGAAGCTCGCACTCGGCGTCTTTGGCAACGTGGCGATGGCAGGAGCCCCGATGGCCAAGATACTAGGATTGTCTTTAACGCCATTAATGCAGTCAATTTCAACAACAATCCGCCTTGTGGGGGGCACAGATTCGCCGACACGACCTCCTTTCGTACATTCCGCAGCATCATGAAAGGCGCCGAGTGGCCCCTGGAACGGCCACGGGGCCTCCGACTTTTCACACGTGGTAAAAACGCGTTCTACGTCCTGCCTCAACACTCGCCATGGGGGGGCAACCACTACTTTTACGAACGGGCGGAACACAAGCGACATCCATCCTTTCCGGCACCGGTATTACCGTATGGCGCTGAACCACCCGACAATCTTCCGCCGTCATCACATCGGTTGATGAACGCGCCGCCAATGCCGGAGGAGTATTGGGGTGACATGGAGATTTTCCGTCCTGCGCTCACCGTTCCGGCCTCATATCTTGTTGCTTCGCCTGCCGCCCCCGACTGAAGTCGTTACCCTTAAAATTCGGCCACTTCGTGGGACCGCTGTGGTATGACGGGAGTCAATCAGGCCGCTATAACCGCGCCAACCTACGACCCACTCCGTTTGTGGTCCTTCTTCATCCCGTCGACAAGAGCTTTTGGGTGGTATTCAACCACCTTCCTCTTTCCCAGAAGATTTTGACCCCGGGGGAACAACGCAAGCTTAGGAGGTGGTGCGACGAGTGTGCCGACGAGGAAGAGTGGGATGATTGCCCATACTTCGACTACGACTACAACAAGGAAGCATTCTGGAAGCCGATTCACCCCGAGGTCTCGTACGTGGCACCGATCGAGCGGCTCGAAGACGTGGCATTTTGGGAAGAACTTGGCATGCCTCCATTCTCGATTCTTCGCATCCCACCCTTACGCGAAGGTGGGCGAAGGAACAGGGCCGAGGACATGGCCGAGGACATCGGCAAAGCCCGAGCCCAGGGCTTGGTCGGGGAAGAGGAGGAGCAAAGCAGCCATGATGGCGGCGGGCCATTCTTGGAGGTCGGGCTTGGGGGCGTGACGATGCGCGTCGAGGCCACGAACGTCCGTCCCAACCCGTTCAAGGCGAAACACCAAGAATTCAAGGATTACTGGAACAAATGGGTGTCTGAACCTGCTCCTGGTGACCGCCCGAGAGCTCAACAGATCAAGACGGACAGGAGGAGGAACCGGAACAACCAGTGGCGGAGGGGCCGAGGGTGCGAAAATGTCGGATTTGCAGAAAGATCTGAGCAAGAGGCGCAAGGATACACCGCTGTCTTTTTCTCCTTTTTTTGTCGTGGCACTGGACCTGTGGAGTACCATGTGTGTGCGTGTGTGTTTGCGCCGATCCCTTTTCCTGTCGTGCCTGGCTCTAATATCAAGCAAAGCATCGAGCTACAGGACGATTGTCTAGCGGTCACAGCTCCCGTCACAATGATACGGTCATCATAATCAACTGTAGAAGGCCTCTATCCGATCCTCGTTTGCAGACGTCGCAAGAGGTCAGCGAGCAAGCAGCTTGACCTTTTGGAAGAGTCTCCAATCGCACATCGCACATCATCCGCCCGTCCCTGCCCTGCCCCTGCCAGCAGTGTTGCTCGGGAGGTGCAAGAGCTGGTGGTTTCTGCGGTGCTGACGCTGTGGGGAACTCGCAATTACGAGGGCTGGGTACCCGGTAGACGCTTTGCATCAAGCCGAGACTTCTACGCCGTCAGACAGAGGTGATAGCTTAGCAATGTCGATGCCGAGTGACCTATTACCCGGTTTGTCTAATTGTGCAGAAGTGTCGGTGTCAGCGTCGGCGACGTGTCGGCCATTACGAGTATGTAGTCCCTTGTCTTCGTTTACGCAGGCGAGACGAACAAGGCAATCCATCGCCTGTGGCATACAAAGCTCGGAGTCCTGCGCCTCTTGAGCATTCCCAACGTACGTACAGGAGTGATGCACATGGTGGGCCCGGGCCTGCACGTCCCATCTCGGCGGGTTTGTCTGGATGAGCATTTCGACATCTCGGCGGCGGGCAAAGGGTTCCCACAAAGACAGTGGCCGCGAACCTGCGTCTACACGGTACAGTAGACAGTAGAAGATGTGGAAGCGCGACCACGGCCTCGTTTTGTCTGGAATGCTTTGTGCCCCACGTCGAGGTATGTAAGTACTGGGTAGGGGTCAGCGGCTGTACTCGATCTCTGCCCTTCAACCACCCCTGCTTCAGGGGATGGCGCTATCCCTCCTCTAGGACTGGCCGGTCAGCTGGACGCCGAATCATCTCACGTCTCAACTTGTGCCCTCAGATCTGTCCAGAGCAAGCGAAATGTGTCAGCCTTGTGATACGTACTGGGTAAGCTGACCTCGAGCTGCCCCCATACTGGAGCTCAGTCTCGCATTAACGCTTCTGGGATGGGTTGTTGTAGAACTGCAAGCTGTAAGCCCCCCTCCAGCGAGGCCTCGGCTGCGGCTACACACCCTACACAAGCACCGAGAGCGTCCCTGTGTCGAACGTTTGCTAGGGGTGAGCAAATTCATGGCTCCACAGTAGAGCCGAGGCTACATAGTCATGTGTTTGGTACGGAGTACTCCGTACGTCCTCCGAGGCCCCTCCCAAACACGCCGAGCACAGTCCGGCCACTCACGTCGAACAGGGACTCCGGTATGTACCCCCCGGGGCCCGGGAATACCCCGTATCATGTGTACGGGGTATGAAGTACTGTGACGGCCACTGGTGATGCAGTACCACAGTCCTTTGCAGCTTTGTAGCTTTTCCAGCTTTGGCATCGGGGCAGGCGGCGATTGGCTGAGGGCACGCGACCCAGAAGCCTTGCATATGATGCGGAGGTGCTGCATCCGGGGGCTCGTCCTCGGGACTTCCCCTCCCCCTGCTTACATTCCCGGACCATCCAGTGGGCGGCCAGCAGCTCTGTGGAGCTGAAAGTATCCCAGGGGAAAGCATCGACCTCCTGTGAAAAGCATGTATATATGAGACCCGGGCAGTGGCTGGTACCCACCGGGGGCGGGACACCCCAGTTCCGAGCTCGAGCGAACTCGAGCGGCGTCAAGCAAACAATGCCTTCTACGCTCTTTCTCGTGGGCACCACGGTCCTCCTGCTGGCGGCCATCTTGATTCACGACGCGAGCAACAGGTCCAAAGTACCGGCCAACGCGAGACTGCCTCCGGGCCCAGAGGGTGAATGAAGTGCAGCTCCGTGCGCCGAGAAAGACAAGCTCTGACCCAAAGCTCGCAGGCAGACCGATCGTGGGCAACCTGTCGGACATTCCGCCAAAACACTCATGGTTGAGGTTCAAGGAATGGGCCGACCAGTACGGGCCCATCTATCGGCTCGACATCTTCGGCCGCAACCTCGTCATTGTGTCGACCGAGAAGGTCGCCAATGACCTGCTGCGGGAGCGCGGGAACATCTACTCGTCGCGCGAACAATTGCCCATGGCTGCGCAGCTCATCTCGGACGGCTTGAGGCCGTTGTTTTTGCCACACGGAGGTAGACCCACGTCGTCGTCGTCGTCACCGCCGCACAGAGAGAGTGGCTGACAAAGGACCCCAGACTTGTGGCGACGAGGGCGCAAGGTGATGCACAACATGACGATGCACGCGTCGGCGACGTCGTACCAGCCGGTTCAGATCTACGAGTCGGAGCGGCTCCTCCACGACCTGATCACGACGCCGGCCAAGTACGAGTCGATCTTCGAACGGTACGCGGCCGCGGTGGTCCTGCGGTTGGTCTACGGCAAGACGGTCGACACGGGCGACGAGCAGTACGTGCGCGACATCCTCAAGATCGCCCACAACGTCGAGCGCGCGGCCTCGCCGGGCGTCTACCTCGTCGACACGTTCCCGATCCTCATGTGGCTGCCCGCCTGGCTCGCGCCGTTCAAACGGGAAGCGGCCCGGCTGCACGCCTTTGAACTCAAGACCTTCCGGGGCCTGCTGTTCGAAGTCCGCGACAAGATGCGGGCGGGGAAAGCGCCGAAATGCTTCTCGAGGTCCTTCCTCGAGAAACAGGCCGAGTACCACCTGTCGGACGACGAAGGCGCCTACGTGCTCGGCACCCTGTTCGAGGCCGGCGCGGGGACCACGGCCGCGGCCATGATGTCGTTTGCGCTGTGCATGTGTCTCCATCCCGCGTGGCAGCAGAGGATGCAGGACGAGGTCGACCGCGTCGTCGGCGACGGTCGCATGCCGGACTACAGTGACATCCCGTCCTTGCCGACCTGTCGAGCCGTGATCAAGGAAGTCCTGCGATGGCGGCCCGTGACCGCGGGCGGCGTGCCGCACGAGCTGGTCAAGGACGACGTGTACAACGGCTTCTTCTTCCCTGCCGGCACGAACATCCATCCGAACCAGTGGTAAGTAGTGTGACCCGTGAGACTGCGCGTTGAGAGAGTATGCCATATACGAAGTCGCCCAGCGTGACTGCGCATTCAGAGAGTCTACTGTATACGAAGTTGCCCAGCGTGATTGCGCGTTGAGAAACATTGTTTTTGTACAATGGTACTGACATGTCCTCCTCAGGGCAATCCACCGCGATCCAGAACTGTACCCCGATCCGGAGACGTTCAACCCGGGCCGCTGGCTCTCGCCCAAGTACCCGACCTACCGTGAGCCGCTCGACAAGTACCCCAACCTGCAGAACTACTCGTCCTTCGGGTTCGGCCGACGCATCTGTCCCGGCATGAACATCGCCGAGAACTCGCTGCACCTGCTGACGGCGAGGATTGCGTGGGCGGCGCACATCTCCAAGAGGCCCGGCGTCGAGGTTCCACTGTACGACTATACCGTCGGGTTCAACGTGCAGCCGCGGCCGTTTGTGTTCGATCTGGAGGCGCGTAGTGAGGCGAGGAAGACGTTGATCGACACGACGTGGGAGGCCGGCAAGACGAGGAACCCGCTCGACGAGGTGAAGACGTTGTAGGAGGCTGCCTCGGCTTCGGATTGATAAATCGAATGAAATGAGATTTGTTGACGCGTAGGTTGCGAGGCGACTCCCTCGGCTGGAGTGGGTGTAGAATATCATAGACCTCGACAAAGTTCTGTTGTGGTGTCGGTTGTGGTGTCTCGTTGATGTATTGCGGTGTAAGTTGTACCTCCTCGAAGCGCGTAAGCTCACAGGAATGCAGCAAGGAGTAGTCCGAGATCTCTGTATGTGGTACTTCCAAGATCTCCGCATGTGGTACTTGTCGTCATTCCATGTAGTGCCCGTGCCGTGCCGTGGCAAACTGTAGGGTATTGTGTTTGTGTCTTCCGATCTCCTCCAACCGTGGCAGCTGTCGCCTGATCCCTCCCTACCCGCTTCTCATAGCATGCTATACCAGTATATACCTATACTGAGACACATATCCGGAGCCATACCGGATCATAACCAAGCGAGGCACATCAGATCAAACCAAGCGAGGCACACCGAATCACACCAAGCGAGGTACACCATCGCCAACACATTAGACCACACTCTACACATCCTCGCCCGCACTGCGCCTCACAAACGCCACCGTCTCCGGCACGCGACTCAGGAACGGACTATGACCACAACCGTCGAGCACCTCTGTGCGGACGACGTGCCCCCGATCCCGAATCCGCCGGACGATGGCCTCCTGCATGTGGAACTTCAAGGCCTGATCGTCGCGCGCCAGCAGGTAATGCACGTCGACGACCTCAAACGCCGAAAACCGACACGGGTCGAACAGCGCGGCCGTGCTCATCGCGTTCAGGTTCCTCTCGGCCTGCCTGTAGGTCTCGGACTCGGCGGGCATGTCCTGCCAGAACATGGTCGCCGGTGGGGGATTCATCAGCGCAGGCAGCCCTTCCTGTACCGCAGGCTCGCCGTCGGGACCCGTGATGCTCATACCTTCGGGCAGGATGGCCGACGTGATGGCCGCGATGGCGCGCACGCTGGTGCGTTTCCCCGCCGCGACCCGCGAGGCCCGGTCCAGCCCTCGCACGGCGCCCGAGCTCGGGATGCCCCCGTAGGAATGGGGCACGAGGATCACGTCGTTGGGGCTTGCTGCGTCGTCGAGCTCGGCGAGGATGGCGTGGCGGATGGTCGCGATGTCGGCTTCGCTGTCTGGCGTTATTTCTCCGGGGGCTTTATCCACGGACGGGAGTGCTGGGGCGATGACTTTGTACCCGTGCGAGGTCAGGGCGCGGGATAGTTCGTGGAAGTGGATGGGCCGGTGCCATGCGCCGTGGACGATGATGATTGTTGGTTTTGATGTGTGGGTTTGGGTTGCGGTTGCATTCGATTCCGCCATGATGCGATGTCCTGTTGTGGGTTGAATTCAGGTCGGTGAGGTGGGAGAGGTGGGAAGAGACGGGTGTATTGATGGGACTCTCAGCATGCAATCTGTCGTGGCAGAGAGGGAACGGACGGCCCTTGAATCTACCGCCCCTGCTTCTTTACTGAGATGGGCGAACGAATGAAGGAATCGAACACACTCATATAAGTCCCCGCGCGTCGAGAGAAGACGGTGCTTACCAATAATCAACAGATATAAACATGATGAAACGTCAACCATTAGACCGGACCAGAGGTGGACACTTGTAGTCGACCGCTCGGCCGAACGTGGTGTTCGGCACTGTTGGTTGTCATGAAGTGGCACGATATACGACCTGACCGTGGCGTGGCGGCCGAGTAGAGCCATGAATTTGGTCCGCTAGCGGTAGATGGGCCGCATCCTGCCTTGGGCCCGAAGTGGAATACGGGAGTACTGTGGTACGTGATCCTGCTGTGGTGTGGTGGCCTGAATTGTCGTCGAATGTCGGTGTCGAATTCGATGTCGACGTCAACGTTGACCTGCAGACCACATGTATCTGCCTAGTGCTGCGTGAGGCGAGGTTACAGCTACTGGACTGTACATCGACGGAGTAATTGATTACATCCTACACTACATGTACTCCGTCCGAGTACTACCCAGCTGACGCGATGTAGCCTGGACAAAGGTAATTACTGTAAGGCCCATATTGAAATGTAGTCCTGTGTACCTAGGCGCGTCGTGTCGTGTACTGTGCATGGCATCATGGTTAGCCCGCCTTTGGACTAGAACCATGTCAGTTGAGTGACCTAAGGATACTACAGTACTCCGTACTCCGTACTTACGAGTAGTATCTAGCTTATACGAGGTACTCAGTCGTAGCGGTTCGCCGCCGCCTTTTTGATGACCAAGCAAGGCCTGCCTCCGTGGTAGCTCCGCGCTTGAAAGCCAATCAGGTTAATTAGGCCAGTTGGGACGGGGCTCTCTCCTCGCCCAACCCCCCCGTACGATGTACGAACCCCCCTAGGACCTTTCTAGGCACGCCCTGCAAGCTACGAGCTACGTGCCTCCTCGCGAGGTACTAAGTACTAGCACCCTTAGCTGACCCTCCTGTTCTTGGCAGCCTCGTCACGTCACCACTTGTATAGTCCTGATTTCGCTATCCCGTGGGACCTGTTGTGTGTGACCTTTTGTCAGCCTGTCAGTCCGACAGACTGGTGTCAGGTCTGTCTGCGGGCCTCCCTCCCGTCCACGCGGAACGAGGGTAAATTGTTTCTCGGCGGTAAAATTCAGGCTGCAAATAAGCAAACCAAGCGCATATTCCCGTGGTGAGCAAGCCACTTGAGTACTCGTCCGCGTCCATCTATGCGGCCGCCTGAGCCGACCATGCGAACATCAAAGACGGAAGTGAGAATGTAGACTGGCTGTACTGTCATGTCATGTCATGCCATGTGCTTCAGGCAGGATTCGGGAAAACCGATGATTCTCTGCGTTCATTGCCCTGTCCAGGCCTGCTTGATGTACGGTGTGTGAACCTCCCTTGGCGAGCCATGCCGTGCCATAGCAATGTCACCGGCATCACACGACCACAGAGCCTACATCTACGTCCAGTTCCAGCTCGGTCCTAGTGCCCCTTCCGCTCACATTCCATTCCGTGTGCCCACATGACAAAATATGTCGCAATACGCCCTGTTTCGCCGAACCTTTGCCGGTCCGTCGCCAGTGCGAAAGTCGCCCAAGCCAAGCCTTGACATTCCCAGTCTTGTTTTCTACACCGTTTCTTCACATTCATCATCGTTAGTCGTAATGTTTTCGTGGCGAGCCCATGGCTTTTTCGTACGCCTCCGCATTCCCGTCCGAGGAAGACCGATTGCTGCTCGTCTCTCCCGTCTCGGCGTCAACGAATTGTTCTCCTGATGTGGTTGCGAAGCTGTGCTTGCGACTCGAGCGCGGCGAGTCAAAATGCTCTATTTCGTCTTCTTCGTCATCTTCGCCGCCTGCTTTCGCCCCTTGGGATGCATCTTCTGCTCGACTTTGTGCGGGTTTCCTTTCGTCAACTGCCTCTTCATTCTCATTGTCGTTTTCGGCCTTCCGGAGCTTCAGCCTCTCTTCATTGGACATGTGTTGCCACTCGGGAGACATGGTGATCACCGACGCCTTCTTACCATGCAGGATGAAGCTACCCACGCCGCGCCTCAACTCTTCAGCTTCACTGTGCATCGACTTGCCTCCGTCCTCGGTGGCGGCGATACTAGACCCGGACTCCTTCCCCCTCTTATGGCGATGGATACTGGGTGACGAGTGATGGTGCGGCTCGCGCAAGCTGCGTTGCAGACTTCGACGGATGCTCCCAGACTTTGACGGATCAATCGCCCCGGAAATGGTCCCCGCGATGGCACCAACTCGATCTCTTTCGGACTCGCTGGTATCCGGCCGTCGGTCCTTCGTCACACTGCCTTCCAGGTTGGTCAGGCCGGCCTCACGCAGGATCCTATCCTCGGGGTCGTCTGTCGTCCGACCAAGGCGATCTCGATCCCGACTGTGGCGTGAACTCGCGGTGGAGACCTGGTGTGACAGCGTATGCGACTCCTGGATGCTCTCATGCCGCGACAACGCAGGATCCATTGACAAAGAAGGGCTAACGGCTGACGGGAGATCCAGCATGCTATGGTCCGTAGGTATACTTGCACTTTCCGGGGTCTTGACCTTGTCAGCAATATTGGACGGCCTCGAAGAAGTCGCGCTGACTGGCGACAACGTGACATGACTCGTGTCGGTGACGGTACGTCCAAGTTCTTGTGGGCCGGTTTTGAGAGGAGTCGTCTTTTGCGGCGTCGATAGCGAGGAACCCTTGGGAACAGGAAATGCCGTGGCACCCTCCTCCTCGAGATCTTTGGCCAAGATGTCTCGGTGCGTCCTCGTTCGCCACAGCTCGACTCGGGTCCATTTCAACTTGGCCGACATTCGACCAGCGGCGAGAACAAGAGCTTCCCGTGTCTTTTGTTGGATAGGAAGTAAGATGAGGAGATGCCGAGCATTCCGAAGAAGATTGTCGAGCTCCTTTTGTGCCACAGCGATTCTTTCGTCAAAGTCACTGATTTTCTCATTGATCAGCTGGCGGCGGTAGAACATGATTTCCCATGCCAGTTGGGCGTCGAATCTCTTGTCTTTCTGCGGCGTGTCGCCGCTCTTGGTAGAGAAGTCAGAGTCCTTTCGTAGCAGATGACGTCCTTCGTAGTTGGCACCTAGCAGACCGCGCATTCTCACACCAGCCGTACGAAAGGTGGCTGCGTAGTTGAGCTTGCCAATCCAGTCGTTCATCTCCGATTCGCTGTTGGCTAGGAAAACTTCCTCAAATCCGCCGTGCTTGATAAACACAAAGGCATTCTTGTGTTTCTTGTAGCTTGAATCCAGCAACGCCACGGCATCATCCATGGACATCAGCGCATCAGGCTCGAAGGAACTCAAAGGAGGCTTGAAGGTCAGTGGCGCGGATTGAAGGGCAGACCTCGCATGGGACTCCGACTGAGACATCAGCTTCTTGACCCAGCCGACATCCTTGAAGAAATATAACTTCGAGTCCGTCAACAAAGCGCCCCATTCTTGCCAAGGGCTTTTGGCCTTTCTTTTCTTCGGGTCCTTGCGCCACAGCAAGCCGACTTTCGCAATCTTGATACTGACAATCCCGGCCTGGGTGTCGCCAGGGTTACTGATGGAGGTCTGTGACTGGAAAGCGTCCGGTCTGGACCTCGCAGAGATGATTTGCAAGACGGCCGAGTGGAGGAAAGCTCGATGAAGCGCGTTCGTGTCGAACGCACTGGACGTTCCGGTGGAACAGTAACAATCATGCGTGTCCATCACATCTTTCAGGGACGGGCGCAAAACGTCCAACTTGTTGTCCAATATCAGAGTGTAGGGATCAACGGGACCACGGAGGCTTTCGAGGCTTTTCGTTTTGATCAAGCTTCTTTTGGCCTTGGGCACTGATAGGCGGTGACTGTTGACGGCAATCTCATCCTCGAAGTGGATGAAGGGCGTATAGCACACATTGTCGTAGAAGCATTCCAGGATATCACTAGCTATTTGCACCGAGCCGTGTTGCGTGTTCTTGACATAGTCCTGTTTCTGCATCTTCCGCTTGTTGTTCTTGTTGTGCGCATCGGAATGCAACAGCAGAATGGAGAACGCAACGAATTGCGCGTCATCAGTCGAGGCAAAGATTCCGGGGTTGCACTCATAGTATCGGTCTGCGAAGCCATTGAGGAGTCGATCGATCTGCTGAGTCTCTTTCGGAAGCTCCACCTCCATCAGCATTTTGCGGATTGCGATGTCGATGGAGTCGCCAAAGTACGAAAAGCCACGCATATACTTGCGCAAGCATGTTCTGGAGAAATCGTCCGCGCTTTTGCACAGGATAGAGGCCATTCCACTTCGTGGGACGGCAGCCTCCAACCTTTCCAGATAACTTGCCGGCGTGTCACCGTCTTCTCGCTTGGGATACACTCGCTCTGTGTCTGGCTCTCGAGGTAAATGTAAGGAATTGGATTTCGAACCGGGAGTGCCTGGACTTGACCCGCTCCCGGTCCCTTTTGCGGGCGCCGAATTCTGGCGTAGTCTATGAGGCAGGGTCAAAAGATCTCCAAAGCTTCGTCTCCCGCTGGTCGACGTCGAGGTTCGCGCTGAGCCTGACTGAGCAGAGGGGTCGGACAATCTCTCGTTTGATTTTCCAAGCGAGCTCAGGGTCGACGATCTCCCCCTACCTGATACCCGTGGAGGCGCAAGCGACACCGACGGAGTCGAGTTGCCAGAATACGTGGACCAATTTGAATTCTGCCGTACGATAGTCGCCCCAGGTGATCCAAACGGAGCGTTGGTGAGGGCCACGGCCGACTGGGTTGGCGAAGCGCTGGCCGAGTCGTGTCTGCTCGGCTCAGTGTCGAATCTCACGGCAGTATTTGATCTCCTACTCGGCGACATAGACTTCCTCCCCGCCGTCGATTCGGAAGGAGTGTGAGATGTGGTCGTCCGGCCTGAGGCCGGCCTCGAGAACTTTTCCGGCAAGGGAAACAACGGGCCTTTGTCCTTCTTCCGCCTCTTAAGTTTGAAGAAAGTGGTCGTGGTGGAGATGGTATGAGTAGTGGTGGTTTTGGCGTAGACGTGATGGTCGCCAGAGCTATCATCAGATCGGGACGATTCTGAAAATCTGGTAACAGGTATTGCTAGCGACGATGAGGAGTCGTCGCCATATGCCGGTGGCGCCATCGCTCGATGCCCGGTCTTGAGCCTGGGTAGACGTTCGAAAGATGTGGTACTCCTGGGCAGCTCCGATTTTGACGAGGTGGCATCTCCGTCTGCAGCATCTGCGGCGCTGGCGCCTTTGAAAGGGTCCAGTATCGTTCGTTTGAAGCTTTGGCTCTTTCGAAAGGGGCTCGGGGCTCTGGTGAACAATTTGCGTTTGGACGGTCTTTGCGTCGACTCATCCGCCTCGTCTGTTGTGGGTGCGGTGGTAATGATTTGGGGAGCTGCACCGGACAAATTTAGCAATAACGAGCAACATCAGTATGAGATCAACACATACGAGCGATGGCTCCCTGGGCATTGTGCTCCTCATTCCGGAATCTGGTGGACAGCTGCGGATCTGACGCATGCCTCATTCCTAACTGCGACAGCCTCTGAGGTGCGGACAGAGGGAGGTCACCGCGGTCATCCTCAACCGCATTTCGTTGTTCTTCTCTATCTTCTTCATTCAAGGAGGCTGCCGGATTGCCGGTACCATGCAGCAGTCGGACGTGTTCAGGCGCCGCACCAGGCTGGGTCGAGGGTCTCTGTCGAGGAGGTTCTTCGGGCCCCGCCGTCAAGAGCGGAGGGAAGGGCTCGTCGCTGGTGCGCGACAGGCTCAGGCTCAGCCGTTTCAATGAGTTGCTCTGAGTCCGAGTGCGAGATAGCGGAGCATTGGAGGTCGAGGTTGCCGGCGCATCTTCGACGATACTGCTGTGTCTCCGGTGTGACAGACCCAAGCCAGGCGCTGAGGGCAGAAGAGTCCGTAAGGGCATGGTGGGAAGAGGCAGCTCGTTCGTTCACACCATGTTGAGGGCAATAGTCGCAGCGATCGTCTCGTTGCACAGATGTGAGAAGTCCTCGCAAGTTGCTACACAGTCTCGAGGGCGGCGTGCGTGGACGGGAGGTAAATGCGCGAGATGCTGTACTTAGATGGGGCGTCCCGGATTCACCGTAAGCAGGCCAGCTGCATGTGAGATGGGATATCGAAGTTGCAAGTGAGTGGCAGAACAGTGATATGAGCAGAGAGAGAGTGAAGTCGTTGCTTCAGAGTGCCGGTAAGCGAATGAGCGATACAGAAAGTTGGCATCTACCCTGCCCGTGCGATATGATGTGGAATTGCTATGCTGAACTTTTGTTGGAGGAACCGACCAGCAAAAGCGAGAGCCAGAGCCGGAGCCGGAGCCGGAGCGACGCCCAGAGCGGATTCGCGGCCTGGCCAGCCTCCGCCCACACCATACCTAATACCTGCAGCCCAAGTCAAGGAGCCAGGGGCAGCTGCGTTGGGTATCCTCCCGGGCTCCTGGCAGCCCGGCAAAGCTACTCCGTACTGTACTTAAGTTCTGCCACGTGCTTCATCGTGGCTCCCCTGGGATTTCAGCAACCTAGCAAACCCCACCGACCAAATTCACAAGGCAGTAGTGTTCCTCCCTACCCAGTAGACAGTTAGACAAGGGCACGGTCAGTACGGAGTACTCCCTCCACGCTTCGCTTAAGCAGCCTCGCTTGAGCTGGACCCATTGGACGACTTTAATCATTATCATTGCCCTTGCTCTTCTGAGGAAGGTGGCTTTTCTATCTCGTAGAATGCTCTAATCACCCTACGCAATGCCGAAAATGCAACCCTTCAAGACGCGCCGGGAAACAAAATCCCCTGTGCAAATGCAATGTCCCCAACCCTCACGAATGCAGAACCCCCCCACGCTTGCAATGCAGGATGCCCAACACTGTGTCAACCATTCATCGAGACCCATGACCGCCTGGAGGCGGGTAATACCCGCCAAACCTTGCATTGTACATCTGCTGCTGCTGCTGAAGCTGCCATTGTTGCATCTGGTCTGTCGAAGCTTGTTGCTGATGCTGCCAGCCATAATGATGTGGCCAGAACTGTTGCGGCTGCTGCGGCATGACACCATTCCAATGCATTGACGCCTGCGCGTTACTCCACTGCCCGCTCTGTCTGGTATCAATTGGAGAGCTGTAGATGGTGGCTTGCTGTGTTCCGTAGTTGCGCTCCGCCGCGTGCCGCTGTGCAATGGCCTCCTGCACCATATGGCCGGCGACCCCTTCCTTGATATTCCTCTTTTCTTGCTCTCGCGCTTCGATGGCGCCAATAAGGCCGACTGATGGATCCGGTGTCCGGCTTCTTTCATGCATTTGAAGGAGCGGCCCGCCCGTCATCTTTGCAATGTGCTCCTGCTCCCTGGCCGACAAATGTGGTGTATAGTCCACCAACAGTGAATTCCTCGAGCTCGGCCGAACCATGATTGAATGTCGCTTTCTCGGCAGGTTGTCAGGAGACTGCTCTACCTTACTGTACGAGACGCTCCGGTGAGGTGCGTAGCCGTGTGGTACGCGAGCAGCTACAGCACGCTGCTGCACGAATTCTTCAGCCGTCAACCCCCCCATGGAGTCGTGTCTCGCTAAACTTGTCCCTGGACGCCAAGCATAACTCGAGGACCGAGAATGACTAGGTCGAGGGCTCTGTCTATCAAGCGGCGATCTTGGCTCGTTGCTCGCCACGAAGACACTCTGCGAGGTACTTTCATCTTGAGGTGATCTCGTCGAAGGCGTCGTGGGGGCAGTTGGGGGACGATCCGAGGGCGGCTCCTGGCCATGTATCCCAGAAGCGGTTGCAGGACGGCTGTGTCCTGGAGTCAAGGTAGGAGTGAAGGTCGTACCGAAATCAACAACAGGTATATCACTCTTGTTCGTAATCTGGGCGTCGGTAGTGGGTGACAAGGTTGGATCACCGACCGTTTTCAGGACACCGGTCCGTGTCTTTCTCGCGGTAATTCGGGGGCTGTGGTCGTCGGGAAGGCTGTCGTAATCTGGTGAACTGCTCCTGTCTCTCTCATAGTCGGATGCTGAATATTGAGACATGTTTTCGGCCACTTGAGTATGGCTTGCTGGCGCTAATAAAGTCGAGGTTGCTGTTGGAATTGGCTTTCGGGGGATCGGTTTTCGAGGGATCGTTTGGTCACTTGGGCGTACACCGGATGCTGGTCTGACATCAGTGCTGTCAGCAGGTTGCGTATAAGCACCGTCTGCTACCACTTCTTGAGGAGAAGGTTGATTAGCAGACATATCTTCGTGGTGAGGGGTCTCATCATTTACCCCTCGAGCCCCCTGGGTCAAATTCTCCCCCTGTCCTCGGCCTTGATTCCACGCCACCATGGCTGCATGACCCGCAGTCGCCCCACCACTCGCAAGTTTGTTCACATCGACAATCTGAGACAATGTTCCATTTGACATGCGACTTTTTTCTCGCCTCAAATCGGGTCGAGTATCGGGTCGCTTCTGCGGAACATCACCAGCTTGATGCTGCATCTCTGGCGGAGCCATGACCGGGGCCGGTGGTGTTGCTTCTCTGACGTCTTCCTGAACATCTTCCGCATAGGTCCGCGGCCCTTGCCCGTCGCTGTCTGAGCTGTACCGGCTGTCAGAAGCTTCCAGCTCGCTTGTGACAGCACTGTACTTGAATGGATTTCGATGTGCTGGAGGCGGCGGAGGAACTTCAATGGGGTCCATCTCCTCGGTGTACTCAGCTGACAACCTAGACGGATTATAATTATTGTGCTGACGATGACTTTTGGTAGGCGACATATACGCCATAGACTCTGACACAGACCTTGAGTGATGGTTCTTTCCAGGAGATAGATACGCGACGTTTGCCGGAGCCGTCGTTGCTTTCTGTGGCGAGGCAAATACCGCATCGGTTGACTGGTTGTGCTGATGTTGGGAAGATGTCAACGGAACCGATTCCCCGTCATCATACCGCACTCCTGGCCTCGACTCTGACACAGCCCGATAGCTGCGCCTGTTCTCGAGGCTGCTATTTGACCGCTTCTGTGCCGTCATTGACATTCGTTTCGAGGTCGTCTCTTTGAGCTGTTTGCGCCATTCTCTTTCGCTCCATTTGTCACTTCCCTGCGTGTGTATTAAAGCTGCAACATCCATGATGTCCAAATAACCATATCTCCGCTCCTTTGGCATGGCAAACATGAGTCCCCTCGGGTCCCACGTGTCGGCGATCAGTCGCTGTGGTCGACCGTAGAGATGGAAAATGTCATACACAGGGAAGAGCCAGCGGAGCATCATCTCGAATCCTGTGACTGCAGGATGCAGCTCAGGCATAACGAAGACGAAGCCTTCGGTCTTGGACTCTGGTTTCGAGTGGATGGTGATACGGCCTTCCACTTTGACCAGGGTTGATTGGTCAATCAACGCCTTGGACTGGGGATAAACAGCATAAGCCGCGTACGCGTCGGTAATGGTCGCGATAGGCACAGCCTTCTTTGTCTTCTTCGTGTCGTAGAACTTGATGACCCCCTTGGGCAGAGTTGGTCGGTCGTACGCCGACTTCTTCTTGAGGGACTTGTTGGACCTCTGCCACTCTTTCTCATCAGGTGGTTCGATGACACACCAGCACCGTCTCCATGGGGTCCCAGCGCCAAATCGAACGCGCGTCCAGTCCTCTGTCTTGAACTTTGTCCTCTCCATAATCACTCGGATGTTATTCAGGAACTTGCCCTTGCCAGCAACCAGAGAGCCCGTGTATAACTCCTGTAGGGACGCAAGCTCGAACATTGAGAGTCGGATACCAGCAGTCCACTGTGTTAGGGAGTGGAGTGAGTTGAAATGCAGGAGATATCGGTTCTTGCCAGCCGTCGAGATTGAGAGCACATTTTGCAGAGGTTGTACATCGGGATTGCGAGTGGGGAGGGTCTCAATCTGTCCATTCATCAGAAGCTGTGGGGTTACGGAGGGCCGAGGTGCGTACCATCTTGATGGAAGCGTCGGCCAGGTTGATGAAGGTGGGCGCAACCTCTCCATCTTGACCGGCAGCGTCCAGAGCAGCCGCATCCCAGAGGGAGAGCACGGTGCCCACCAGCTGAGCGAAGCATTCGGTCCAGTTGCGGTCCGCATTTGGTCTTCCGTCTAGAGATCGGTCAGTCGTGCGGTATGAATTTGGAGCAACGCAACACTCACGAGTGTCAAGATCGTTCAGTTTGAGGAAGTATCCTATGCGACACAGTCAGCATGGTCCCGCTCAAGCATGCAAGTAATCAATGGCTACCTTCTTGATAGAGCTTGTTGCTATGGCTCGATAGGAAACTGGATGATGGCGTCAGAACCGGGGGCCAAGCATCGCCCGGGGGTCCGCAGGTCAGACGTACCTGAACACCGGTCTCAACTCTTCGATATACTGGTCTCTTTCATAGTCCATTGACGGCGGGGTGTACACCATAGATGCAGGACGGGACGCAGCCCGATCTGTTCGAGGCGTCGTTCTAGGAGTCTCGGTGGGTGCTGGGGAGTCTTCGAATCTCGTCGGTGATGGGTAATCCTGGTCGACGTGTTTAGTCTGGCCGTCGGTAGACGTCTTGGAGAGTGCCGGAATTGAGAGGGTGGAACCGTTGCTGAACGCCGCAGCCTTGAAGCTCGAAGACAAGTTGCGAAGCCGGCCCATGTTGACGATCGTGTCGGTGGCACCTGCGCCTACCGCTTGGGCCGACGTTGGACGCACGCACGCACGGCGCAGTCAGAGAGAGAGAAGGCTCGACGAACACCGTGCAACCTGCTGCCCGACCTCTCCAGCAAACGCAGCTGGTTGACAACGAGGTAACTTCAGCTTGCCATGGCAAGGCGCGTCTAAATGAACGAGTGTCAAGGCTGGAAGAATGCTCAGGCTGGCATCGTGGCGCAGTGCAGATGGCAGCGGGTCGAAGAAATGCACGAATTAATTGGCAGTGGATCAACGAAAGTGGTGACGGAGCCAAGGAAAGAATGATGGAGAGAAAGGTGGGAGGTCTATCTGCAGAAGATTAAAAAAGAGCGGACGAAACAAGTGCTACATTCATTATGGGTTTTGAGATCTGGGACACTGGAGGAGTTGGTGGGTGGTATTCGTCTCGCACTGGCGGCCGTTGATGGAGAGTGGCGCACAGTGGACTGCCGGAAGTCTAAGGTTCACCACGGAGTCACGGTGTTGACGCCTCTGGCTGTACCCAGTACTGCATGTACACTTGCATTGCACGCAGGCTAAGACCTATTCAGATAACGGCCACCTGGAGTAGCAACGGGCGACTACGTAGAGTACGAGTAGCTAATCCTTGGGCGCTTTTCTCTCGATCTCGGTGGAGAGCTGGTGGCGGGTTTGGGACATCTCGCACAACACGACGGAATGGGTGACGCTACGAGTACGTCGTCACCGAAGTCGTCTGGCTGTCGTGAATTTGGTTTCTTGGAGATTCAGATGACGTCTGGATTTGAGCTACCGGAAACGCCTCCAATTTAGATCCAGAGCTTCTTGTCCACTGATCAGCCGAGCCCAAGCAAGCAGATGAAATCATAGGCTCCATGCTGTTTCCTTTTGGTGCAGTTAAACGATGTACCAAGACCATGGCTCCTCGGAACGCGTTACGAGCAGCTTTTCAGTGCAGATTATGGAACATCGGCGTTCAACCTCGCATGCACACCAGATATGGCTTGCGTGGCCTCTGGCTCTCACTGGGGCTAACTAACTACTGTAGCGTGGCTCGGCTCCCACCGGCGAGACATGCATACTCCGTACACAGTACATATTTGTGCGCCCGCATACAGTAATAACCCATTCCAACATGCGATTCTTGGAGCAACGGGGTCTAGTGTACCCGGGTCTCATGCGCGTGCGGCCGTCGGAAGACGTGGTACGCTTAGACCGAAGCTGGCGCCTTTGTTCTGTGCAAAGCAGCTAGAAGTACATTCATGATTGGCCCTGTGGACAGAATCCCTCCTGGACTCTTCGAGTGTCAATCTGCGTTTCGATTATTCACCGAGCTCTGTTCATCTACGACAGCGCAGTGAGCTCCATGTGCGACCGTCCGCCAGCGCCCGCTCGCCCAGCAATGATGCAGACATGATTGATTACCCCCCGTAGACCTCCCTTCATTAACCCATTATGGCACCACGACCTTCACGCCAGCAGTTCATTGAAGTTCTTCAGCGTGATTGCAAGCCGTGACTCCTCAGCCAGATTCTCTTCGTGATCTTTCTGTGCCTCTCCAGCAACATGCGACTTGCCGTCCCGTCTATCTGGCTCCTCGTCGGTCCGCTCGGCCGCACTGTTCACAGTGGATTCCAGGTTCGGATCGATCAAGGACGTGTCTGTCTGGTTCCGCGAAGCAGAGTTACCAAGGAAATAGCCGATATTGCCCGGGGTATCGCCGTTCGCAGCACCAGGAGGACCGCCCTGCATAAATCCATACTCGGGATGTGACTCGCTCTGAGGGTTTGCTGCGGTGTAGTACGCGGTGCCTTGTGGGGGATATGATGTCGTGTGGTCAGCCGCAGCCGTGGATAGGGCTTCTAAAGTATGCGCAGCGACTTGTTGGTAGGTATCTGAGGTGGTTTGGGCATGAGTGGGTGGTGAGGCGGCATTGGGGTCTTCAGCATTCGGGTCGGAGACATAGACCCAAGTCACTAGAAGGGGTCAGATGAGTGTCTTTGCAGTACAACTTCATCGCGGGCACTCACGGTCTTCTGGCACTGGTAAGAATGCCTTCTTATCTTCCTCGCTGTATGTCTGGCTGTACTTGAAGAAACTGTCGAGGTTGTGATCTTGCCCATCTTTGCCAAAACTCGAATTCTGATGGTGACGGAATGTAATGGCTGCTCGGACTTTGTCAGTCTAATCTTGCCGCTTCCACGTCCTTTACAACGGCGCGCGACTCACGTTCAGACCGTACACACTCACGGTGCGACTTTTGGCATTGTCCGCAGATCGGTCGTTGCTGAGCAGAGTCAGTTTTTCGTCAACATCGACACATCGCATCATCTCACCTCGTCGCACTTGAGCTTTCTTTGACGACATGTTTGGCATCCGGTACGACTTCTCACTGTCGCCGCCGACTTTGGCTTGACAGTTTTGGAGGATGGAGCCATACTGAGACTGTTTGCGCTCAGCTGTAAAAGCAGGTCAGCCGAAGCGGGTTGGAGGCTCTAAGGCTCGCTGCATCTTCAAATCCACGCTAGTACAAACACGTGAGCGCTGAATCTGAACGGGAAGTTCCGCACTGGATACGTCACTGCCTTGACATTGTGGGCGTCACCAGTGTGGCAGCTGGGTGCCAGCTAGGGGCATCTGCGCCAGCAAAGCCCGCAACCAACGTCAGCCAGGGGCAAAATATGAAACAACGGATGCGTGAATGAAAACACACCCAGACAAGGACGCTTGTACAAATTGGAGGAGTACATTTTAGTGATAAGTGCAAGCTAGGGGAAGAAGAGGTACGTGGTTCGCATTGGACGTATCTTGGGGCCGCACCGCTTTGGCACAGCGCCGAGTCGTTAAGCAAGTCGAGGCAAGTGCACATGTCGACCGTCAGAGCCCAAGTTGAGGATAACTCGTACAAAGCCTGAGCTTTACTTCTTTGCCTTCTTCTTTGGTGGCCGATCATCCTCTTCCTCACTGGCACCGTTCGCAGCGTCGTCATCGGCGTCAGCCATGCCTGCATCACTGGCATCACTACCCTCACTTTCATGAGCAGAATCGTACTCTTCAGCAACATCGCTCTCCGATTCCTCCTGGAAGTCTTCATCCGGAGACTCATCGTCCTCATCCGCTGAACCACGATTGACCCCAGCGTCCTCTTCGTCGTCTGAAGACGCCAGTTCTTGATCATCTAGAGCTGCCTTCAACAGCGTAGACGAGTCTTCCATCATCTCGTTCTTGAACCGAATGCCTTTTGCCTGTTGATTGAGTCAGTTCGGTTGTCCTCGAAATACAGCGGGTTCGATCTTACCTGGAAGAATGCTTCCAAGGGCTGTTGTTCCTCGCGGTTGATGTTGCTGAACTGATGCTCTCCTTGTCCTCCCTTCAAGGTCATTGTGATATCGAATGTCCTGCTGGCTGCTAGGGCTCCTCCCACTCGTGACATGGTGATGCTCTGTATCGACTCGATCTGCACGTACGTAGCCGGCTTCGGCACAAACATGAAGCTTTTGTCCAAGCAGTACAGTAGGCCTTCGTTGGCCTTGATGGAGCACTTAACCCCGTTCATGTTGTGGTGACTGACGAAATCCTTCGAGGGCATGATGATCTTCTTGCCGGAGAGACCCTTGAAGACCTTTGCGATCACATGATGGATGGGGGCTTCGTAATGCGCGTCCAACTTGTCCTTGTACTTTGTTTCCAACATCTCTTCCGACATGTTGAGATCCAGATTCACTTCATCATCCAGTTTGAGCTGCATGACGATGAAGGGATATCTTGTTTGGCCTTGCCGTAGGGGAGGATCCAGACCGAGGGTGATGAGGGTGTGCATCTCGTCGTTCTTGGGTAAGATGAAGAACTTCTTGATGTCTTGATATTGAATCTTGTAGTCATACGTCTTACCCCGTAGGCGGAAGGAATTCTCGTACATGTCAATGTCGAAACGTCCTCTAGAAAGCAGGTCAGTACAGGCCGCGCCGTTGACAGAGTGGTTGCATAGACGTACCTGGGTGTGAGATGTAATATGTCTTGGAAAGTCGCGAACGTGGCGCCCGCGACGTCGCCGATGTTTGCCTTGTGCATCAGCATCTCATAAAATGCGTAGGCGGCATTCCGTTCCTCTTCCTCCTCGTCGTTCTCCGCCCCACTGCCTTGGTCACCATTGACTTCCTTGTTCGTCACGGTGCCTGGAATGTAGAACCGCATTTCGACGAGCTCATCCCGGCCTGCGGCTGCCTTACGACCGCGGTTCTTCGTGCTGTCCGCCTTGTGGCCATTGGTCCCATTCTGCTCAGTGCCCAGGTTGAACTCGACCGCAATCTCGTTCTTGCCCGCCAGGTTCGTATTTGAGATCTCCGAGTAGGGTATCTCGAACGCGGGTCTGTTTTGGACGTTGAAAGCTAACTCGGCTCGCCCAAACTCTGCCTTGCCCCAATTCCACCCTCGCAGCGCATGTTCCTTGTTCTCTACGTTGATGCCATACCAGATCTTGAACGCTTTTGCGACACGGTCAAAATCGTCTTGTTCGAAGCCATCCAGTTGGATCACTGCGGCGTCCCGGGTAATAATCTTCAGTTCATAGCCTTTCGCTGCTCTACTCCACTGCGCGGCGCCAATCTGATTGCTGTCTAGTGTGAAGGGTTCGCTGTCTTTTTGGCCGCTGGGTTTCCAGCCGAGTCCGCTCTCTGCTAGACGACACCGACCGGACTGTCTCGAGAGATCGAGGTAGATGTTCTCAAAGGTCTCCCTGCAAATGTGTTAGTGCCCTGTCTGCACTGAAGATGGTCCTACCGACATTGCGAACACGCTGCGCCACCTGCAGCAGCAACAGGTAATGGAAGAGATGGATCAGGCAACGGTCAGATCTCAAGCGACGGTGATTTCGGCCGGGCAGATAGTAATAAGGTGATGTCGAATCTATGGTGGATTGCGCGGTCACAAGTCAAAAGAGAGTAAATATTTCATTCTACTCGGTACTCTGTAGAGGCCAGACACGTCGCCCAATTATCTGAGGGGCGCGCCACAGCACTAGCGCGTGTCGCTGCTCGTGACTTGAACTTCACTTCTGCCTCACATTCGAATCTATCCAAAGGTGCCATCACAGTCTCTCCATCTTGATTCTCCTGCCACGCAGCTAGTCGGTGGCGACGCTTCCTGCCAGACTCCGCAACATATGTCAAGCAGGGCAGCCACTCACTCAGTACTTGTGATACACGAAATATCTGGACTGTCTGGGAAATCAGACCATGCACGATACTAGCTAGGTGACTTGTGCCTAATGATACAGCTACTGGCACCGAAAGTGTTGAACAGTGCCATAGAATGGGTGACCCTCCTCGCCCTATTAAGCAGCCCAGGCCTGGCGACTGCTTCCCATATTACTGTCCATCTCCGAAACACCCCTGTGGTGATACTTCGGCTCACTGGTCGCTCGCCTCAAGCAAATCAATCTATCGGCAAGCTTGGCTTTAGCCTCACCCTTCGTTGCAGTCTCGCTCGGGGTCTGGTCGGTGTGGAGGAAGGAAGCAGCGGGGTTGACATTGCGCCTCGTTCTTTGAAGAGAGCCAACGACTGCTTGCCTGCGCTTATCGATCTTCGAGGCAGCAGGCTTTGCGCCTGTCGACGTACAAAGGTAGGGCAGCGGTTCAGAGGCGAATTTATATGACTGTGTGGACTTTGATCGTCATTGTGATGTTCGTATGACAGATGAGAATCTGGGCTGGATTGCTGCGTCTGATGCACATTTCCACACTCGGCAGGAGCCTCTAACCGGCCCGCGTTGGCGTCCGAGTCGGGGGTCTCGGGTCTTTGAGGTTCAATCTGCATTGATGGCTGCACAGCAGAATTTAGTGCTCTAACCTGGGCCAAGCCAGGATGGGCTGCACCATCAGCAGTACTATGAATGCTTGCGCTGCGGTAACGTTGCCGCTTATATTGCTCCCTGGCGTCGAGGTGTTCAGCCGAGAGATAGGCTTTTGGGTTGCGGCGGATCAAGATTCGATCGACGACAATTCCGCGATGCGGTTCGTCCGCTTCGAAAGCCGCCAATATCTCATCCAAAGTCCTACTGTTTAGCAGCGCCGCATGGTATATCTGCGATGCGCTAGCTGGAGCCGCCACCCGGGTATCCGTTGGGTCCGGGCCGGGATCTCTCACACTCCGTTCGTCCTTGACGTCCTCAATGAGGGCGTTGTCGGGTATGGCATTTGCCGGGGGGACAGTGGTAATATGTTGGTCATCTTCCTTCTCGCTGATCGACGTGCTTAACGGGCACAGATTCCTGGGTGTTTGCCCGGGGCCCGGGACTCCGTCTCTGATATCGTTCCATGTTCTCGCTCTCGCGACTCTCGGGCGGCTTCCCTTGTTGTGGTGTTTATTGAACTTCGCCAACGTCGACCCGGCACGTCCAAGATTCTAGCTCGCAGGTTGCCGAGAGAGTTCAGGTGGTTCGAGCTTGTGGGAAATGTACAGCAGAGGGAGTGTGTACAATCTGCTTGCGAGGAGAACGACGACAATGGCGTACTGGAGAAGTTGTCGTAGGGTTTTATGGAGCTCGTGGCAAAAGTCCATCTCTTCCGATACGACGGGCGGGTCTCTTGGCTGTATGACCTCCTCTGGCACGCGGACCGCTGTATCCATCTGAGGAGCAGACAGGGACATTCTCGGCAGTCAATTTCCCTCAAGGAATGATTTTGGCTAGGGGGTGGTGATGGTCGAAAAGGCACTCCAGGAGATTGGAAGACTGATGCAGGCTAAGCATAAATGTGATACTCAAACTATAGACAGAGCGTGGCTGTGACGGAGTGAAACTGGTGATGAAGGATAGTCTGTATTTTCGAAGCCATGCACGGTGCTTCTTGCTACCACCATGAATCCAAGTGGGAAGGTGCATTGCAGAGTTAGCTGACAGCTTTGTCGTTGATCACTTTGGACTATTGTGTGACCTGATACCGCGGTGACAGGCAGCAGGGCCGCTCGATTCTCACATCACGGTCTGCTTCAAAACATCTCGCTCATTGTTATTCTGCTCTACGGACATTGATACCGGTGCCAAACACCAGTTGGTTTGGCGGCAGGATTTATTGGCCGACGCGTACAGTACTTGAAGTTTCTGACTGGGCCGAGGGCCACGAATGAGCCGACGGCTTAAACCCAACGGAGCTATTCAAACTTTGTGTTAAAGATCTTCTGACGACATAGAGGTGTGTAGACACTCTGCCGTTCATTGAAGGCTCAAAGACGACAATCAAGCTCTTGTCTGTCCCAACAACTCAAACGACTGACCGACCTCTGATTATCCCCAGAGCCTTGGATCGCGGGCTCGAGGCTGTTTGGGCGAGGCTGAAACTCGACATTCTCCAGTGAACCCGCTCAAACCTGCTCGCACACGCCTAGCCGCGTGCCTGAAGGCGCTCCGGACGCCGACCTTTCTCTTCTGGAACCGAGCGCTTCCACACGGCAAACCCTCGCTGATGGTTCGTGCTTGCTCCACCGAGTTTCATAGCGGCGGAAGCGAGGCGCCGAGCAGGTCGGTTACGGGTTCTGGAAAAGAGGTGGATGTGACGTACACGAAGATACCGCAGTTTCTGGCACCGACGGCCGTGTGATCAAAGCCACTTCGCTCGGCATGCAACACGCCCATCTGGCCCCTTTTTGTCAACAACTCTACCCTGGACCGCCCTGCACCGTGTCCTCTCTATTTTGCCCTACTCAGTACGAAAGTATGCGGCCCAGGGACAGGGCACTTTGGGTTTCTGCAAGCTTCGGAGTGGCAGGGGAGAGCAAGACATCCCTGCTTACTCATCTCTTCTCTTTCTTCATGCTGGTCCGAGCAATGTCCCCTGTACTGACACATGGGACACTTTGGTAACGCTAACAATCTATTGCTGAGGTCTAAGCGACCGTTGCCCCATGGTGCCTCTTCTCTTGCGATAAAACGGTCGCGGGGACTCGTAGGCCAGGCTCCGATCGGCAGCCAGCCCGGAGGCCACTCCTTAGCCAACCAACCTGGCGCGAGCTCGATGCGTCAGGGTGGAGGAAAGCACACCCTCTTCAACAGGGCCAGCCCGCCCCAATGCCCGCGTCCGGGCCTTTTGACTCCAGCTCTTCCCGCCAATGGACCCCAGAGAAAAACCTGTGCCCTGTTGTGTTCATCCGACGTCAGGAATCAGTTCCGCGTGGCAGCACTCGGGTCATACAGACACCCCTGCTGTGGCTGTCTCGGGGACATCGCTGTCTTCGAGGAAATCTTCTCCTGTAGCTTCGACGATGCTGTACGACAAACTGGTGGCTTGTCTGGTCACGACTGCATGCCTTGAGTTCATGGACCTGAAAACACTTCGCCTTGGGCTTGGTACTCAAGACGAGGTCTCTGCTGGTGGCAGAGCAGACTCCATGGAGGGGCTATTCCTTCTGAGCGCCAGAGGCCTCGTGACTTCCAAAGTGGCAGGCAGGAAGCCCCGAGCCCTCCGGGGGACTCCCAACGTGGATCACGCCTACGAGGCACACAGCTGATGGGTATTGCCAGTGGCAACTTGCAACTGCAGCCGGGAGCCGTGAGCTTTCTAAAAAAGAACCTACTCTGTATTGGGAAGAAAGCTGGTGCGAGCAACAGCAGCCAACCGTCTGATCAACGCGGCCCTTTGGCAGTCATCCCCCTTTCGTCATCAGACGCAAGCGACTTGACACGATAGTGTCTCAAACCCAACATGCAGCTCTGAAGGGGGATCCCCCAGTGGTGTCGGCCCGCTTCTCAATACCCAGCGGTCACGTCTTTACATATGCACCTCCCCTTCTAATTGCTTGACAGTGGGAGCCTCGTCGAAGCGCAGGAATCTTCAGCCTTGATTGCATCAGCAGTGGCTCATCACCACGCTTGCAGCACCGCCTCTTTCAAATCTTCAGTAATCGACAAACTCGGCGGATGCTGTGCTCAAGAGCCAGATCCCGTCTTGCCTCAGGCGTGGAGTGCGGCAAGCGTGCAGGCTTCCTGGGATTGTTGGCCCCATTGGCTTTCCGAGGCGCTACTCTCGCTACTGGGGTCTTTGTGGTCAATGCTTCCCGTCCATCAGCACTGCATATGCTTGGGATGTTACACAGTCATACTAAAATGTTCAAGCTTGTTCTCTCGACCAAATAAATCTTCCCCGTTCTTGTTCTATGCTTTATGGGGCATAGTTCCTGTGGCAGGCTTGCTCACAGCTCCAATAAGCAGACTCATGGCCTCGAGATTCTTGCACAGGACGGGCCTGTGGCAACCATCGATATTCGCACCATAAATGGGTTCCCTGCCAATCAGCACCTTTGAGCCTCATCGCCGTGCTCCCGTGGGCTTGCGATCAAGATAGTATCAGAATTTGCCCTGCAGGGGTGATGGAACTTTCCGTTTGTTCATCCGAGAATGCTGCCGGTCAGTTGGGCACTACGCACAGCAAAACCTATTCTGGCAGTTATACGCTTCGCGTTGCGTTGTCACCTCTGACCTTGGGCACACCGGCTCACCGCTGGTTCAGGGTAATCGGCAGCGCAGGTGGTGGGCAGGTCTTCATATATGATGCTGTGCTACCCCAACTTGTCTGACTCCTGTCTTCTTCGATACGTACCTTCTTTGCCAACGACATCACTTTTCGGTTCCCATTTCCGCGTTAAGCCCGAAATATCACATCTTCTTCGGGTCTGTCCTCTTCTCAAGTCTTGTGATACCGTCCAAGTTCACGTCAATCTTGGTTCCAGCATGCCTCAGCGTCGACACGGGGGTAGAAGACAGGTGCATCCGAGGAGAAGAAGGGCTGCAGAACAGGGATATCTTGTGTCTCCGACTTTAAGCCTCTTCCTACACACCGCCGGCACTTCCGAGATGCTGCGACTGGGAAGACCAACCAGCGGCTTCCGGCAAGAGCAACTGCGTGCAACACTTGCCGCCGTCCAGTCAGTTCTGGAAGTTCGAGGGGCAGAGGAGGATGTGCAGGGGCAGGGGCAGGGGCAGGAGCAGGAGCAGGAGCAGAAACACCAGCATGACATCGGTAGGTCTGCAGCTACCTGAGCGTATTTCTGTATAACATCCTCAGCTAACAAGTCTTAGCCTTCGTCGGAGCTCAATTCTTGTGAGGTGTCGAGTCGATGGGGGCCCCTGAATCGCTTCTCCTGTGGTCATCGTCAGGGCTGGGACCACTCCCAGTGAATGCTCATCGCTGTGTTCAAGGCGCACGCCAAAAGGATGCCTTGTCGTGGACGGTGCTGCGGCCCACAGGGCAAGCCGCCAGGAAGAACGGCCTGAGCATGGCACTGTGTCACACTGTTGTATACGCCAGTCTCCACCCTGTTCCTTGATTGTGTTGTTGGGCTCATTTGGACGTGGCGTTCGGAGTATTTGCACAAAAGGCGTGTGTGTCTAGACGACAACGGGTGAGGGAGAAGAAGACTGGGGCCGTCAAATTTGGGTCTGGAGGCGTTGTCCCGGCATTCTGGTCCGGCAAGGGTGAGGAACCGCTAGGGAACCCTAAGCAGAAAACTTTCCACGAGGGAACCAAGCGCGTGGGTAGGAAATAGAGTGCACCAGGAACAGTACTGTGTCGGTACCGATGCTGCCTCTCCCGTGGTAAACGGGTGAAGATCTGACTCCCAAGCGGTAGCGGTGAGAGATCCTGCGCCCGGGTCGGCAGGGAAGGAGTCTATATTGCGACTGAAATCCCGCAAGCAGCAGATGCAAGAGCTGGGGGAGCTCCTTGACCCTGCCTCTGCATCTGGCGCCGGCCTTGACCCTGACCTTGACCCTGGCGCGCTGGATCTGACCCCGGTCCTGACCCCCAGCAGCCGTACATGTAGCGCCTCCAGCCGCGTGAAGCCCCCTGGCATTTTGGAGAAATGACGGAGAAATTGTTGCTCTCTTGCGTGTAACATGCATGCTCCATGGTCGGGCTCGTGCTCATGGTTGCGCGCGCCATGCACAGAAAAGGAGGGTGGGGAGTAGGAGCAGAAGGAGGCGGCCGTGGATCCAGCATCAAACGTACGGAACAAGTACGGAGTAGGTACTCCATCCACAAATCCGCAGACGAAGCTGCAGAAGCAGAAGCAGGGGCAGGGACAGCTGGCGCGTACAGTGTCGCTCCTCTCGTCGGTCTCTTGTTGAGCGAGTGGGTGACTGAGTAGGCCAGCGGCATGCTTTGGTGAAATGCTCCCTGTACGCTATGCGCAGTAACTAGCAGGGACGAGTACAGTAGCTACATAGCTACTGCACATCCGCCTCCGACCACCGGGTCCACGACCGGCCAGCCGTGGTTCTCTCTCTATCTGTGTCCCTATCTGTCTATCCGTCCGTCTCCTGTGCAG